AGCTCAATATAGAATTAGGAACTCTCTTTATTGGTGGAACCAAACCCCCCTAGAGGGTAACTGGGAAAGCCAGCAATCTTACATTTTAGGAGATTGTTAGTTTTGCCTCTGGGCTACCAGTGGCTTTCCAGAGGATCTTCATGCAACACTTGGAAGCAACAAGCAGAGCATTGCCTACCTCGCTCCCAATTCTTTCCCCTTTCTCTCTACCCTGTCTCCATTCACAGATTTGTCAGCTTTTATTGTGGAACAGAAGTCAGTGTGTAATTCTATTGTTGACATGTAATATGAAATTTCTTTCATTTCTGTTTTCTAACTAAAGGTTTTTTTTTTAAATAAATAAGTATTGTGTTCTTGAAAAACTTGTCAGAATTATTTTAATTTTTCACATTTGTTATTTAGAATTTTCATTATTATTATTACCATTATATTTCACCTTGACAAAGTTTAGAAAAAGCAGTGGTCAATTAAAGAACATTTAATTATCTGAAAAACTGGAGAAGAGACATAGAGGGAAACGGTTATAGTTCTTATATTGTATTACAAATACATTTTAAAAATTATTTTATGTGCATTGGTGTTTTGTCTACATGTGTGTCTGTGTGAGGGTGTTGGCTTCCCTGGAACTAGAGTTACAGACAGTTGTGAACTGCCGTGTGGATGCTGGGAACTGAACCTGGAGCCAGTGATCTTTTTTTTTTTTTTTTTTTTTTTTTTGGTTTTTCGAGACAGGGTTTCTCTGTGTAGCTTTGCGCCTTTCCTGGAACTCGCTTTGGAGACCAGGCTGGCCTCGAACTCACAGAGATCCGCCTGGCTCTGCCTCCCGAGTGCTGGGATTAAAGGCGTGCGCCACCACCGCCCGGCGAGCCAGTGATCTTAACCGCTGAGCTGCCTCTCCAACCCCCCAAAATAATGCATTTTTTAAAGACTGGGTGTCATCATTTAGCTCTGGCTGGCCTCAAACTCACAATGATCTACCTGCTTCTCCCTTCCAGTGCTGGGATTAGAGGCATATGCCACCATGCTTAGCTGTTGGATTTGTGTATTTCCTTTTAGAAATGATAAAATGGAAAATAAGTTCAATTACTGTTTGTTTTTTTACTTTTATTTTTATTGAGTATGAGAGTGTGTCTGTGTAACCATGCAGAGGTATGTATGCAAAACATCCAGAAGAGGGTTTCAGATTCCCCCAGAGCTCAAGGGGGTTGTGAGACACCAGACACTGGTACTGAGAACCTGACGTGAGTCATCTGCAAGAGCAAGTGCTCTTAACTACCTGGCTATCTCTCCAACCCCTGACACTGTTTTTCAATGAAATAGTCTTTAATTGGCCACTTCTTTTTCTAACCTACAAGATGATATGCTTCATTGGTATAGATTATACTTGTGGTATATAAGGTATATGTATGTGTGATATACTTACATGCAACTTATATATTTGGCAAATATTTGAATAAATGTTAAATTGAAGATAAAAGACATCTGGAAGACACACAAGCTGTAGGAAAGTTTTGGGATGTCTATTTGGCATAGGGGAAGATGAGGAGGGGCCTTGAGAAAATAACTGTCAAGAGGATTGGGTAACAGTAAACCTGAAGAGTGAGACCATTTTTTAAAATTTTTTTATTCTTTCATAATTCCTACATGTATGCAATGCATTTTTTTTTTTTTTTGGTTTTTTGAGACAGGGTTTCTCTGTGTAGCTTTGCGCCTTTCCTGGAACTTGCTTGGTAGCCCAGGCTGGCCTCGAACTCACAGAGATCCGCCTGGCTCTGCCTCCCAAGTGCTGGGATTAAAGGCGTGCGCCACCACCGCTCGGCTTGATAGGGAACACTCTTACTTTCTCTTATCCCCCTCCCAGTCCCTCTAGAAAACTCCCCAGCAACCCCCTCCTACTTTCATGTCTTTAAAAACCAAACAAAACCACTGAGTTTAATTAGGGTTGCCTGCATTTGCATGGGTGATGGATTGTTTACCAAGTCATGGGCAATTTACTAATGGTGACATCATGGAAAAAGATTAATTCCCTTGCCCAACAGGCATTAACTGCAAGTAGCTATTTGGCTAGGAGTGGGGCCTCATGTGCTCCTCCATCCATGCTGGAATATTGACAAGCTTCATCTTGAGCAATATTATGAAAGTTACCATAGTGCAACAGCCATGTTACATCCAGAAGGCAGCTTATCAAGGCCCTTCTCCCTATCCTCAATTCTTACTGCCTCCTCCTCTGTGACATTCTCTAAGCCATAGTGGTAGGGAGTGATACTGATGTCCTTTTCAAGGCTGAGTACTCGATGGTCCCTTATTCTCAGTCCTTTGACTAGTTGCGAATATCTGTATTCACCTTTGCTCATGGCAAAAAGAAACATCACTAATCAGTGGGTATACACATATTTACAAGGCAATATGGAAACATGTCCATTCAGCAAAACAATAGAGGTTCCTTCCTAGTGTCTATACCTTCCCAGCTAAGGGCTTTTGACCAGATTTACAGTACCAGACATGAATTCCCTTTTGTAGAGCATGCCTGAATCCAACCAGAAAGGGGTTGGGTAACTCCCAAAACATTCATGCCATTGTTGCATGGTTGCACCAGTTAGGCACATCTTATGTGGTGGGCCAGTATTGTAGCATGCAGGGTCCACTGTAGGCTAAGACCAATGCTAACTTCTTTCCCAGCAGCCCGAATCATCATTTCTAGCACTGCGAAGGCTAGTCAGTTTCCAGGTCAGTCCCAGTTTGATTTATCTGTTCTGTAAGGAAAGTGTGTATGTTCTATTATACAGTTTTACCATCTAGTTCTGGTGGACAACCAAGAGAAATTGAGTAGCTTGTATTGTCTGGGTTTCTGAGCCCTCCTTGACCAATAACTCAATAGGGAGATATCCCACACTTAGCACTGGGATTTGCTGAAGAACCCATGGGCATGGGAACAGCATTATCCACCCATGCAAAGTACCTCTGTTTAAACTCCATTTTAGAAATCCAGTATGTCTTAAAATTAGCTTACAAATAAATCAGCTCACAATTAAAAAGGCTTCCCATAATCTTCGTTTGGGTTCGCTGTCTTCTGACCCCTTCCTAACATCTGCATTCTCAGACCCTTTCCCCTTAGACTTTTCTGCCTTCATTATTTCTCCTCCACACACATCTCCACCCTTGCACTTTAAGCCTCTCAACCCCCAACATTCCTTCTCTACTATTACATGTGTGCTGCAGCATAGGACATTATTTGCCCTCACCTTTTCCTCACTATACTTGTAATTAGAGAAACAGTCATTCTTTTTTTTTAAATAATAATCATCATTGTGTATGATGTGTGTATATGATTTCACGGCACATGTGGAGGTCAGAGGACAACTTTTGTTTGTTTCTTCCCTTTCACCTTTATGTAGAGTCCAGGGATCAAAATTGGATCATCACATTTTACCTATAGAACCATCTCATGGGCCCCAAATGGTCACTCTCCAAGAGACACTGGAGTGATGCAAACTTCTTTGGTTTCAGAATACTATCCAAATGTCTTTACGTAAAACGGCATACCATTTTATATAGGCAACATGCTCCTTGCCTATCAGTTCATATCACCATTGTCAAATATCCCGGTCAATCCACATATGATGCTGCACTGACCCCCACTGTTCTCCACTCTCATTTGGTGTCAATTCCTAATTATTTGCTTTTGGGAGAGACTTTGGAGACACAGACTGACTCACTCAGCAGGCTGGCCTGGAATTCCATTCGTAAACCAAATTGGTTTCAAATTCAGAAATCTGCCTGCCTCTGCCTCCCGAGTGCTGCGATTAAAGGCATGCACCACCACTGCCCAGCAAAATTTACTTTTTATCCTGGGCTCTGTCCCTTCCCCCACAACCCTGTATAAATCAGTCTTTTGAAGTTTATTATATTATATTTAAATTAAAGATAATCACACATAACTTATTGCTTCAAGGGACATTTAGTACACCCTGTATACTATTCTGGGACCTGGAATACAACTGAGATCAAAAGAGACAAAAACATCAGGATTTCTTAAACTAGTGATAAGACAATAAGATAGTTATTTTAGGTAGCAAAAGATATACAGTAAATATAGGAACTACAATTTTAAATGAACAGCTAGGAGATGTTACTGAGCTACTATTTGGGCCTCAAAAGATTACGTGATCACTAGGATGAGATTGCAAATATAGTGGGCTAGCTGAGTGCTTGGTGTATAATGAGATTCAATAAATTCATATTAACATTTTTATGAAGAATGTCTGAAATCATTAGGAAGGAGTTGGCTAGGTTTCTGCCCCCTCGCCGTCTTAGGTTGAAGGAGCACTTGATGAGTACTTTCTGTCTCTTGTTGGAGCTCCTCAATGACTCATCCTAGAGCCTGAGCCCTTAAATCTCAGTTTCCTTATCCTAGCTAAAGCGCCAATTTCCAACCCTTTACAATCTCTCACACTCACATCTTGAGCGGTACCAGCAAAGGATGCCTTGTGACGTCATGCTGTAGTCCCGAGTTCCATTACTAAAGTGCTGTTTGTCTTTGGCTAGCCATGTCTCTGATTCTCATCTTTTTTCATCACCATGTTAAAACGCCATGCTAAAGCAAGTTTCAGGCTCTACCAAGGGTTGATTCTCACACATATCCCAATACTAGCCGCTAGCGTCCCTAGTCCAAAATCTCCTCAGAAGCCAAGGCCATGGTTTGCTAGCAAGAACACCACTACGTGAGAAATCAGGCTAAACCGGAACTCCCAAACTACACAGCAAACACCTGATCGTTGCAGAATACCCGCCCCCTCGGCATCGCCGAGCCTTTTGGGATCTTCTTCCGGGTCACACCTCAACGCAGCCTCATTCGCCACGCCTCTCCTTCCTAGATTCCATTGGTTCCCTCTTTGAGGAAGTGGAAGGTTTTAGGGCATTGATTGGTGTCGGCCATTGTGACGCGATTAGTTACCAACAAGGCGTGCCTGGTCGCCATGGTAACGCCCCGTGCGCAGCTCCGATAGGGCGACGCCTCAGTCCCGTTTTCCGTCCCACGGAGAGTGGTTGTTGTCCCAGGGCCACGGCGGTGGAGGCGTTCAGCTTGGGATTTCCTAGCTGACGTGGCCTATGTCGGACGGGGGGGCGGCCGGAGTAGCCCGTGGCGGCCACCTGCAGGTGAGTGGGGTCGGCAGGCTCCGCGGCGAGCTCCGCCACAGGCCTGCCGCGGGCCGCTGGCCAAGGGACACGGGCAGCGGCTGTCGGCCGGCCGCCCCGCCCCTCCGGGCTCGGCCGCCGTCACCTGCCCGGCCTAGGTGGGTCACCCGGTGCTCCCCCCCCCCCCCCCCCCCCCCGCCGTCAGCGGCCCGGGAGCACGGACACCCAGGCGGCCAGCAGGGTCGTTTCTCCCCCGGGGAAGGAGCCCCAGAGGCGGGCGAGCTGGCCAGCCCTGCGTGCACGGCCCTGTGTCCTGTCGAGCGGCCTGTGGAAGCCAGGCTGGGCATGCAGCCGAGGACGCGCGGGAGGGAGCCTGCTCCAGCCCTGAGCTCGGGCCCTTGAACAAACTTTGTGCCCCGCGGGCGGCGGCGGCGGCGGCGGCGGGACTCAAAGTAGGCAGAGGACAACCATGTTCCACTCCGGATCCTGCTGATGCTAACGGGCTGGGAAAGAGGAGGACGGAGAGTTGATCCAGGAGTCAGAGGTGCTCACAGGAAAGGGACCGTCCAAGGGAGTTCTGGAGGAAAAAAAAAAACCAAAAAACAAAAAACCTCGGTTTGGCTGTGTGGGGGTGTGTTGGTTGATGTGTCACAGGAATGCCAACAGGAGGGTGAGTCCCTTAGGCGATTGGAGAAACCATTTGCCTGGTTTATTTAAAGCGCTGCAGTTGGTCTGTGGAGAGAGGGCCGTTTTGAGGGTGGGACAGATATTTAAAATCATGGATAATAAACACGTTGACTTTTGGAGATAGTTGGAAGCTCTCCAGGCGCTTTAAGGACGGCTTTCCAGATTTGGGCAAGATGACAGTAAAAGAGTTTGTAACCGTGTAGAGTCCCTTCTAGAAATAGGAGTTAATAAGGTGTGGATGGTCGGAATGGCTGTCAAGGGTCAGGTTCCGGAAATATTGTTAGAAAAATGAGACGATTTGGAATAGGTACGGGGGGAAAAAATGGAAGATAACTCGAAAGTTTCAGGGCTAAAATTATACCCAAATGGTAGAGCTCTTGCCTCCAGGAGTTGAAGTGTTGTGTATTCATTACACTGCGTTTACTTCCTTGATCCTGGAAGGACTGTTCCATGTTTCCTTCTTCGCTGCAGTTACATTTGACTACATTAGTAGTTCCTGAATAGTTTTTAATTGCATATGCTCTAGGTAAAACATTTTGAGCCTATTCCTCCTAAATATGTTTATTTTGTTTTATATAATATTAAGTATATAGTATATTTTGGATAGTGTGTGAATACCTCTGTAAATATGTCACATGTTTATAAAAAATACAAAAATGCAAACTAGGGAAATTAAGTGAAAAATAAAGAAAATCTGGCCCAACTCAACAGAATTTGAAGATCACATAGAAGGTGCTTCCTTGGTTTCTCAAGACAATTATTAGCATTTCTGAGGATTCCCACGCTTTTGGGGGTGGGTTTTCCATTCTACTGTAAGAGAGCCCTTCCTAAAAATAATCATCTTAACTTTTGGAGTGACTTTGGAAGTTCATCTCTTTCCCTGCCGCCCCCACCCATTTGGATTAAAGAGATGTTGATACTACCCTTGTATATAAAATATATCATTAACTTCTCTTAGTTGCCTATTAGGAATAAGTTATTTGTGAGACATCTCACCACTGATTATTACATACCGTCCCTTAGTAACAACCCTGTGTAGAGCACGCTGGGCTGCCTGAGACCCCTCCCCCCTTCTCAGGGCTAGAATCAATGCATGCTAGGCAACCATTGTTACACCCTCAGCCCTGCAATATTCTTTCTCATTTTAATGATTTTAGGATCAATTATATATGCTTTTGATAAAAGGAAATTCAAAACCAAAGAGTATAATAATGTAAACCACAATTCTACCTACTTACCTCTGTCTCCATTCCCCACTCCAGAAATCAGCCAGGTAAATAATGTGCCCCTAAGAGATGTTCTGACTGCTAAAGCACATATGTAATACATCTCCTCGTGTGAGTCACAATGCATCTTTCTGCCACTCAATATTATACAGTATCTCTGATCTTAACGTCTGAAACATGAAGGATTCAAAAATAAAGCTCGGTGAGTATGCTAACAGTAGAAAATTCAATACCATGAAACTTCATGCACAAATTATTAAAAATACTGTATAAAATTGTCCTCAGTCTGTGTGTGTTAAATATATATGTCATATAAATGATTTTTGTGTTTAAACTTAGGTCCTGTTCCCAAGATGGTTTTTTATATGTGTACAATATTCCAGAATCCAAAACATTTCAAAATCTGAAAAAAAAAGAATTTTTACACAGCAGTTGAGTCTGTATAAAATGCATTTTCAGTAAGCATGAGCAGAAAACACACTACCCTATTCTTTCAGGCAGCTATACAGCATTCCCTTGTAGAAATTCAAAAAATACAGTTAGCAGTCTCCCCTGGATGGGCGTTTAGTTTCCAGTCACAAGCAGTCAGACACGGCTGCGATGATGTCTTTGTGTCTGTGTGAGCTTATGTCTGTGTGAGCCTATGTGTGGAAAAGTAATAAATTATGTAAGGGCTTACTGCTATGAATCGTCAGGTTGGCTTATGCACTTACTACTCAGAAAAATAAGGTCGCCCACATCGCTATTAACATGGTGCCCTCACACGCATCCCTGTTTTCATCCTGGATGAAGGATGTAGGGTGAGGAAGTCACTCAGAAAAAGAGGTGCCTTTGTGTGTCTCTACCAACCAAGCTTTGTAGAGTGGTGTTACTGGATGAGTTACTTAAATTCCCTGTCTTAGTTTACTCATCTTAAAATGAGGGCTACTGATAGTACCTCTTTTTAGCGTTTTTTGGATAAAATAAATTAAACAGTGAGGATAAGTAGGTCTGTGTAAAGGCCTGGAGCATTGCTTGATAGGCAGGGCTTGCATCTGTATGCTGTAGTTACCATTTATTTCTAAGTTAACAAAAAGTTTTGCTTTTCTAATTGTAAAGGAATAGCCTAATGTCAAATATGACTTTTCTAGCTATAGTAGCAACGCTGTCCTATTAACCCTTCAGCCTGATTGTGGATCACTTTGAAAATTAAGAACGCAGAACCACTGAAGTGCAATCAGATATGCATGGAATGAACTCGAGTGGCTCAGTGATGTTCTCTGGCCCTGGGATTCAGATTCCAAAGCAAGTGATGTGGGAGTATGCACACAGGCACACGCTTCTGCTATTTATTTTGCTTATATTCCTGAGCATGTTGTACTATGTTCTCTGTGGTTAGGGACGTGCCATCTATTTCCTTATTATTATAATTCCTAGTGAAACACTATATACCTGATACATATTTTTTAAATAATAATTGTCAATAAACAGTGAAGGCTTTGACAAAATAAACTTTTTTATTTTTGTTTCTACTTTATTTTAAATTTTATTTTATTTGTATGGGCGTTTTGCCTGCATGTATGTCTGTGCACTATGTGTGTGCCTAGTGTCCCTGGAATCTAAAAGTGGGTGCCAGATCCCCTGGAACTGGAGTTACAGATGGTTGTGAGCCACCATGTGGGTGCCAGGAATCAAACCCAGGTTTTCTGGGAGAGCAGCCAGTGATCTTAACCTCTGAGCCATCTCTCCAGCCCAAGGCTTTTTATTTGAATTCATAGTACTTCTTCATATAATTACGGGTCTTGTAGCAGGGAGTGTGTGGTGAGCATGGACTTGGAGAGCTTGTTTTTTGTTTGTTTGTTTGTTTGTTTGTTTTGTTTTTGCCTGTTTTATGAATGCTTGGCCTTCACATGGAGCTCTGTTTTAGTTTTCTGTTTAGTGATGCTTTGTAAAATGACAGCAGTCACATTTTCCTTGTGTAAATTTTTCACCACAGTGTTTTCTGTTTGCCGATTCTTACAGTGTGTTTGCCGTTTGTGTTTTGGGATGAGCCTTTTAGAAGGGATAACCATCTTGCTCCATTTAACTTTCATGCCCGTGGCTTCCTGGCCTTTGAGCTATACAAAGCTCTCTTAGCTGTGTGAAAGATGCCTTCTCTTTGGCATTCTCTAGTCTCAGTTCCAGAACCCACTCTTGGGCCGTGGAACTGCGTTAGTTGTCTCTAACTAGTCCTTATTCTTCATCTCAAGGTAAAGGAGCTGACGTCGACAAGGTAAAGTGACTGAGGAGCACGTGTGATAGAGCTGCTGCATGCTGAGCCAGGAAGCTGTTACTAGCTCTACATCATGCTTTTTCTACCTTGCCATCCCCTTCCCATCAATCTCGGGGATTTTTTTCAGTCAGTCCATCTTATCTTTTAATGACAGTGTGCAAAATATTTAAGATATAGTGCTTCGGGTGGGTGTGTATGCATGTGTTGCATCGTAACGTACTTTATTTTTATGTTTCTCTAAAGAAGTTATAGCTTAAAAACATTGAGGAGTCCTATGCTTGAGATTCCAGTACTTTTCTCATTAACCCAAAAAATAGTACTACCATAGTCCAAGCTACTCAAAGAAGTAAGTGTGGGTGGACCAGCAGGGCTGCAGTACAGATGGAGTTGGGGACTGGTTGGGGAATCTGAGCTGAAAGTGATGGAAAGCAGCCAACTAGCTAAGTGTTTATAGGTCAGGGTGTGTGACAAAGCCTGGCCTTAAGTCTAGAAACTCCCTTATGAATATGCTAATTACCCTGAGTTGATTACTGCCCACTGTATGCCTGAATCTCAACATCATATACCTTATAGACTATACAGATATATAACAATAAAAATAAGATTGAAAACTTCCTTATGGGTGTCTCTAAACATAATTGTTTAACAATTTCTGTTAACTTTTCTTAAAAACACTTCTTATTGGAAAACAAAACACACACAAAGAAAACCACACTATAAAATATGTTTCATAAGTTACTGTATCAAATATGACTTGGTTAACCATTCTAGAAGCCCTTCCATATGACCTGTCCCATTCATAGCCCTCTCTTCCTAAAATAATCACTTCCTTGTGGTTTCCTCATAGTTTTAGTATCCATTTGGGAATCTTGCCCTTTTCACACTCGATATACCTCCCATCTCTCTCTTACAATCATCTATTGAGAAACATAGGTCCTTTGATTAGGGCCTGGAGAAATTGCTCAGTGGTTAAGAGCACTAGCTGCTCTTTCAGAGAACCTAAGCTTGATTCCCAGCACCCACATGGCAGCTCACAACTGCCTGTAACTCCAGTTCCAGGAGATCTAAAGGCTCTGTGCTGGATTTGTGAGCCCTGCATGCACATGATGCATACATAGATGTGCATGTAGGCAAAACAGCCATACACAAAATAAAATGCAAATACCAAAACAAATTCTTAAAAACTTAACAAAGATTAATACAGTAATTAATGCAGTAAGTAAGTAAACCCTTAACCCGTACTGTGGTTAAGGGTTTCAAAACCATGAGTGTTAGTACAGTGCCATTAACTGAACTACAGGTAGACTTCACTTATATGTCACCATTTCCCACTAATATCCTTTTCCCGTTTCAGAATTCAATCTGGTGTCTGTCTTTGGATTTAATCAGAGTGGTCTCACTTGTTTTAGTCTTTAGTTTGCTATTGTGCATTACTGTGAAGAATATACGTGAGCTGTTTCTAGAATGTCCTGATTTTAGGTTTTCCTGGTGTCTGTCATAACCTTGGGTTATGGTTTGTGGGAAGAACACTACAGAGGTAAGGTATTCTCATCTCATCAGAGGGTACATGTTGTGACAGTCTTGTGGTTGAGATGGCATTACTGTGACAAACTTAAATATTTGCTCTCCCAGTTTGAGGGTAGGGAAGCATGGTGGAAGGGGCGTGAGGCAGCTGGTGGCTGTATCCATGGTCAGGAAACAGGAGAAGAACGTGGTACTCAGTTCCTTCCTTCCTTCTTATTCAATCTAAGACCCCAACCCATGGGATAGTGCCACTCATATCCAGTGTAGATTGTACAGCTTCTAACCCTTTCTGGAAACACCCTCCGAGACACAGCCAGAGGTATTCTCATGGTCGTTCTAAATCCAGCTAAGTTGTCAATGGCGATTAACCATCTCTGTGACTGCCGGATCATTGTACTCTGATCTGTACATCTGTACTCTTTTGAAATGGCTTGGTAAGTCCAGTCCATCCATACTGGACTTAGCAAGAGAGTGGGACAAAGATCACTTCTTACAGGGGCATGGACCAGGTGAGGGTGAAATTAAAATCTACTTCTTAAGGGGGTTGTTGTTACGTTAATATTTTGGAATTCTTGTGTAAGGCGATCTGTTTCTTTTACTTTGTTTATTTTAGTATATGTATGTATCAATGTAGACTAATGGGTATATTTTTATTTGAATTACATTTCTTGCTGTGACTTTGATTAACTTGTTTTGTAAATTAGTTTTATTGTTTAAATATTTTGTCCATTTTATTTTTTGTGTATGGGTGTTTTGCCTGCATGGATGTCTGTGGTGTGCATACAGCAGCACCCGAGGAGGTCAGAAGGGAGCATCAGATCCTCTAGGATTGGAGTTTCAGACAGTTGTTGGCGGCTGTGTGGGTGCTGAGCAGCGAACCCTGGGCCCTGGAAAAGCAGCTGGTGCTCTTAACCTCTGAGCCGCACCGCGTTCCCATTGTGAGTTGTGTTTAGCCTTGCTCAGAGAGAGCTCCTTCAAGTGGGTTCCTTGTGCCCCACTTTCCAACTCTTCTTCCTGTCTCTGTCTTATGTCTTCTCTGCCCAACACTGAATCACCTGCCGTTTCTTCAAGTGGGAACCTTTTATGTCATGCGGTGTTTGCGTAGCCTATTATTTTGTTACAGAATTTGAATCTTTTGTTGTGACCATGGGGAACATGGTCTATGGTAAGTTGTCTTTTCTCAGAGGATTTTTCTTTCATATTACTTACTGTATTGCTGACCTTGTAAAATGAGTTGCATAGTGTTGCCTCCTATCTTCTGGAAACGACGTAAACTGGTACAATTCAGTCCTCACCAGCTGCCACTCACTGGTGGAGCCCTCTTGACCTGGATTTTTCCTTTTTCGGAAAATTTTAAGTAAAATATAAACCCAGCATCGTATCATGTATGCGTGTTTATGCAGACATAGATGTATTGCCATACATTCAGCTGAATGTGTTCCGACTCTAGCTTTTTTCCCTTGGCATTTGGGAGCTTGTACCCTCTAAAGGACTGGCTCGTTTTACCTACTTTTATGATGTTATGGATGTAGGAGTATTTGTGTTTTCTCTTAATGTATGGCAGGTCAGTAGTGATGTTACATTTTCATTGGTGATGTCAGTTGAAGAAAATTCTCATGCTTCGTCATCCTTACTGCTCTTTTCTGAGAACAGCCTTTGTTTTATAGGTTTTAATTTTCTGTTTACTGATTTTTGCTCTAGGCTTTATTTCCTCTTTTCTGCTCATGTTGCCTTTTGTTTCTCTAATTCCTTGCAGAACAAGCACAAGATACTGATTTCAGTCATTTACTAATATATTTATACCCCATTTTGAACAATGACTTTACTGACATCACACAGTTTGTCAGGAAAACTACGTGAAAGAATGGGATCGGGGACACATGAAAGGGGAAATTCTGTTACATCTTGGTGCTTAATTGGAAGTCAGAAAAGGGTAAATCTGGAAGATGGAAAACTTAAGGGTTTTGTTTACCAGTGGGAAGAAGGCATTAAAAACAGCCTTTAAGACATACTTGACAATTGCATCCTTGTGTTTAAGGATTGTGTTCTTGCATTTTACTTTTCAAATTGATCCTGGTGATGGCACTTACAATATGGCCCCTGAGCAGGCCAGGGTGTGGCTGTACTTTACACACTGCCTGGCTGCGTAGATCCACACCTTATTTCACGTAGGTGATATGGGTACCAATGTCCAGCGGCACCTGTCTGCTGTACTCATTCTCGAGCTGCCTTTCTGTTTTTACTGATTGTTGCATTTTCCTTTGTGTCCCCCGCAGAGATGCTGAGCCGATTAACAGGATTAGCGAATATTGTTATTCATGAATTATCAGGAAATAGCGCTGACCAGAGCATGACAGCTCCTTTAGAAGCTGTGAGTAACTCTGTCCAGTTCCAAACTGATGAGACCTCCAGTCTGGTTTTTTCTGAGGAGAATACCTTAAGCTAGAGGAATGTGAGCAACCTCCCCCATGCAAAGTAGAAGTGATGGTGAGGAAAACTGCTGCGACTCTGGAAATGAACCTCTGCTGAGGATTGTTAGCCCAAGAGCTGTGGGGACCGAAACCGAGTCCAAATGAGCTTGGAAAGATGGTCTTCGTTGACTGCTTGGCCTGTTTAGGACCATGTTGTCTTAAGAAGTCGTTGACACCATCTTCCTCCTCCAACTCCACCCCTTCCTCCTCCCACTCTCCCTCCCCTCCCTCCTCCCACTCCTCCCCTCCCTCCTCCTACTCCTCTCCTTCCTCCTCCCACTCCTCCTCCAACTCCTCCCCTTTCCCACTCCTCCCTTTCTTCCTCCTCCAACTCCTCCCTTCCTCCTCCCCTCCCTCCCCTTCCTCCTCTTCGGGAACATAACTCCTGTTCCATGGGGAAGGTGTAAAGAGTGAAAGGGGAGAGTGGAGCACCATCTTTGTTTGAAAACATGTTTATTTCTATAAATTTGCTTACCTTTCCTGTAGTCTGCACTGTATTTTCTGACCCTTAAGGATTCAAAAGAAGTCCACCAGCTTTTTGAAAGACAAGCAGCAAACTAAATGGTTAAGGGGTGTTTTTTTTTTTTTTTTAATTTTCAAATAACTTCTTTTTTTATTTTATTGAATTTATTTTGTTTGAGACAGGGTCTCATGTCTCCCAAGCTGGTCCCAGCTTGCTACGCAGCTAGCCGAAGATGACCTTGGACTCCTGATCTTTGAGCCTATGCCTTCTGGGTGTTGGGGTCATGGTTGTGTGGTGCTGGGAATTGAAGCCAGGCTTTGGTGCATGCGAGGCATTCACTAAGCCACAGCTCTAGCCCTTAGCTCATCTCTAATTTTAAATTTGGGGTTTCTCCACTCAATAGTATGTAATCCTTGCCTCGCTTTATTTTCCTCTTTGATGAAATTAGAATAATAAAACTTTAAGTTGGACAAAATACGTCCTGTATTGTAATGGTGAGGAACACTGCTGCGGGATTGGTTAGGCTCAGTTTCCAAAGAGAGGAGTTGGGCAGAGGCTGAGGTGAGGATGTGCTAGTTCCTGAGTCGGTAATGCTGTTCCCTGTGCATTATCTTTATTGTTTTATGTCTACCCCAGGAATCTGATATGGAACTAAATAATAGCATACCAGAGGACGTTCTGGAACGCCTAGCTGATGCAGAGAAGCTGGTGGTGGAGTTAAAAGAGATCATTCGGCAGAAAGACCTTCAACTCCTGCAGAAGGATGAAGCTCTGCAGGTACTGTTGGTTGTTTGGCCGTTGGCTGAGCATTTGATAAAGACAGGTCATTCTCTTAGAGTGTTCGAGAACCTGGGTCTTATTCCTAAGTGCTGTAGGCCTGCTGCCTGCCAGAAGTAAGCTGTGTGCTAGGTAAACAGTGAACACTCCCTTATTGTCTCCATTGCTCTGTGGCAGGAGGAACGAAAAACTGCCGATACCAAAATTAAAAAAATAAAACTGCACGCGAAAGCGAAGATCGCGTCTTTGAATAAACTTATAGAATTGAAAGCACAAGGAGAGGCTGCTTCGCCTAAGGACCCCCAGGCAGCGGAGGACCCCCAGGCAGTGGAGCCGCTCTCCGAGGTATGAGGACTGGAGAGAGAGAGACTCGGTGTCTCCCAACAGAGCCCTGTTCCAGCAGACTGGCTGTGATGACGTGATACAGCGGGAGTGCTGCCCTTTCCTCCCAGCCTGTGGTCTGCCTGGACCCAAGGCCACATGGGGAGAGCAGAGGCATACAGAAATGTGGGCTTGACTGGGCAGTTGCTACCCAGACTCCCAGTCAGAATTTGAAAGAGCTGACAGGAAGAAATCAGTACTGACGTGAGACAGGAGAAACATATACTTTGTGGATGAGTTTGATTATTGGTTAGAAGATTAAAAACTATGATCTCTAAGATTTTCCCCCACTCTGAAATCTTTTTATTCCTTAACTAATAGAGAATATTCTCTGTTTCTGTAAGTGAATAATGGTGCATTAATGTTTCCTGAACTGTGGGCTGAGTTGCCTGGCTCACCCTGGTCTCCCTAGAAGAGGGCTCGCCAGGTTTATGGTTGCCACTAGAACGCAGTGTCCAGTCGGGGTGCAGAGGGACGAAAGAAAGCTGTCTTTAGAAGAGCCTGGGGGTGTCGCAGTATGCACTCTGCTGACCTCTGTTTGGAGCCACATTTGGGTATCTATTTAGAGGACAGGGAATGTCAGGTTTGGGGGGCATCTGTGCAGATTATGCTGATGCCAATGTGTCACTGCACACCGTGGGTACAAGTCAGCCTAGACTTCACCCTAACCCTGGCTTGTTATTCTCAGAAATGTTAGCTCTGAGGGGAGTTGGTTCAGGTTCCGAGGCACAGCCTTGAGTACACTTGTTACCTTCCAGTGCCCTGCTTAGCCTTGCCTTTCAGGAACTAATGCTCACGGGACATCGCTTTTCCTTGTTTGCACTGGGGTATGGCTCAGTGGAAGAGTACCTATGCAGTGTGTATAAGGCCCTAGGTTCAGTCCCTCGCACCGCAAGGGCATAAGAAGGAGGAGAAGAGAATAGGATTGTTTAACATCTCAAAGTTGATTTTAAGAGCAAGTAATGTCTTTGAATTCTTTTCCTCCTCTATGGTTCCTATGGCAACTCTCTTCCCCTGGCTGTGTAGCAGGCACTAACCTTTATCTTTTCGTGTTTATTCTTTCAGACTTCCCTTGAGTCATGTTATTAGTTTTTTTTATTTATCCATTTTAAGCTTACTACTTACCCCTTAGGCCTTCGGTGTGTCAGCATCCTGTACCTTCATTTACTTTCTCTGTTGAATAAATGATGTCCCCAGGCCCAGTCCACTCCAGCTGTCAGTCCCAGCAGCCCTTTCACCATGGTGTGCGTGGGGGTGGGGGTGGGGGAGCACAGCAACAAAGCGGGGGTATCAGAGGCAAGAAGATAGTGTCAGATCCCTTGAAGCTGGAGTAACAGGTGTTTGTGGGATCCGTGGCTTGTTACGTGAGTTCTAGGATCCAGACCCTGGTCCTCATGGTTGAATAGCAAGTGTTCTTAAACTGAGCTATCTTCCCGCCCAAATTCATTGCTTTTTTTTTTCTTTTTTTTTTAATTTTATTTTCTTGCTCCTGTCGTCGTTGTTTGATTTGTTGTTGTGGTTGGTTGATTGGTTTTGTTGTTTGGCTGGTTGGTTGGTTGGTTGGTTGAGACAGGATCTCTCTGTGAAGTTCTGACTATTCAGGAACTCTAGACCAGGCTGACTTCTAACTCAAAGAGATCCTTCTGCTTACGGCTCCTACGTGTTTCTGTCGGTTTAATAAAGCTGTAAGTATTGCTCTAAAGAGCAAATAGTGTAAAAGATAAAGTATATATTAATTATAACTTTTGTTTTTTGAGGAGGAGGAAACTTTATTTGGCTTACATTTCTGCATTGCTGTTCATCATTGAAGGAAGTCAGGACAGGAACTCAAAGAGGGCAGGATCCTGGAGTCCGGAGCTGATGGAAGGGTGCTGCTTACAGACTTGCTCTTCATGGCTTGCTCAGTCTGCTTTCTTAGAGAGCCCACCAGCCCAGGAATGACACCCCCCACCATGGGCTGGGCCCCCTCATTAATAACTTATTAAGAAAATGCTTACAGCTGGATCACATGGAGGCATTTCCTCAGTTGAGGCTCCTTCCTCTCTGATGACTCTAGCTTGTGTCAAGTTGACACACAAAACCAGCCACTACAACTGACCCCTCGTCAACTTGACAAACACATCACTATTAAGCTACAACACTTCTTATTCATCACAAAACCTCACATTAAAAACTTAAATAACTTTAAAAGTCCCACAGTCTTTCCAAATTCAAACACATTAAAATCTCAGTCCCTTTAAAATAGCCGATCTCTTTTAAATCCTAAGTCTTAAAATTGAAAGTCTCTCAACTATGGACTCCAGTAATATACATTTCTACTTCAAAAGGGGAAAATCAGGGCACAGTCACAGTCAAAGCAAAGCAAAACCAAATTCCAGCTGTCCAGTGTCTGGGATCCACTCCCGATTGTCTGGACTCTTCTTAAGGGCTTGAGTTACTTCTCCGGCTCCACCCTCTGCAGGACACACAATAAAGTGACTTTATTGTATTTTTCAGCGTGATACAAATTCTACAGATGAAGAAATGAAAGTAGAAAAGATAAAACATGACCTCCAGGAGAAGGAGAAATTAATTAGCAATTTGCAAGCCCAGCTTCACCAGGCACAGTCAGAACAAGCCTTGCAGGTGAGAGTGAGTTACCTCATTATTATTAGGTTAAATCACTAACAGCCAACGGACATAATGGTAAATGCCTCTTTCTGCTCACCCGGCACTCAGCGCCCCCTGCCTGCCCGCCCCCTCCCTCCCTCCCTCCCTCCCTCCCTCCCTCCCTTCCTTCCTTCCTTCCAAGTCTAGTCTCTTGGTCAGAGCTTGCATTGGGGTGCAGACTTCTTGGTTGATATTTGCACATACTCTCAATATTCTTTCCATACATGGTTCACATGTTTTGAGGAACTCTTGAATTATATGATTTACAGCCTTTGATCAGCTCAGTTACTTTCATTTTCTTCCTTGCAGACTTCTGTTTTTGTTAACCTTTATTTTTGGCTATATATTTCTTAACCAAGTTTTGATTAATTTTTTTTTATATTTGTCTTTTTTCTTATTTAACTCAAGGCATTCTGTTTGGTGTTTGGTTTTCTCTTCTGAAATGAGTTTTCCTTAATAGTAACTTTATAAATTTTATTACTTTTTTTTAAACTTTTCTAATTCTAATTTTCCTTTCACGTCCTGTACAATTTTCTTAAACATGTTTAACTCTGAAATAAGTTATAATTTCTTTCAGCATATTGTTCTCCTTATTCCTCATGAGTTTTGTTGTTGAGACAGGGTCTCACATTGTAGCCAGTTTTCCCTTGAACTTACGGCAGTCCTCCTGTCTCAGCCTCCTGAGTGCTGGAATGACAGGCGCAAGCCACCATGCCTGGCTTTTTAATGACATTGTGTAATTATTCATTCTATTTCATGTGTGAATGTTTTTGCTTGCATGCCTGTTACATGAACTACATGCATGCTTAGTGCCCATAGAGAGGTCAGATGAAGACATCAGATTCCCTGAACGGAGGTACAGATGGTTCTGGGTGCTGGCAACCAAACCTGGATCCTCTTAGGAGAACAGCAAGTGCTTGTAACCGCCGGGCCATCGCTGAGCCTCTGTAGATACAGATTGCATATGGTCCTTTGCTGGCTCCTCTTCTGTTCCTATTTTTGTGTGAAGTTAGTTTTTCTAAACATCTAATTCATTTTAGGAGAAAATTTCACAGACTCCTGTTCTGTGGTTTTTGTTGCTGTTGTACTCAAGTATATGGGAGCTAGATTTCTCAGATTCGTGGTTTGTCTCCTCCCATCCTTCACTTTGGTCTACACCATCGTGGTCCAACAGTACTAGACAAACACTGTAGTCAACTCACTTTGCCATCACAGGTGAATATGTAAACAAACAATGGAATGTCTATAGTGAAATGCTAGTTAAAAATGAAAAGGAAAGAGTTATAGATCATTAGTCTGCCTCCATTTAGAACTTTAAAATGTATAAATCCCTAGTTTTGAATTAGAAAAATTATTCAATTATAATTAAAATAGTTAACTTTATATTTTATTCTCCAGTTATTTATCTTGATATCAACTGTTACTCATGCTATCTGCATTAACTATGCAAATAAACACATTACAATATTGCATACAAGTGCAACAAAAAATCATTCAAACTGAATCAACTTGTTGACATCGACTGTGTATACACTGGTCATTGCATATCACCTTAGCAATTCTCACTTGAGTGGCTGGAGAGATGGCTTGGTGGTTAAGAGCACTTAATGGGCCTGCTCTTGTAGATGGCCCAGGTTAGGTTCCCAACACCGGCATCAGGTGGCTCATAACCACCTGTAACTCCAGTTTGTAATGATCTGATGTCCTTTGGCCTCAACAGGCACCCGTGTACATGTGCTGCACATAAACTCATGCAGACACACATACATACATACATACATACATACATACCTATAATTTTAAAATCTTTAAAAAAACCTCATCTGATAACAGATAAAGTCACGTAGTCAGACCAAAACAACTGTAATGAAAAAAATAATAATTCAGCCTTAAATTTTAGTTAAATAATATTAAAATGAAATACTTATTTTGGAGGCATCACATTTTAAGACTCTTGTAGCTTCATGTGGTTAGTTGATACCAAATTATGCAGCATATGCATAGAGGTTCCTCTCCCCGCTTTTGCTCTCTATTATTCCTATTCTGTTCGAGCTGGGTCTCACCTCGTAGCCCAGGCTGGTCTTGAACTGTCAGTCATTCTGTCACAGCCTTCTGTTTCTGAAATCACAGGCACATGCCACTGTCCTCAGCCATTTTCCCCAGTGCTAGAGCTCAAAGCCAAGGCCTTGACCATGCAGGGCAGAGAGTCTGCTGGTGAGCCCCTTGTCAGGCCTCTTCATCCTGGTGCAGTTCCTCACAGTTTCCTCCAGGTTCATTCACATATCTTACACAGAGCCCCTGACTCAGTTCTGAGACGTCAGGGGGTCTAGATTGTCCCGGCCCTTTCACTCTCTCTTCCTGTGGAAGTCTTGCATTTACCCATGGTCAGAAAGTGGGAAGTGTTGCTTCTCTTCTAACATTGGCTCCGTCTATCCCCACAAATACTTGTTGGTGGTTACCTTGGATTTTCCCTTTTCCATGGGGCCATCAGATGTAACTCTGCTGCTGTCTCTCTTCTCTTATACAATCTGTAGTGCCAAGAACACCCTGATTTTCATGGTTTGCCCTTAACTTGTTTAGTTCAGGGTTTGTAGGCTGTCTTCCTACATGCCGTCAATATTGTTCACGTTTTTCTGTTCACTGTCTAGGTGGTCTGTCTCTTTGCTATGTGAACATTCAAAGAAATTGAAAACAGTGTTGCTATTGCTTCTGTCCTCTTCTGAAACATTTTGGCAATTCAATAATATTTTAAAAATTAGTATATGGAATTCTTTTTCATGTTAAAGTGGAAATTAGAAGGGAATATGGTCGATACTCAAGACAAACGAGAAAGTCAAAGATCTAAGAATGCCAACCCCTTTATTTAAGTAAATATTTTCCCCTCCAGCTGGAAAAGAGTTCTGCAGAGATGGAGGAGTTTGTCCTGATGAAGCAGCAACTCCAAGAAAAGGAAGAACTCATCAGCACTTTGCAAACTCAGCTCAGCCAGACCCAGGCAGAGCAGGCTGCACAGGTAGGATGACGGCACCTGCATTCGGATAAAGGACCACGGGGTCCAGAGTGGTGTCTGTGGCAAGTCAGTCCAACACTCACTTAAAAGCTTGGTAGAGGACAGCATGGTAGCCAGGATATTAAAGCCAAGCCTAGGAGGGTGGGGTAGAAGAAGTTAGAAGTGTGGTAAGTATGGTAAGGGGTACATATTAATAGGAAACACCAGAACCCCTCAGAAAATGCTGTTTATGTTGGGGAACTTGCCATAGTTTTATTGATGACTGTTTTTGTTCATAGGTCCAGATACTCCATTTTAATGGTACACAGAGATTCTGTCTCCTAGGAATGGGGAATGGGCTCATGCTGAACTCAAAGGATAGATAGACCAAAAGAAATACAAATTACTAGCTCCCTTCTTTTCTAATTAAAATCTTGTTAGGAAGACACATCTTCACCTTAAAGTTACTTAATGAACATGTAATAAAGAAGTGGTGAAAGGTATAAAATTCCTTGCTAATGGATCTAGTATTCAAATGCTTCTTCATACTCGTTTCTGAAGCCAGAACCAGCCTGTTTGTGCTGGCACCCTCAACTCTCTGATTTTTATAGTTTCCTGTCCGATAACCTACCACATAGTTCTTCTTGAGGATGCTTTTGACTCATGCCACATTTTTATCCCTGGAGGGCCTTTGCACACAGCACACAACTGATCGTATCCATCAAATATATTGATAACAGAGGTGCCTTTTATGTAGGAATGACCGATGGTTGGGTACACAGAATTATATACCCAGAAATTGATAACTTTATCCTATTAGCTTCTGTTGGATCTTTAATACATTATATACAATGTAGGATAGGAAAATGTTACACATTCTTTAATCTTATAAATTGCTTAAAACAAAGGCAACCAAGGCATATGAGTATGTTAACAGACCCATCGTGGAGCAAGCCACTCCAAATAAAATACCAAAGACCAAGTGTGGTGACACAAACCATTACCATAGCATTCGGAAGGCTGAGGTAGACAGGTCATGGGTTTGACACCAGTGTTGGCTACATGGCAAGTTCCAGGCTACACAGTGAGACCCTACCTCAAAAAATAAAAATGATAAAAGTAACATTAGCATTGAAGTATGTTGGGAGAGAAAAGATGTTTTGTGAACATGGCAGTTATAGAAGCTTCCACAAAAAAAGATGAGATTAACAGAACCCTGAGAGCTAGATACCACTCTAGACAAGCAGCGTTCTCCTGAGGAAAGGGTTGGGAAAGGCAGAGAAGAAGAATGCATTAAAAGGAAAGTCTGCGGGAGGGACAGACAGCTGAAGAGGACTTTCTGGGGAGGTGGCGTGCCCTTGGACGCACACACAGTTCTTTAGTCAAAGCGAATTTTTGAAAACCGTACAAGCAGAATAGGCTTGTATTCAGTGTGCTAGGCTCTGCTGACTCCCCATGGGAGACCTTGATTTGGGGGATGTGGGGATGCAGGGTGGCTTGGGAAAGAGGGCTGGGGGGTGGGAGGAGGGAGGAGGGGGGATCTGTGGATAGTATGTGGAGTGAGTAGAAAATTTCTTAATAAAGAAAAGTGAAAGAGAAAAAAGAATAGGCTTGTATTTCCATTTGTAGAGCAGTTTGAATAATGTTCATGAGCTTGAATTGCTCGTTTATGGCCATGAGGTTCCTGCACTGTTTTTGAGCCTAATCTGATACTGAAGGAGTTAACAGAAATTTAACTTCACTTGTATGTTTAATTTCCTAATCTTTTCAAATTAAAAAAACTACTCTCCTTGCGTATTTAAAGCATTTTTAGTATCCATGAAGATTTTTAATTAAAATATGTATGCGTTGATTCTGAGTTTGATAGTAGGCTTTTTCTCATGTCTGGAAGTTACTGCTGGGCCTCTTGCTCTTCTGACATTCCCCCTTGACGTTCAGAGCTGAGGTTTAGAGAACTGCTTCCTGTCAGTGCTGTGTGCCCATCTTTGGAGGGTAGGCTGGAAGAGCGGACTGTGAAATCCTCCGGAGTGTAACTTGTGTAGTTTCTCTGGTATATGTCTTCAGTTGAGTTCCATGCAGCAGGTGGTCCGAGAGAAAGACGCCCGCTTTGAAACACAGGTTCGTCTGCACGAAGATGAGCTGCTTCAGTTAGTAACCCAGGCAGATGTGGAAACAGAGATGCAGAAGGTGTGTTGTCACACTCCGTAGAGTGACTGTCATTCTGGTTCACGTTTAATCAAGACTTCACAGCCACTTTCCAACCACTGCCCTTCCCCGCTCTGCTCCACATGGCCTCTGTGTGTTCCTTGGCTTCTTATTGGTGTCTTGTCTTTCCTTGCATATCATTTTTTGTCTTGTCCTTCTTTTCCCCTTTCCTTATCTCATCAGGTTGGAACTTGGAACTTTAAAGCTGAATTTACTTGGAGACTTATGGGGAGTCAGCAAGGGCTGGTTTCTTTTTCATTTGTGGATTTACAGCTACTGTTCATGCTCTAAACCTGATCCAAAACTTCAAATAGATGAAGTCAGTTTTGTATTTAAAAAAAAAAAAATGAGGTTAAAAAAGTGCTTTTGATGTCACAGTCTTTTATTAAATCAGTACTTTTAAAAAGTGCATTATGTAGATACTGAAAATTGACTTCATTGTATTTGAGTTTACCATGTACTAACTCACATTGTCTGTACGTAGAATGTAGAACCCTGTAATGAAAGGCATTTTGGTGGCACTTTGTTTGATCTGTGTTTATATATGTATGTGTTCCTGAATGTGCAGGTGCATGTTTATGCACACAGGTATGCATGCACACATGCACATGTGTGTGGAGGCCAGAGGACAACTTTGGATGTCATTCCTTAAGGAGCCATTCAGCTTGATATTTTTCCTCTCCGAGGTGGGGCCTGTCATTGGCCTAGTTCACCACTTAGGCTAGCTGGCTGGCCAAGAAGCCTCAGGAATCCTGTTTCTACCTCCTCAGTTTGGGATTCACATGGCCTGGCTTGTTTCATATGGATCTGGGGATTGAACACAAGTCCTCACAAGTACTTTGCCAGTTGTCCCATCCTTTCCAGCCTCTCATCTTTTTAATCTTGAGTGAAAACTTGTTCCAAGGTCTAAGCAGTCTTTAGAATGTACTACTAAGTGGAGTTTCAGAGTGCACAACTTTGAAAAGTAGAATATTAATTGTATAGATTGATTTATTTATTCAATGGGCATTTTTCAAGTGCCTGCCCTGTGATTGAAAACAGAAGAGAAATGGTTTTGCCTATAAAGATTGCTCTCTTTTGTAGGTAAGAAATGCATGTTACCTATGCTACTTAGGGACAGGACAGGAACTGTATGACTCTGAAAGTGAGTGTGTGTTGTTCTATCCTAAGTACAGTAGGCTCCCTGACGAGGCCTTGCTTGCATTTGGGGTTGGTTGTTGTCACGCTCTGCAGAAGGCGTTTGGAGACTCTTGCTGCTGGATGGGTCATGGCATGCTGGTGTCCTACTTAGCCCTTTCCTTCCACACTCCAAAACGTAGCCTTACAGGTGCACATGGCGTTTTGGAAGGTAGGCAAATAGTTGTGCTTATTTATCTGCAATTGTGTCTCCATGTTTCTTTCCAGAAACTGAAGGTGATGCAGAGGAAACTTGAGGAAAATGAGGAAGCCTTGTTGGGCCGAGCTCAGGTTGTGGATTTGCTGCAACAGGAGCTGACTTCAGCCGAACAGAAAAACCAGGTACTGGCTGTGGTCCCACTACCTGCCAGGGGAGGGCTGGTTTCTACTGTAGGTTGTTGGGCAGCAGGCAGAACAATGTCTAAGCCGTCGGAGGGTTGGTGCCATCTATTCATTCTCTTCAGCAAACACTCAGTGCTTCCCTGATGTACCCAGTGGGAAAGCAAACACAGCTCCTTCCCCAGGGCTTCCAGTTTCCATCTTTTGTCGCACTTTTCCTTCATTGTTGGAGGTAAGAGTCTCTCTGGAGAGTTTCCTCTTTTCCTCCAGTGAGTTTCTTTTTCATCCCTTTCCCCTTATCTGTCTTGAGTGGTTCTTGTGTTTTATGCATGGTCTCTGCTTTGCCTATTTTCGTTGGTCAACTTTCTGCTGGATTGAAGTGGTCCTGTCATGCAGTACTCCTTCCTTCGTCTTGCTAGACTCGATGGACCCATGCTTCTGATTTGGGCTACTCTGATCTGCCTTTGGCTTCCCTGTGCCCTTGTCCTGTCATCTTATCCAGGTAGCCAAATTCTAGTACGGAATTAGTTCTATGACAACACAACCTTTGCTTGTTTACCTGGGTACCGTCTGCTGCCAGGAAAAGTCAGCCACACCCTCCTCCTTAATGCTCAGCATGCTTTCTTGAGGCCGCTTTCTCTGTAGTTTCCCTCCCCTTCATCCTCATAAAACCTGTACTCTGACTCTAGGTGTCCCCTCTAGGTGTCCTGGGACAGTGAGGGTCTAGTTTCCTTTGTGGTACTCACTAGGCTGTGGCTGCACAGATGGCTGTATCTGGTGACCTTTGTATATGAGTTAATGCACTGTGGATCTTTACAGCTCCATTATGCAGTAGATAGCATCATTCCCTCACCCTGGCTGATTTGGTAGACTTCAGGTTTTCTATCAGTACACTAAGGGTAGCAGTATTTATGTAAAGGACCTGTAGCATGAATCTTAATTGGTCTTAATAGTAAAAACCCAGAGTCAGATATAGAGGTAAGTGTTGAAAGATCAGAGAGATAAAAGAAAAGAGCAAGCCACAGCCACAACCTCTTACCTCACAAACTCCCTCATCCTGAAAGAGACTGAGCTCCTGTGCCCTCCCACTTTATATTCCTCTCTCCACCCAGCCGTATCACTTCCTGTCTCTACCTCCCTAGTGCTGGGATTAAAGGCATGGGATCTCAAGTGCTGGGATCAAAGGTTTGTGCCACGCCTGGCTCTGTTTCTTTTTTAGACTGGATCAATCTTTTGTAGCCCAGAGTGGCCTTAAACTCACAAAGATCTGTCTGCCTCTGTCTCCCGAGTGCTGGGATTAAAGGTGTGTGCCACCACTGCCTGGCCTCTGTGGCTAACTAGTGGCTTAGCTCCACACTCTGATCTTCAGGCAAGCTTTATTTGTTAGATCACAAACAAAGTATCACAGCCCATTGCTTTCCCATTAGCACAGTGCACATCTTGGTTCTCTTCTGATGTCTCTGGAGCTTTTCTTTTGTTTACTTTTCCATCAGAGGCTTCTCTTCCTGCCATTAGACCGTGGACTAGCCTCAGCCGAGTGTTCTCACTATGTCCATTCTTCTCTCTTTCTCTCTTGTAGTAGATGTGACTATCCCCACTGGTATCCTCAAATGTTTATCTCCCCAGTGCTGCTGATATGTGTCCAGTTCCTATGATACATGGCTGACCTACAGGCTTGGCAAGGTCAACAAGTGAAAAAACAAAACTCACCTTCCTTCTTAGAGCATATTATTTGTAGCTCAGAAGACCAGACATGGGACTACCATTGTCTGGTGTTCCCATGGCGGGCTGCACAGCCAGAGTACACAGAGGTACCTGCACGCTTCTGTAGTCGACAGAGGAAGAGCACTGTTCACAGTAGTCGACAGAGGAAGAGGCCACAGAAGTGCCTGTCAGTGGATATATAATGTAAATATACCACTCTAATTTAAGCACACAATAGAATGCTACGTAGTCCTAAAAAAGGAATGCAGTTCTGTGCTTTTGCAGCAATGTGGAAAGAATACAGGCTGCTGTTCTAAGTGAAATAAGTCAGGCATGGACAGACAAATACCACGTGTTCTCACTTACATATGGAAGCCAAAAAGTTCCTCTCAAAGAAGTAGAAAACAGAACAGCGGCTTCCAGAGCTTGGGAAGGATGTAGGGAAGGGAGGGTGGAGAGGATGATAAGTGGGTACAGGGATACCTTGGATCTGTGCTCCTCTGTAGAGCAGAAGGACAGCTTCACTGACCACAATTGTTTTAAATCCTAGGAGAGAGGACTCTAACTGTCCCCAACACCAGGAAAAGACGTATGCCTGACATGACATGTGCCAGTGATCTCGATCTGATTGTTCTGCGTTCTGTGTCGGGCATTGAAATGTTACATTTACCCCACAAATGGGTGTAATTGTTATGTATCCAATTCAAAACACATTTTAAAATATTTTAACCACATTTTCTCTCATAATGGACTATTTACTCAAAAGATTAAAACTCAGACTTTATTGTTTCCTTTGTATTCTCTAAACCTACAATTAATTGTCAGTCTTGCTGATTTTATCTCTTAATTCTAGACTCTGCCTTCCTCATCAGTAACATCAGGACCCAGCTCTGGCTTGGGAACATCTTCACGGAAAGAGCTCTTCCTGACAGGGTTTTGCCTCTGTTCTTCCTCCCATACCCCATGTATCCTCTTCGGCGTTGAGAGGGTTGTCTCTTCAGAAACTTGTGTGACCACACTCCTTATTGCTTAAAGAACAGCTCTCAGTTTCTTGATGATAAGGCACCCCCTGAGCTTTATGGTTGGTTCTCCAGCCCTCTTTCCTTTTGTCACTGGAGATTTTCTCACTCCTAACTCCTGCTACCTTGGTGGTCATGTTTTTCTTGGCTCTCTGCCTGACGTACCATTTTTGGTACTTCCTTTGCCTAGCTGATGGCTCCCTTTTACATTTTAGATTATTTGGCTCTCTTTTAAAGGCAGCCTGCCCTCGCCCATCCCTCTCCTCTTCCCATGAACACTTTGCAGATGTTTCTCTAGTACCCACTGTGTGTTTGCATGATGCTCAACCTGTCTCCTTGCCTGAACCCTGACTTCCTCCAGGGTGTGGACTAGATGGGTTTTTTCATTGTGGATTGAGTCCACTTTGCTGTAGACTGTGCTGGTGCAGAAGACTAGTAAGAATGAAACAAAGTGCCTCCTTTCCTCATGGAACATGTTTTCTCATGGGAGAGGCAAAAACAAAAAAAAATAACTGATACAAGGTAAATATGAGTACAAACGGTCCAAAATGTCTGGAAAGCAGCATGGAGGGTGTTATGCCGCAGGTTCAGCGCTACTTGCTTGGGTCCTAGGAGTACATCAGTGTGCTCCCTGAATGAAAGGGTATAGGTGTGGGTCATGGTGGTTTATGTTTTTTTTTTGTTTCTTAGACTCTTTCCCAGCAGTTACAGCAGCTGGAAGCTGAAAATAGTACTTTAAAGAACACCATGGAAACAGAGAGACAGGAGTCCAAGATTCTGATAGAAAAGGTCGAACTTGAAGTAGCAGAGAGAAAATTATCCTTCCATAGCCTGCAGGAAGAGATGCATCACCTTCAGGGACAGTTGGAGCAAGCCGGCCAAGCCCAGGCTGACCTGGAGACTCAGTATAGTGCTCTTGAACAAAAGCATAAAGCAGAAATGGAAGAGAAGAATGCTTACATCTCGAGTCTTCAGAAGACCGAGCAAGAGCTGCAGTCTGCCTGTGATGCCCTGAAGGAGGAAAACTCGGAGCTGCTCCGAGAGAAAGGTGAACAGGCTGCCGAGTCAGCCCAGGCCATCCAGCAGCTGCAGTCTGCCTGTGATGCCCTGAAGGAGGAAAACTCGGAGCTGCTCCGAGAGAAGAGTGAACAGGCTGCCAAGTCAGCCCAGGCCATCCAGCAGCTGCAGTCTGCCTGTGATGCCCTGAAGGAGGAAAACTCGGAGCTGCTCCGAGAGAAGAGTGAACAGGCTGCCAAGTCAGCCCAGGCCATCCAGCAGCTGGAAGGTCAGTGTTTGGCGGCTTTGGAAGCCACACCTCTAGCCCCTGAGAGGACTGTACTTCCTGCTTTCAGGACTCTGTTAGTGGATTCGAAAGAGACCTCTTCTGGCCAGGCCTGTTCTTCTTGTCTTTCAAGTCATAGTCGTCTTAACATTATTGTCACAGCACAAAAACCTGGTGCATTCTGTCCAGGTGCTGAGTAGTCACGTGTGAACAATCACTTGACTGACCGGAAGAGTGCGGTGACTGACATGAACAGGAACGGAAGTTGTTTCTGGAAATGTCAGGCCAGATGTAGGTACACAGACTAAACTGCAAGAAGTCATCTGTAAGTCTAAAGGTAGATCTTCTTGCTTTTGCTATAGGTGAAAATTTCCTTTTGAAGAGAACGCTTGTCCTCTAAACAGGTTTTAAGAAAAATTTTTAAATGTTTTATTAAAATTGAAAATTACTCTAAAAGTTTGACATTTTAGAAGTTTATATAAAAAAAAGAAAGAAAGAAAGTACAACTCTCTGAACACTGATACTCCATGTCACCAGTCTTCAAAATCCTGACAGATGGGAGTGTGCATGGCCCTGGTAAGAATTTAGGAAGAAATAACCTGCAAACAAGTACCAAAAAACTGGTTGTCTACCAGAAAGTCTAGAGGGCATCCTGAGGGAAAGAGGAGCTATCTGAGTACATTGTCCCCTTCCCCAAACCATGTACATGTTTAAAACCCTGCTGGGGACTCTTGACAGGCTCATGATACTTAAGTGGTATGTGAAGAACGTAAATATGAACCACTAAAGCCGTTTTTTCTTTCTTTAGTTTTTTTGAGATAGGGTTTCTCTCTGTAGTCCTGCCTGTCTTGAAACTTGCTCTGTAGACCAGAGAAGCCTGGAACACACAGAGATTCGCCTGCTTCTGCCTACAGAGTGCTGGGATTAAAGGCGTGCGCCACCAATGCCTGGCTCTACTAAAGCCATTTTTAAGGGGGAAAGGAAAAAGGAATATTTGAAATGTCTAAGCCTTTCTTTACTAACGTTTATCAGGTGTGCATGTTAATGGCATTCAGTGTGAGAATTCCATACATGCAAACAGTGTGTGTTCCCAAGCTTCCTCTCACATCCCTCACCTGTCCAAGTCTCTAGGCATCACTATCTTTTCTACTCTAGTTCCCATAGAGGAGAGAAGATGTGTGGTTGTCTGGCTTCTGCACCTAACATGATGTTTCCCTGTCCCGTCCATTTTGATGCAAACAGCAGGGTTTCCGTTTTCTTTGTGACTCTGTAACATTCCATGAGCTTATTTTTTCCTTTGAAGGAAGTAGTTTACTGAGATGCTCTTCGGTCCAAACAGTTAGAAACTGTAATTGGCATCATGATCCCCATTAAGATAACTGAGCTGGTAAAGTCTGTGTGGTAGATCCTTAGAGGGTAGTACTGAGTTCCAGGCTAGAAGCAGATCTCACCTCTGTGTGTTTTGTTTCCTCACATTGCATGTTTGTTTTCTTTCCCTTAGATCAACTCCAGCAAAAATCTAAAGAAATTAGCCAATTTGTAAATAAACCAAACTTGCAAAAACATGAAACAGCATCTCAGACTTCTTTACCAGATGCTTATAATGAGGGCATACAGGTAATTAAATGTGAATTTCTGTATGATGTATTTATGTTTGCTGTATTGAAGGGCTCTAATGAGTGTTACAGAGAGAGTGTAAATGTGCATTTTCGACCTAATGTAATGCTTTTGGGGGAGGAGTCCACTTGAATCCTGAAAGGCATTAAAGCAGCTTCCCCACTAGGGATAATGAGGAGAGATGCTAACACACACATCTCAGGAGTTTTCTGACTCCAGTGCCTTGAGTCTGTATTATGGGTGGACCATTACTCCTGTTTTGTGTTCATTTGCCCAGTATGGGATCAGCTTTGGTTTTTACTAAGATCTGTTCAGGTTTAGTGTACACAAGTCAGTCTAAACAAACTTACAAGTCTACTAGAGAAATCATAATATAAGTATATTAACAGTAAACAAGTTTGTTTGCCGAATGGCTGGCTGGCCAGTATATTCCCTTTTCCTTCTCCAGCTGTCTCTGTGGAAAACTAGATTATATTCAGCACTTAATGAACATAAGTATCAGAACAAGGGGGTCTGATGATCTTCGTTGACCAGGCTGGCCAAGCTGCAGTGGGTGTGTTCATCACCTCTGTCGTGAGATGATGCCCTTTCAAATAGACAGAGCTGTTAGGACAAGGTCCTTGGACAGTATTGTGAACCATAAATAACATTTGCATTTACAAAGATGTTTTCCAGCTATTCAAATAGATGGGAACAGTTTTATACTGAATGTTCATGTCCCTTCCTCTAGATTGTGTCATATATTGTATGTTTTTGCTTTAATAGCTATCCTTTTGTCCATCTCTGTCCATCAATTCATCTTAATGTTTTATGTATTTCACAGTAGGCTATTGACCTCAGGACTTTTCTTCCCCGCCAAATATTGCAGCAAGTGTATTATTGACTAGATTTCAGTATTTGTTGGTAGTTGAGGTATACTAGTTGAGTGATTCTTTTTTTTCTCTGGAGGTAAAATTTATAAACCATTAAATGCATAAATCATAAGTATATCATGAGTACATTTTGTCAGATGCATTCAGCTATGGTACCCAAACTCTTAATAAAAAGGTATAACATACTGTCATCACCCTACACAGTATCTTCTCTTGCATGAACTGCCATTCCATTTCCACCATAATTTTGCATGGTTTACTTATAAATATATTTGTACAATATGTGCCCTTTTTCCCTTGTTTTATGATTTATATCTATTATTGCATTTATTCTTTTAAATTGCCATTGTAGAAAAAAGCAGAGATAAAATAAAAAATAATAAATGGTTGTAGTCATGTTCTAGTGAAATTTTATTAATAAAAGCAAGTGAAAGCTCCCACAATTTTCTAACCCTTAGTTACATGTTTCCATCTGATACCATTCTGTGTAAAGGACTACTTTTAACTTTCTTATGAGTGTGGATGGGGGTGTGTTGTGTGTGCACACGTATGCATGTGTGTGTGTGTTCACAGACATAGACATTTGGTGATGGGTTCTTACAACTCCTGTGCAGCTAATGATAGTTATCTCAACTTGGATCTTTGACTTATCAGAAGAGTTTGAGTCAGTGCTTGTTCATTCTGCACTATTGAAGTAAGATACTTCACTGAGCATCGCACTGAAGCCCTGGGCAGAATTCAGGTCTACACATCTGCCATTGGGATTGGCCATACAGCGCAACATGCTATTCTCTAATCTTGTCAAGTAGATAGTTTGGGTAGTTGAGATCTCCGGAGACAGTTGCATCATACTTATGTGCTACTCTGCAGTCCACTGACACCTAGGGAGACCCTCTGCAGATCTAGTGATGTTCTGTTCTGTCATTTCTCCCCTTTGACTCTTAGCTCTGTCCCCTTGACTCAGGGCCAGCCAGGCTCTGCCTGTGTTAACCACTTTGGGGCACATGGCCTGCAAACTCATTTAGGTTATTAAATTTATAGAAAACACAGAGAGAGAGAGAGAGAGAGAGAGAGAGAGAGAGAGAGAGGAGAGAGAGAAGGGGAGGGGGAGGGGTCAGGGGAGGGGAGGAGAGGAGAGGAGAGGGAGAGAGGAGAGGAGAGGAGAGGGAGAGAGAAGGAGAGGAGAGATATTCTTAACATTGCAGTCTTCTTAGGGCTAAAACTGGGTCACTTAAAATACAGAAACCTTGTAATGAGGTACTTTCACCCTGTTCTTTATGATGTGTTTGCTGTCTGTTTATGTTAAAGTTTTAAATCTTAGCACACATTGTTAACATGTATGCATTGAACAGTTAGTTACATGTATTTAAAACACACTAAGGAGAAGATGTTGACTTAATATTTACCCACATACTAACCGTGTGCCATGTTCTTTCCTTTCTGAGGCTCAGTTTTCCATCTGTTACCATGGTTAACTAAAATAACCACCATATTCTTGTTGTAGTCAAGTCTACTAGAGAAAAATTCTCTTGGTATTATCCAATATTTGCCTTTTGTTCTGTTCTTGAATAGGTTTATAATTCTGTATTGACCTTTTGTTATTCAAGACATTAAAAATATTTGTATTGTCTCCTGTCTTACATCTCCTCCGGCAGTTCTTCAGTAATTATTCGAATGATTGTTCCTATAGACAAGTATCTTTTTTCCACTGAGCTTTGAGAAGACCTTTCTCTTTCTTTTTGTGATGTAGTCAATTGTATTATCTTTGCAAGTGTCTTGATATTGTTCAGTGCCCCTCCCCCCATTTTTCACATAAAGCTTGTGAAGGAGAAAAGTTTGGCCATTTCTTAAAATAATTTTTCTGTGTATTCTGTCCTTCCTTTCCTCTGATGCTCCAATTACAGTATATTTTAATGTTGCCCTACATGTCCTTGAGGTTATGGTCATTTTCTTCAATAATTAGACTCATTAGTTTCTATTGATCTGTCTTCAAGTTCATTGTGCATTTCTTCTTTTGCCTGTATTCTTCTATAAAGCCTGTCCATTGGATTTTTCATTTCATGTTTCTGATTTTCTATTCCAGATTTTCAATTTTTTTCCTTTTATAAAGTTATCTGCACCACAAGTTCCTGCTTTTTCCTTCATTGTTAACATAGTATGTCGTATCATAGTTATAATATCTTCCTTAAAATCCTAGCTTGCAGCTGGACGTGGTAGTTTATGCTTGTAAGACCAGAATTCAGGAGGTAGAAACAGGACATCTCAAGTTCAGAACTGTCTTGCTAAGCTATATTGTGAGGCTCTGATTCAAAAAAACCAAAGGGTAGGAATGTAGCTCAGTGGCAGAGCACTTGCTGAGTCTGCAGAAGGCCCTGGGGTCTGATCGCTGTCACTTCATTAATTAATGAGTTCTTGCTTGCTAATCCAACCTTTGTAGTATTTTCTGATTGGTCTCTTCCCTGGAGAATGAATCACGGTTTCCTTTTTCTGCCCTGAGTCCCAGATGCTGTACATGCTTTGTCTGGGAGGTTCTCTTCTTTTGTTTCTAGAATTCTGAAGCATTCAGATTGATTTTTATCACCCAATAGCATGGACCCACACTGTAAACCCTGGCCCATGGTAGAGAGCCCCCGGACTCAGTTGGTTAGTTTTGTCTTAGGTAAGTGGTTTTGAATTGGCCCGTTAGTTACCTCACTCATCATTCTGGAGTTTAGGCTGAGTTTGTAGAGAATTAATTCCCCTTGACTGATATTCTTCCTGTTTGCTTACCTCACACTGCAGCTGTCCTCCTCCTCAGGTCTCTCTTATTTTTCCAGATAGAATCCCTCTGGCTAGTTTATTGGAGTTTCATTTGCTTTATGTATTACAAACTAGAAACTTGCCTCTAGATTAAAAATCCCAAACCCTAAACTTAGTCCCTGCGGTTTCTTTAATCAACAGTAAAGGTTTGTGATCAAGCATGCTTAACATGGAAATTTCTGTGGAATTGCATGGAAAATTGTATAAAAATAAGTCCCTTGAAGGGTGAAAAATATGTGTAAAAAGACAAAAAAACTAAAGACTTAGTAACATAGGTACTTGCCTGTCTGTCATTAAGAGAGTCAAACATTCTGGATACATAAGTTAAACAGAAGAACTTTTTATTGTAATGGGAAAAACCCAACAGTACAGCAAGCACAGTTCTTCCTCCTCTTGAGAAATCTCGTTTGTGTTCATTTTCCTCCGGACCTTGCTGCTTGCTGGCTTTAACCTAATCTAAGGTGTTGCTTGTGAACTTTTGAAACATTCTTTCACGCACCGTTGACTTGGGATTTCTATCTTTGTAATCCAGGCTTCAATGCTGGGTTCAAAACCCAATGAACTGGAAGCTCGTGGGATATATTTTATTTCTTTTTCTATCTTCAGAATTAAGAAATTCTCCAAAGATTCACCAGGCAGAAGGGTGTTTCTAAAGCAGCCTCATGGCTGGAGAACTTCCAGATGATATGAGTGCTAGAGGCCCTCTGGGCATCAGTGTGAGAGCTTTCACTGGGTAATCATTAATTTGTTGTCTTTCTATAATCTAGGCAGTCACGGAGGAGAATATTGCCTCTTTGCAGAAGAGAGTGGTGGAGCTAGAGAATGAAAAGGGAGCCTTGCTCCATAGTTCTGTAGAGCTGGAGGAGCTGAGAGCCGAGAATGGTATGTATAAATAAAAACCATGATTCTGCCTTCTTCCCCCAGAAGTGTCTCTGCTCTTAGCACTGTATCCCTGTAGCTCTTCTGACTGTACTCTAAGGATCTCAGGGGCAGAGCTGGTGGTTGTCAATATAGAAGTAATAGTGTGTCCTCAGTGGCTAGGCATAGTCCTGGTGCTTACCTCAGGGTTGCATTTTATGATGTCTACTTAAAATGCTGCCGCACTTCTGATAGTTTATATTCATTTGGGAATGGCAACAATATCTTCTAGGAAGCATGACCCATATTGGACTTTACTAAGAGGTTGAATTTTCTAAAAGGCAAAATGAGGGAGGGAATGAGGTAAGAGAAATCAGTACGTTAAAAGTGGACTCCTGTTGGCTTTTGCTCATGTTCACGTCCTGCTTAGACTCTTACTTCTCCTTCCAGTCTGGTTGTTGAGCCCTCAGCCAGGGCACTGTCTTTGGGAATTCAGTCTTCATCCTGGGCTAAGTGCCTTGGGCTCCCATGACATCCTTTATACCTTCACTAATGTATTAGGATGCTCTGTTTATGTATTTATCTTCTTATTGTAAGCCTTCTGAAGACATGGTATGGGGTTTTTTTAAGGGCAGAGGGCTGTTTGTTTGTTTGTTTTGTTTTTTTAGTTTGCTTTACCTAAACTTAGTAACACCTGGCAAATTAACAGCTGCTGAATAAAATGGTGGATTAAGCTGAGTGTATTAGCATTTCATTCTACTGGTCTTTGTGAGCAGTCAGTGAGGATGTAAGACCTACTCTATCATGTGCTTCCTAAGAACCTTCTCAATTCACTAGCATTAGCATGTGATGATAATGCGTTACAGCTCTCATTCACCTACAGCAGTGGTCCCCAACCTTCCTAACGCTGTGACCCTTTAATACAGTTCCTCATGTTGTGGTGATCCCAGCCATAAAATTATTTGTGTTGCAACTTCATAACTGTGCTTTGCTACTGTTATGAATCATAAAATAACTATCTGTGTTTTCCAATGGTCTTAGGAAACCCCTGTGAAGGGGTCATTCAACCCCCTACAAAGGGGTTGTGACTCACATGTTGAGAACCTCTGCTCTAGAGAATCTGACTACTGTGGTGTATCATTTGGGAGTGGAGTGGACACCAAGTAACCTTTATAAAACTAGATCAGATGTTTCTGTGTAACCATTTATAGTGTTCCATTTAGCTCCTACCTGGAAATTGTGCATAATGCATAAATAATTATTAAAAATATTCCCATCATTGCCAGTAAAGCCACAATTCAACTTACTGTTTCACCCACTTAAAGTACTTTTTTGATACTTTATCCTTAATCCTTGTTTTACCATGTCAGAAGCAGTCCCTATTCTGTTCACATGCTTTGTAGGTTGTGTGAATTGCATTTTCTGTCCTCAGGGGTCATTGGCCTTAGAGTGTTCTTTACTGGCTTTTGTGTCTGCCATCATAAATTACCTTTGCTTTGGCCTCATGTTCTTTTCATCTCACTTTTTGCACTGCCTTTTCTACAGCTAATACCCCTTTCTCAGGGGTTTGAAATGTCTGAGCATATTATATGTACTGTCTTGCATTCATTTGTTTCACAAATGTTCTCCCTTTCTTATGAGCCAGGCACTATTCTACTTGCTGAGGATACAGCTATGAACATGTTAGAATGAAGGACAGGCCATCAACCTGTATAAAAAAGAACATTTTAGAGTAATAGCTATCAGGGTAAAAATGAAATAGGGTCCTGCAAGTATACCTCAGCTAAGAGAAAGGCAGTGTTAGAGAGGTCAGGACAGGTCTGTCTGGGAACTTGACATTTGAATGACTAAAGGCAGGGTAGTCATGCAAAGAACATTTAGTCAGGAAAAAAAGCGGAAGAAATGGGATGTGTGAATGAATTGATGTGTTGGCAGAACAGAAAGAAGCGCTGAGTTTTTGTAGTAGAGTTAAAAAAGTAGTATTACAAGAGGTCGGAGGATAAGTAGGAGCCAAAACATGAGAGAGAGCCCCAAAAGGTGATGTGAAGGCTTTGAGAGGGTGGATAAAAACCATACTTTGTTTCTGAAGTGTATTTAGTGTATCAGAAAGAAGGTAAGCTGCTCGGAGGTCAGTGTGAAATAGCTTTCTCTTCTAGGGCGTTGCTGCTCTATGTTAGAGTGAAGACCTGGATTCCGATCCCAGCTGTCCATACAGCTGTGTAACCTCTTCATGTCATCTTATCTGTTTCCTCATTTGGTTGTTGAGATTGCATAGCTCATGTTTAGTGCTCAGCTTTAAAGTCTGAAAGTCTGTTAAAGAACACTGAGAACATTGTAAGTGCAATTGTGCAAAAATCCACAATTCAAACAGTAGGACTGTGGGTAAAATAAGACAGTAGAATTCCAGACTATACCATAGAAGTAACTGTTCCACTTCACATGGCTTTGCATCTATGGCCTTTCAAACCTTTCACTGTTTAGAGTATTTCTCTCATGGTCATTATCATACTGAGTTCTATTATGTCTGAAATCTCACATTCTTTTAGTACTTTCAGCCTCAAACTACTTTACTTATTTCTTTCCTCTTCATTATTTTGTGCATCTCAAGTATCCTTGGTCCAACTACATCACTGTTTTTTTTTTTCAAATACTCCACATACATTGTCTAAAGATACTACTTTTTGACTTTCAGAAAAATTATCTTCTCGAATTACTTTTCTGGAGGCTCAGAATAGAGCAGGGGAGGCTGACGGTGCAGTCTGTGAGGTAAGTGATCACTGGTACAGTCACAATGGGACTGAGATTAGGAGGGGGTAACACTAACCATTGTGAGTACTGACAGAAAATATTACCCTTGGAGTGAAATAACATTTAAGAGATTCATAATGATTAGACTTTTTCACTTATTCATTTCCAAATATTTGGAATTCTTTGTCCTAAACAACACAAGTATAGGAGTACTTGTGTATGAGTTACTTTTCTGTTGCTGGAATTAAACACCATGACTGAGACAACTGAAGGAACATAGAGTTTATTTGGGCTTACAGCTCCAGAGGGTAAGAGTCCATCATGGTGCATGGCAGGCAAGCAGCAGGCATGGCAGCAGGAGTCAGAAGGAATGTGATCAAATCCTTCCTCATAAACTTGAAGCAAAGAGAGAAACCTAGAAATGGCTCCAGTCTTCTACCTCTCAAAGCCCGCCTCCAGTGACATACTTCCTCCAACAAGGCCACACCTCCTAGACCTTTCCAGATAGCCTGCCACCTGGGGACTGTGTTCAAATACAGGAGCCTGTGAAGGACAGTCTCAGTCAAACCACCACAGCTTGTTTCTTGATAGAGATTAAAATCTCTTGAACTTCTCATGTCTCACATCTGGCAATTTTTACTCAGGATTATATTTCAAAGGAGCCTTTACAAAATTGTGGCTTTTGTAACCTGAAATTGATTTATTTATTCAACTTTTTAATTCTAATTTTTCTTTATTTGTGAAGTTCCTACATGTACATACATGTTTGAAACGTGATCATATCCACCCCAATTTCCCTCCTCTAGCTTCCCCTATATCCCTGTAACATGTCCCTCTTCCAGTTTTATGTCCTTTATAAGTCAATTAATGTAACTGATACGTGTGTTGGTGTGGGGCCACCCATTGTAGCCCAGGAAACCTGCCAGTGGGAACGCCCTCAAAAAAGAGTGAGCCTCCCTCCCTGAGCAGCCATCAAGTGCTAATAGCTCCTTAGTAAGGGGTGAGGCCTGGAGAGCTCCTGCCCCATTTATGCTGGAATTGTCTCTGGCTTGCTCTTGTGCAGGTGCCCACAGCTGCTCTGAGTTCATGGGTGTGATATCTTATCATGTCTGGAGGACAGCATTACATAGCACACACCCCTCTCCCTATGGTCCAACTCTTACATTCTTCCCACCTCTTCTGTGACATTCTCTGGGCCTTAGCAGGGAGTGGAGGGTGGCATGATAAAGATGTCCTGTTTAGAGTCTCTTCTGGCTCTTTGACCAACTGAAATGTATTGTAAGAGAGGCATCATTGCTTAATATCATTCTATGGATGTGTCATTGTTAGCTGTCTTATATACAATTTGCCATGCTCTCAACTGGTAATCATAAATGGTCTTCAGGAGTGATGTAGCTTCTTAACAGAAGTGCTGCTCATTATGTTAGTCTATGTCTCCAGGGACAGGGATTGAACACCGTATGTAGACCCGAAGAGGCATAGTTTTAGGAATTGGAAAATGAAGAATCTTCCAGTTGGGCTAGAGGCCATCTGACATAGAGAAATATTAAAACTTGAGTCCAGAGATCATCTGCTAGTAGATAATTCACTCTTCGGGGTAGGACAGATTTTCTTGTTCCTGCCAAGGCCTCAAGTGGTGGAAAAGGTTTGCCTGAATTAGGAAGGATAATCTGCCTTATTCAGAATGTCCTGATTTATGGCCAGGAGACAGCTCGGTTGGTAAAGCGCTGAGTTTGAGCCCCAGAAGCTCTGAAAACCTGAGCATGCTGACTCGGACTTGTCATCTCAGCACTGGAGAGACAGAGATAGACACGTCCCTGGGGCTGGACGGCCAGCCAGGCTAGCCTTCCTGGGCAGCTCCAAGCCTTTCTCAGAAGACAAGGTGGATTGCTTCTGAGAAACAACACTGAACGCTGACCTCTGGCTTCTACATGCAGGTGCACATATGGGGTGGCACATGCACACACATGCACATAAATACATACACATGTCTCCTGCTTTAAATGTTGATATCAACCAAAATACCTTCATAAGAACACCTCGAATAACGTTTGCCCAAAGATCTGGGAACCATGATCCAGCCAAGTCACCACATAAACTTAACCATCTAGCTTATATTCAACACCTTTTCATAGAGCCATTGAGGCCTTGTTCACAAAGCTGTCAAAGGAGACTTCATTTAGAAAATTGTAATATTATATAGTTAAAAATTATAAGACTCTGACTAAAAATGGATCTTGTTTGTCCAAGGGAATCCTTAAAAGTATTCTCTTAAAGGTCTACCAATGATTTCTAGTGGAAACAAGCTATAACATAGCTTTAAAAAACAACAACACAAATAAGAAAGATGGCCGTCTAGTGAGAAAATGAGAAACAAAAGAAGCAGAAAATACACAGCAAACAATGGTGAGGAAAGGGGATTGTAAAACACAGAAACTGCATAGAAAAGCCCACGAGTGCTGTCCCTTGAGATCACAGGGATGAACTAGAAGAGAATGAGAGAAGAAGTAAGTTCAGTGAAAGAAGGGGAAAGGAGACGGGAATGGCCGGACAGAGCCAAGCTCTCGGGGGCTCTGCCTTCTGGTGGGCTGACTTGACTCTTGTGTCACAAAGTGAACTGAACTCTGTAGATACTGTAGGGAGTGAGGAAAGAGAATGGAAGGTACTTATGAAAGAGGAAAGAAAAGCACTCTGGGTAATAGAATGAAAAACAGTAGGTTACATTAAACCCTGTGGGAGGGATGATTTTACCATATCAGACTCGCCAAGCCGTAGGGATGGAAACATGAAATGTGACATGAAGAGGTTCTAGAGGAGTTTGCCCTGTGTCTAGTACTGAGTCTAGTTTAGAGCTCTATGAATTGTGGTCTCCATAGTGCAGAGAGCAAAGAATTATAAATTATTAAGAAAGTACTTATGAAAATGAGGCGGTTATAGACAGGTACTACCATGCCTGACATTTCCGTGGGTGCCGGGGATCTAAACAGGCCCTCATGCTTGCTCAGCAAGAACTTTTTCCAGTGAGCCATGCCCACATTCCCCATGCCCCTTTGTGTGTGCATCTGTATGTGGGGTGTGTGCGTGTGTGCACACATGCATGCATGCATGTGCCTGTGCTTGTGTATGTGAGGACCAGATGTCAGTGTCCCGTTTCTTCCTTGGTTTCTCTCCATTGTATTTTTGAGGCAGGGTTTCTTACTGAACCTAAACTAATCAAATGCATCGTGAGACTTACTAGTTTCCTTTCCCGAGCAAACGTCTTTAGAGATGACATGAATCAAGCAGCCTAATACAGTCATCTATAAGAATTTGTCTCATATTTTCCACACGGCTCCATCATGTCATGCTCAGGTGTCAGCAGAGCTCGTTTTGGGCTTTTTGATTCTGATAACTCATCTGCATCTACTTGTTTGGTAGTCTACTTGTCAGTGTTAATGCTTATTTTATTTAACTTTCTTATTGCAGTAAATTGCTTAGGAAAGGAAATCTTGTAACTTACTCCTTGGTGTGGGATGGGGTATTTAATTAATTTCCTGCTTTTTAAAAAGCAATTCTTAGAAGAAAGTAACTAAGCGCACGCCTTTAATCCCAGCACTTGGGAGGCAGAGGCAGGCGGATCTCTTTGAGTTCGAGGCCAGCCTGGTCTCGAAAGCAAATTCCAGGAAAGGCGCAAAGCTACACAGAGAAACCCTGTCTCGAAAAACCAAAAAAAAAAAAAAAAAAAGAAGAAGAAGAAGAAGAAGAAGAAGAAGAAGAAGAAGAAGAAGAAGAAGAAGAAGAAGAAGAAGAAAGTAACTAGATATTTTAACCTAGAAGAAGACTTTTTTTTTTTTCCGGTATGGGAAATATCTAGAAAATGGATTTCAAGTTTCCTTGGACCCTTTGACTAGAAAGAGACCTTGAAGTGGAGCTGAGTGAATCCTACACGTTCAGTTTGGGAGATGCAGAGTTTTACAAATTTTAGTAGTTTTGTGATATAAAAGAAGTTTAGACCAGAAGGTTCGCAAATTTTAGAAAATTCCTGAAATGCTAGTTTGTAATAATGGCTTTTTTTTAATGCTGTGTGAAATATTTGATGAAGGTCTGTCTTGGTGTTTCTTTTGTTTATTTTTAATAGGTCAACACAGCTGGTGTTACTGTGGTCAGCAAGAGCAATTCTTCTACCGAAGAAAGTAGACAAGATGTCCTAGAGAACATGTTTTCTCAGAAACAGAAGGAACTAGCAGTTTTATTAGTGGAAATGAAGGAAGCTCAGGACGAAATTGCATTTCTTAAGTCACAGCTGCAGGGCAAGAGGCCTGATGGGGACCCTGAGGTCCTTGACCAGACGGAGGTGAAGCTGGTAGGGAGTGAAGGACCACCTTCTGTGACAGCGGGAGATATTCCCCTTGTGCCGAATGAAGAGAGCTGCATCCCAGGGGCTACGAAAGAGGAGCAGGCAAGCACTGAAGATCAGCATCCAACATCTGAGGCAGGGTCTGCAAATGACGCTGCAGTGGGATTGAACTCCACAAAGCTGCATGGTGTGGACAAATCCCCCTCTATATCAGATATCTGTCAGTGTCACCAGGATGAATTAGAAAGTCTCAAGTCAAAAATTATGGAGCTTGAGACAAGCCTTCATAAGGCAGAAGAGATTTATGAGAAAAATTTAGATGAGAAAGCTAAGGAAATTAGCAGCCTAACCCAGCTTGTTGAAAAATTGAAGAAGAATGCAGAGGATGCCCACAGCACGCTCACCACCGTGTCTGAGGAAAGAGACCAGCTTCTTTCTCGGGTGGAGGAGCTTGGTGTCTTAGCCGAGCTGAGGGCTCGGGTCCGAGAATTGGAGAGCAGCCTCACAGTAGCAGAAAAGCAAAGAGCTCTGGACTACGAAAGCCAGAAGACTCGGCACAACCTGCTCACGGAACAGATCGACAGCCTAACTGTAGAAGCCAAATTGAAGAATGTGAAAATGGAGGCTCTCCAGAGGGAGCTGGATGATGTGCAGCTGCAGTGTTCTGAGCAGGGCACCCAGATAAAGAGCCTGCAAAGCCAGCTGCAGGAGAAGGAGACTGAGGTGCTCGAGGGGGCAGAACACGTGAAGGACATCTCAAAGAAGATGGAAGGACTTTCACAGGCTCTTTCACAGAAGGAACTGGAAATAGCCAAAATGGAGAGAGACGTGGAGACACTCCAGCAAACCATCCAGGAGAAGGATCAGCAAGTGACAGAACTCAGCTACAGCATGACAGAGAAAATGGTTCAGCTTAATGAAGAGAAGTTTTCTCTTGGGGTTGAAATTAAGGCCCTGAAGGAGCAGCTCAATTCGTTGTCCAGAGCTGAAGAAGCAAAGAAGGAGCAGACCCAAGAAAATCAGGAAGTCCTTTCTAGTCCTGGTCAGGACGTGTCAGGCCCAGCGGGGCTGAGTAAAGAGGAGCTTCAGCGGGAGCTGGAGCTCCTGAAGAAGGAGAGCGATCAGAGGAAGAGGAAGCTCCAGGCAGCACTTCTTCACCGAAAGGAACTCCTACAGAAAGTCAGTACACTGGAGGAGGAGCTCGCCAAGGCGAGGGAGGAATCTAGCAAAGAGATGGCCCTCGGGGTTAGTGAGAGGAGAAAGCTGGAGGAAGATGGAGAGAGCAAAGATGAACCAGAAAAGTGTGGAACTTCTAAGTGTCGAGAACTAGAAGTTTCTTTAAAAGAGACGATAGCCGAAAAAGAAGTGGAACTGGAGCGTGTCAAGAGAGATTTGAAAGACAAGACGGCAGCGGAAGAAGAACTGCAGGCTGTGGTCCAACAGATGAGTCAGAACTTGCAAGATAAGTCAAAGCAAATAGATTGGCTTCGAGCAGAGATTACTGCAAATCAAGCAACTATTCAGAAATTGATCACGGGAGCCCCGGATGCTGGGGATGGAGACTCGGCAGCACCTCTAAAAGAAACGGTGGTGAGCAGCCCGCCCAGTGCGGGTGATGGGGAACACTGGAAGCCGGAACTAGAGGGGAAGATAGCAGACCTTGAAAAGGAAAGGGAACAACTTGAAAAGAAGCTTCAGAAAGCCTTAAGTTCCCATAAGGCGAGTCTCAAAAAGGCACAAGAGAGAGAGAGACATCTGAAGGATGAGCTCAGGAAACAAAAAGATGCTTACAATCACCTTCAGGAGCAGTTTGATGAGCAGAGTAAGGAAAATGAGAACATTGGGGGCCAGCTAAGGCAGCTCCAGATCGAAGTGAGGGAGTCTGTGGACAGAAAGCTCCCAGGTACTGACCAACGGGAACCTGGTCTTCCCACTCAAGGTTTAAAAGAGATTTCACTCGAAGACACAGAACAGCAGCCCGCCCAGCCTGCTGCAGAGTCTGACGTACACACAAGTCAGCCTTCTTACCCTGGAGATGCTGAAGCTCTCCAGGCTACTGTTGCCCAGATTAAGGCCCAGTTGAAAGAGATGGAGGTCAAGAAAGAAGAGCTGGAATTGAAAGTAAGTTCTACAGCGAGTGAGCTGACTAAAAAATCAGAAGAAGTACTCCTGTTACAAGAGCAGATAAATAAACAGGGTTTAGAAATCCAGAATTTGAAAGCAGCATCCCATGAAGCCGAGGCCCACGCAGAGAGCCTGCAGCGGGAATTGGAAAGTAGCCAAGTACAACTTGCTGGCCTGGAACATCTGAAAACATTACAGCCCAAACTAGATGAACTGCAAAAGCACGTGTACCAGAAGCAAGAAGAGGTCAGCCACCTTTCCGGACAGCTTGGTGAGAAGGAACAGACCCTCAGCAAAGTCCAGGCCGAGATGGTGGAGCAGGAGCATTTAATCAAGGCTCTGCACACGCAGCTGGAGATGCAAGCCAAGGAGCACGAGGAGAGGCTGAAACAGTTCCAGGTGGAGCTGTGTGAGCTGAAGCAGAAGTCGGAGGAAGCTGCAGAAGAGACCAAAGCAAAGCACCAGATACAGAGGAAACTTCAGGCAGCCCTCATCTCCCGCAAGGAGGCTCTGAAGGAAACCAAGAGTCTGCAAGAGGAATTGTCTTCAGCCAGAGATGCCGTGGACCACCTGACCAAGTCTCTGGCGGATGTGGAAAGCCAGGTTTCTGTTCAAAAGAAAGAGAAAGAGGCGTTCCTAGGAAAGTTAGCCCTTCTTCAGGAAGAAAGAGACAAGCTCATTGAAGAGATGGACAGGTCTTTGCTCGAAAATCAGAGCCTTGGTGGCTCCTGTGAAAGCCTGAAACTAGCTCTGGAGGGTCTTACCGAAGACAAGGAAAAGCTGCTGAGGGAGCTGGAGAGTCTGAGATGTTCGAAGATTGCAGAGAGCACCGAATGGCACGAGAAGCACCAGGAGCTGCAGAAGGAGTATGAAGTTCTTCTGCAGTCCTACGAGAACGTGAGCAACGAGGCCGAGAGGATTCAACACGTGATGGAAGGTGTGAGGAAAGAGAAGCAAGAACTGTATGGAAAGCTGAGAAGCACGGAGACAGGCAAGAGGGAGACAGAGAAGCAGCTGCAAGATGCAGAACAAGAGATGGAAGAGATGAGAGAAAAGATGAGAAAGTTCGCCAAGTCTAAACAGCAGAAGATCCTTGAGCTGGAGGAAGAGAACGAGCGGCTCAGAGCCGAGGCCCAGCCTGTAGGGGGCGCCAAAGAAAGCATGGAAGCTCTTCTTTCTTCCAACTCCAGCCTGAAGGAGGAACTGGAAAAGGTCACTTTAGAGTACAAAACCCTTTCTAAGGAGTTTGAGGCTTTAATGGCAGAGAGAAACATTTTGAGTGAAGAGATTCGAGGTCTGAAGCATCAGGTAGAAGATGGTGTACTGAAACAAGCTAGCCTAGAGGTCACTGAGAAATCCGATGAACAAAAGGATGTCACTGAAGAGGTCATGCAAGCTATGGTGGGCAAGTCTCAAGAGCAAGAGTCTCAGAGAATGAGTGTTCAGCTTGACGATTCGGAAGGTATTCTGTCAGTGAACAGTGCCAAGCCTGGCATTAGTGAGACTTTCAACTCCCACGATGACATCAGTAACTACCTCCAGCAGCTTGATCAGCTCAAGGGAAGAATTGCTGAGTTAGAGGTGGAGAAACAGAGTGACAGGGAGCTTAGACAGACACTCGAAAATGAGAAAAATGCCCTCCTGAATCAAATATCGGCAAAGGATGGTGAACTCAAACTACTTGGGGAAGAAGTCGCCAAAAGAAACACGTTAAATCAGCAAATCCAAGAAGAACTTTCCAGAGTCACCAAGTTGAAAGAGATGGCAGAGGAAGAAAAAGATGACTTAGAAGAGAGGCTTATGAATCAGCTGGCAGAACTTAATGGGAGCATTGGGAATTATTATCAGGATGTTACGGATGCCCAAATCAAAAACGAGCAACTAGAATCCGAAATGCAGAACCTTAAAAAGTGCGTGAGTAATTTAGAGGAAGAAAAACAGCAACTGGTCAAGGAAAAAACCAAGGTGGAGTCAGAAATCCGAAAGGAGTACTTAGAGAAGATCCAAGGGGCCCAGAAAGAACCTGGCAATCAGAGCCATGCAGAGGAGCTCCAGGAGCTGTTGAAAGAAAAGCAGCATGAGGTAAAGCAGCTGCAGAAGGACTGCATCCGGTACCAGGAGAGGATCAGTGCTCTAGAGAAGACAGTTAAGGCTCTAGAGTTTGTTCAGACTGAGTCCCAAAAGGATTTGGATGCGACCAAAGGAAATCTGGCGCAAGCCACTGAGCACCACAGAAAGGCACAAGTGGAATTATCTAGCATCAAAGTACTGCTCGACGACACACAGAGCGAAGCCGCGCGAGTGCTAGCGGACAACCTCAAATTGAAAAAGGAACTTCAGTCCAACAAAGAAGCCGTGAAAAGCCAGATGAAACAAAAAGATGACGATCTGGCGCGAAGACTGGAGCAGGCAGAGGAAAGACACCTGAAAGAGAAGAAGAACATGCAGGAGACACTGGATGCTTTGTACGGGGAAAAGGCCCACGTGGAAGAGATGCTTGCAGAGATGCAGGTTACACTGTCCAGGAAAGACCAGGACATGAAGCAGCTGCAGGAAGGCCTGGACAGCACCGTGGCCCAGCTCGCAGCCTTTACTAAGAGCATGTCGTCCCTCCAGGATGACCGCGACAGGGTGTTCGATGAAGCCAAGAAATGGGAGCAGAAGTTTGGTGATGCCATTCTAACCAAGGAAGAAGAGATCAGACTCAAAGAGGAGAACTGCGTTACTCTAAAGGACCAGCTTCAACAAATGACCATCCATACAGAGGAACTGAAGATCAATATCTCCAGGTGAGCAGGGAACCGTTTTCCCTCCAGAGAGAACTGTGAAGGCAAAGAAAGTCTCTAAATTGTTCTTATTTATTTTATTAGAATTACAGAACCAGTTTTTGTTTTAAATTCCCTTAGAATGTACATCCTCTTTACCTTCTGACATGTTTTTGCCATTTTTGTAACTTGTTGTAATTTGTATTATCATAAAATCATTAACATAAAACCACTGATGTATTTTCCCCCATATCTCTGTTAAGAGATGGCCTAAGTTTCTCTTCATTTTTGTGTCTGGATTTCTTGACAACCTGACTACCTTTACCTAGATTTTCACCAGCTTGCTCCCAAAGGATAGCTTTGGTGTCCTAAGTGGTCTGCTCTCCGCCTCTCTGCTCTGTATGTCGGCTAGCAATTCCGTCCTCACACTCTTGAATATCACCATCTGAGCTCAGGAAGCGACAGCGCCCCCCACCCTTACTACGGCTCCCCTTTTGTTTCTTTACTGTGTCTTTTGCCAGGATTATGGCTTTAAAGAAACCCACCATTAGCTTGTCTGGAGCAAGGTAGAATAAAACAATGGGAGCTGGGCTGATTTACTGTTCAGTGTCTCAAACGGATTACTAAAATAAGGAACACAGTTTCATGATTCAGAGCTCTCAGATGCGGTTGTATGTCATTTTCCTCTGTGGTGAGCTTGTTAGTATACGTGTATAGATGCAGAGAACTAAGCTCCCTATTAAAACCTTCAACAATGAATGTTGACTGATTTGTAGATCAGTTAGGTGTATGTCATATAGGTAATCTCTCTTTCTCTCCCCCTTTTCCTCCCCGCCCCCAACCCCTAGGCTTGAACATGATAAAGAAATTTGGGAGGCCAAGGCCCAGACAGAGCTCCAGGATCAACAGAAATTTTGTGATACCCTGCAGAGGGAAAACAAAAAGCTTACGTCCCAGTTAGAAGAGACTCGACAGCTCTACCACAATTCTTTGAATGAATTAGCTAAGCTGGAGTCAGAACTTAAAAGTTTCAAAGACCAGTCAACTGACTTAAATAACTCTCTAGAAAAATGTAGAGAACATAAAGAAAATTTGGAAGAGATCATAAAGCAGCGAGAAGCTGATATCCAGAATTGTAAGTTCAGTTATGAACAACTCGAGACTGATCTAAAGGCCTCCAGGGAGCTGACCAGAAGGTTGCATGACGAAATCAAGACCAAGGAGCAGAAGATTATAAGCCTGCTTTCTGGCAAGGACGAGGCGATCCAAGTAGCTGTTGCTGAACTGCAGCAGCAACACCACAAAGAGATCAAAGAATTAGAAAATCTCTTGTCCCAGGAGGAAGAGGAGAATGTTGCCTTAGAAGAGGAAAACAAAAAGGCTATTGAGAAAACCAATCAGCTTATGGAAACTCTGGGAAACATGAAGAAAGAGAACCTTGAGCAGAAGGCTCATCTAGATTCCTTTGTCAAATCTATGTCTTCTCTTCAGAATGACCGAGATCGTATAATAAGTGACTATCAGCAGCTGGAAGATCGACATCTTTCTGTGATCTTAGAAAAAGACCAACTCATCCAAGATGCTGCTGCTGAGAATAATACACTGAAGGAAGAGATTCGAGGGTTGAGGAGTCATCTGGATGACCTCAATTCCGAGAATGCCAAGCTGGATGCTGAGCTGATCCGGTACAGGCAAGACCTGAATGAAGTGATAGCCATAAAGGACTGTCAGCAGAAGCAACTCCTTGAGGCTCAACTCCAGAAAAACAAGGAGTTGAAAAATGAATGTGCAAAACTGGAAGAGAAGCTGAAGGGGTCGGAGGACGCCAGGCAAAGCCTGCAGAGGTCCTCTGAAGCCCTCCAAGAGGAGAAACATGCTTTGTCTACAGAGGTTGAGAGCTTGAAGAGGCACATGGAGGCCTTGCAGGAAGAAGGCACCCTAGGTGCCCAGCTGAAAGTGAAAGAAGAGGAGGTTCAGAGGTTAAGTGTGGCGCTCTCCTCCTCCCAGAAGAGAGCTACAGACCTGGAAGAAGAGCTAGTTTGTGTTCAGAAGGAAGCAACCAGGAAGGTCAGTGAGATCGAGGACAAGCTAAAGAAGGAACTGAAGCATCTCCATCATGATGCAGGGATAATGCGAAATGAAACAGAAACTGCAGAAGAGAGGGTGGCAGAGCTGGCCAGGGACCTGGTCGAGATGGAGCAGAAGCTACTCATGGTAACCAAAGAGAATAAAGATCTCACGGCCCAGATTCAGTCTTTCGGAAGGTCAATGAGTTCCTTGCAGGACAGCAGAGATCATGCCACCGAGGAGCTTGGTGACCTGAAAAAGAAGTATGATGCCAGTCTGAAGGAGCTGGCCCAGTTAAAAGAGCAAAAGGACTTAAGCAGAGAGAGTGACATTCTTTCCCAGGCTGCCTTGCCCCTGACCACCACTGAGAACAGCCTGCCCCGCCTTGAGAAACTTGACCAGCAGCTGATATCCAAAGACAAACAGTTGCTTCACTTGTCTTCTCAACTAGAAGATTCTCACAACAAGATGCAGACCTTTTCCAAGGCCATGGCCAGTCTACAGAGCGAGAGAGATCACCTGTGGAATGAGCTGGAGAAATTCCGGAAGTCGGAGGAAGGGAAGCAAAGGGCTGCAGCCCCTTCACCTGCCTCCAGCCCAGCTGAAATGCAGAGCTTGAAGAAAGCTATGTCTTCTCTCCAGAATGACAGAGATCGATTAGTGAGTGTGTGTTTCAGATCTGTGTTTGAGAGGTTTTGAGCCATTCTTTACATTGATTTTTATCTCCCTAGAAAAGGATAAATGTTTCTATCTGTAGAATCTGTGTATAAAGTCACCGTCATTGCTGCCCATTCCCTAGAGTGCTTGGGTCTTAAGAGAAACAGACATGCTGTTACCGTTTCCAAACTTGACTTTTCTTTGCACAGCATCTGCATTGGTTGTAAAAGGATTAAATGATAGTATCCTGTAAGTGGCTCCAGCATTTCAAGCAGGTTGATTGGAAGAAAATCACTCGGTGTCTTTTCACAGTGGTGGTTGAACACTTAATCGTCTGCTGGATCAGGATAGTGAGAACTTAGCTCGTCTTAGAAGTGTTGCTCAAACCTAATTTGTCAAGAAAGAAGTTATATATAAAAGAGATTTTATAAGACCTTTTAAGGTTCGTGTTAGTGGCTGGCTTTGTCCTCTGATCCCCAGGAAAGCTTTATTGGGGTACACAGTGTATCACCACAAGATTTCATAAAGTGAGTGTCGCTAGGCATGGCAGCACATGCCTAAAACTCCAGCATTTAGGAGGCTGGTGTGAGTTCAAGACGAGCCTGAACTATGTAGCTCATTTCAGGCCAGGCTGGGCTATGTAGTGAGACTGTCTCAAAACCATTTTTTAAAATCACTATTCAGTCATTGGTTGTTTGCAAATGAACTGTTGTCCACCCCTTCCTTCCTGTCTTTCTTTTCCTTTCCACTACTGCAATGTATACCAAGGCTTCTACATGCTAGGCAAGTCCTTTACCACTGAGCTACGTCCCCAGGTTGGGAATTTATTATTATTTTGTTTTATTTATTTTCATTTATTATTTTGAGACAGACTGTTGCTAAGCTACCCATGAAATTCAAGGTCCTTCCTCAGCTGCCTAAGTAGATATGATGGCAGATGCACAGCACCATGCCTGTTTCTGCCCACTTTCTTTCAGTTAATTTTTTTCAGAAGTGGAGAAAGGAGGTTAGAGGTTAGCTTGTCTTGTACTTGAGTTGGATTCACAGAACCCTTGTTAAAAGACCATACATGGTGGTCCTTGAGGCTCACTGGCCAGCCAGCCTAGCCTATGCAGACAAGCACCAGGCCAGGGAGGGACTCTGTCTCAAAAACAAACAAAAAAGTACTTGCTGCCCAAGTATAAGAACCCACACATATGTCTGGATACTTAACACACCAGAAAAAAAAAAAAAAAGCCAAATGTAGCAGCACCTATCTGTGATCCCAGGGCTGCACAGAGATAGGCAGGTCCCTGGACCCCACTGGCTAGCCAGCCAAGCCAAATTGGTGATCTCCAGGGTCAGTGAAAAAGTAACAGACCCTGTCTCAAAATATAAAGTGAAGAGAAATAGAGGTAAGCACCTGATGTCAGCCTTTGCCCACATGTGCCTGAGCACCAGTGGTTCTCAACCTTCCTGTAGCTATAAGTTTTCCTATGTCCCGCCAGGTCCACAGGCACTCAGACCCAAGTAGACACACAGGCTTATATTAATTAAAACTGCTTGGCCATTAGCTCAGGCCTACCACTGACTAGCTCTTACACTTAAACTCAGCCCTTTTTTGTTAATCTAGATGTTGCCATGTGTTCCGTGGCTTTACCTGTGTGCCAGTACATGCTGCTCCCTGGATGGTGGGCTGGTATCTCCTGACTCTGCCTTCCTCTTCCCAGCATTCTCCTTGTCTGCTTATCCCAACTATACTTCCTGCCTGGCTACTGGCTAGTCAGCGTTTTATTGAACCAGTGTACAAAAGCATTATCCCACAGCACCTTCCTAATGCTGTGACCCTTTAATACAGTTCCTCATGTTGTGGTGACCCCCAACAGACAATTATTTCATTGCTACTTTATAACTGTACTTTGCTACTGTTATGAATCATAATGTAAATATCTGATATGCAGGATATCTGATATTCAACCCCCAGGTTGAAAACCAGTGACCTACAACATGTACACACACTCACTTGAAAACACACACACACACACACACACACACACAAAATTGGATTTAAAAAATAAAAAATAAAAAAGCTGTATAACACCAGAGGAATATACCCAAAGTTGTCCTCTGGCACCCAGGCAGACACATATACACACATGTGCCTGCACCCTCATGAACATACATATACTTCATACACATTTATGCCTGAAGGCTGTTGTTTATGTCATGCTGGGATTCATTATGTGCTAAGTCACAATCCTGAGTGCTTCCAGCAGATTCTGTTAGCTGTGCTTTCATTCAGAGATTGCTTACTATAAGTTTATGCATTGTCAACACTGGACAGTATTTTGTTCTCTCAGCCCCCCACCCACTTTCAGTCTACTGAATATTGAAGAGACATGCCTTTTTAAAGAAGCCATATCTCTGTTTCTATAACTTGCAGTGAAACTGTTTCTTAAAACTGTCACTCTGGCCGGGCGGTGGTGGCGCACGCCTTTAATCCCAGCACTCGGGAGGCAGAGCCAGGCGGATCTCTCTGAGTTCGAGGCCAGCCTGGGCTACCAAGTGAGTTCCAGGAAAAGGCACAAAGCTACACAGAGAAACCCTGTCTCGAAAAACCAAAAAAAAAAAACAAAAAACTGTCACTCTGATTTTCCATCACCTAACCGTCAAGATAGCTGATTCTGTTCTGAATGTCTCAAACAGCCCCCCTTTGACCTTCAACATCCCGTGATAAGCTTCTTCACCGTCAACAGTATTAACAATACTGCTTCCATTGGGTACCTCTCCAGTAGATGACAAATAGACTTGTGGATAAATCATTCCCAAGCTCTTCCTTTCTTAGAACTGTCTGCTCAGGAACTTTTAAAAGGCACATGACTGTCTCGAAGAGGCTTAGGATCCCTGCCTCGGTCGGCCACTCAAGATCTAATGATTTGCCCCCCTCGTCTTTGCAGCCTCTTTACTTGTTCTTATCGTGCAGGTCGCCAACCCACCTCCTCAGCACACAGTGATCGCAGCGAGGACCTCCTGCCCCCATTACCATCCTGCTGGCTGGAGTGCCTTCCTCACTGCTCTCTTTTGGGGGTCATTCCAGATCCTAAACTCTCTTCCCACACTTCCCAGTTGCTTGATTCTGTTTTTACTTGCCAAGTGCTTGCCATACCTACCGGACGTTTGTCTCACGTGGCCTGCACACAAGGGCCTCTGCCGCTGGGCGTCTCATCCGCTCTCAGCCTTGTCTTTTGTCCCCATGTGATGTTTCTGGTTTTGTCATCATGTTGTTGTCAGTCTCCTTGTCTTGGTTATTTATTTTATGTCTGTGGACATTTGTCTGCCTGTGCGTCTGTGTACCACATGCATACCTGGTGTCCTTGGATGTCCTCAGACTGTGGTAACCGTTGTGAACCACCATTCTAGAATTGAACCCAGGTCCTCTGGAAGAGCAGACAGTGCTCCTAACCATTGAGCCATCTCTCCAGCCCTGCTTAATTAGTAAGAAATTCCTTTTTTTCTTTTTTTTTTATGTGTTTTTTTTTCTTGTTTCATGGGTGAATTTTCTAACTTATCTCTCCAAGGATGGTGGTGTTTTGCTGTTGCTGTTTCATTTATGTGTACATACTGTGCATGTATGACATGTGCAGGTGGTTGTGGAGGCCAGAAGAGCGCATTGGAATTACAGGCAATGTTGAGTTGCCCAGCACGGGAACTGACCTGGGGTCCTCTGGAAGAGCAGCAAGGGCTCTTAACTGCTGAGCTACCTCTCCACCCGTTTTGTTTTTGAGGCAGGGTCTCGTCATATAGTTGAGGCTTGCCTGCAGGGTTCAGTGTGGTCCAGGCTGCCCCCAAACTCACAGTCCTTCTGCACCAGTCTCTCAAAAGCCAGGATTGTGTGTGCAGCTCCACACCTGCCTGCCTTCTTCTAGTGAGTTTTCTTGGTGATTTTTTTTTATTGCTGCTGTGATGCTCCTGATCGCCGGCATTGTCTCTTGTCTTTGATCACACTCGGTTTCCCCTCGCTGATGTATTGAATTACCCTTGGAGCAGTTGCTTTGCATCCTCGATGTTAGCCCTTCTTCAGATGAAGCGCGACCATCGTTTCACCTTCACGTGAAGAGTAGACTCTAAGAAGCTCGTGGAAGGACGTGGTGTGAGTTCACTGCAGCGTGACCTTGTTGAGCTTATGGGTAATGGCCCCCAAGTTGGTGTCTTTGGCTCCTCAAGGTCTGGTCAGATTTTTGAGAGATCTTTCATCTCCTCTTAAGAAGGAAATCAGCATCTCCAAGCTGAGTAGGGAACTGGCAGGAGCACTCACAGTGTGCATCACCAGTCGCTACTGTTTTAGAATGGTGCTCTAACCAGCCGGGAGCACTCACAGCATGCATCACCAATCACTGCTGTTTGGGAGTAGTGCTCTAACCGGCAGGGAGCACTCACAACATGCATCACCAATCACTACTATTTCAGAGTACTCTAACTTGGGCTGGTGTTTTCCTGCTTCAAGGACATTCTTTACCTTTTCCAGAGAGTAAAGCTAGTTTTTCCGTGCGGATACCAAAGGGTGGAGCTGAGGATTTGGAATGCACTTGCTTCCGAAGCAGCTCTGCTCTAGTCCCCTTTTCTCAGCTCCCGACCCCCTCCAGCCCCTTCACCGTTTTCTCCAGAGGAACCTGTGCTGTTAATTCCTGAGCCCATTGAAGGTTCTACAGAGCAAGTTCTGTTGGTCCTTGGCTTCTCTATGACCGGTTGAAGATCCAGCTTTCTCAGATGTGTTAAGTCAGTTACTGTTCTTTATCTGCTTCCAGCCTCAAGCGTGTGTTGCTGCTGACCTTGATTCTCTTCCCATTCTTGTGTTTGGTACTTCTTAAAAAGCTACTGGCGTGGCGGCATTCACGGTTGTGAGTGGGTGAAAGGTGTGTGTGTTTAAGGCTGTTGTCCTCCCCAGATGTCCTGACATTATTTCTTGACCAGACTTTTAGTGAGTATAGAATGCAGTTTTGCTAAAGGCAAGTCTATCATAATAATCATCAACCTTGTGTGAGATGTATTATTTTTCTTATTTAATTCTCATAGTTGTATGAGGAAAAGTGCTATAATGATCTTCATTTAGTAGATCAGTGAAATAAAGACTTACATTGTCTCATATCCAAGAAACAGGGTATCCAATTCTAGAGCGCCCCAGGGTGGACACCATCTCAGCTCAAGTTAAGGCTGAAGTCCAGCTGGGCTGTGACTTGGTGGTAGAGAGAGCACTTACCTGTATGCCTGAGTGTGACCCAAGATTTGGGAAACAAGGACAAGACAAAGAAGCAGAGAGCAGCAACAGAACATGCTGCTGGTGTTCGTTTAAGAAACAGGAGCATAACAAGGGTGCATGTGTAAACGGGAAGCCGCTCTTCGCATTTGCCATTCACAGTAATCTGTTGGTCCTTTAAGTCTGTCTCGGGTCAGAGTTGGAGCTTTGGACCTTTGAGCTGGGGTTATGGGGTAGAAGTAGAAGGAATGGTTAGGCCCTGAGGCCTTGATGGCAGTTCCGTGGCTGTCAGTGGACTGTGGGAAGGTGCTCACAGTCTGTGGTGTCAATGTGGTAGGAGGGACTGGTCGGTAAGGGATAAGACATGAGTCACCCTTTGCTCCCTCTGGTTAAAGCTGCAGGAACTGAAGAATCTGCAGCAGCAGTACTTACAGATGAATGAAGAGGTCACGGAGTTGCGTCCACTGAAGGCTCAGCTTCAGGAGCATCAAGAGCAGACAAAATCCCTGCAGATGATGAACGAGCAGTTTAGGCAGGAAAACCTCGCCTGGCAGCATGAGCTGCATCAGCTCAGGTAGGACTGTTCTGCACTTTGACCTTTTTTACTGTCTTAACATTTTATTTTGAAATAGTTGCTGATTTATAGAATGCTGTGGAGATAGTGAGAGGACGTTTATGTACACTTCGCCTAGTTTCCTCCAGGGAAAGCATCCTATGATGTATTACACATCACATCCAGCTGGTTTATGCCTAACAAAGAAACGGCTCCACTCTTTACCAAATTCAGGAAGATACGTAAATAAAATAACAACAACTAATGTTTATTATTTAATGTTTAACACGTGTTTGTGTTTGATCAGTGATGTGTGATAGCTCATTTAGTCCTTAACAATAGTCCTAAGGAATAACTAGTTTATTCCTACTTTACTGAAGAAACTTGGCAAGAATGACATTTCCTCGGGTCTCACACCTAGTATATGCAACAACCAGAATTCTAAGTCCTTCAGAGTCATCCCTGATGCTAATTCTGCATCATGGGCATGACTGCTGAAGGACTGTGGTGGTTTCCGGTGCCCTGCGTGGCCTCACCACCCTCATACGTATTTACTCTACACACTGACTCCTGCAATTCTGAACTTCAGTCTCTGCATTCCTCCTGGTGCCTCATGCTGAATTTTCATGCTGATTTTGAATTATGGTTCCCATTTGGAAACCCAGCTCTTTGCCCAGGTTCCCAGTCCAATGGCAGTTCTTCTGTGAAGATACTTCAATCCCTAGCCCAGTCACTGCCCTGCTCTCACCATCTTACTGGGTATTTCCACTTGTAGAATCAGTTTCACTCTGATCTGTATTAGTTTTACTGCATTGCTAATATTGCATAAGAATGTTTTGAATATGGAATTTGTCTTCTTTGCATCATGAGTGTATTTGATCATTTTTTTTTTCATGGTGTAGAATGGAGAAGAATGCCTGGGAACTTCATGAGAGAAGGATGAAGGAACACAATATTATGGCCTTCTCAGATAATGATCAGCAGCTTGTCCATCTGCAGAATCTCCTGAGGCCTTCCTCCCAATCTCAGATTCTCCCCTCACAGTACCAAAGACAGGTGAGAATGTCCGTATGCTTTGCTACTCAGGGTGCCACTATCCAAAAGCATCTACCTCCTCGAACTACCCATTTGCAACTATTAGACAAGCCTCCTCCTGACTTTTTCTGGGGTGGACATGGTTTCTTCTAGAGGGGAGGATTAAGTATGAGCAATCTTAGGAGACAATTCCAGTGATGTTTGTACCCTGGCAGGCATCCCCAGAGACACCAGATCCCCTCGATGGGTCACAAAACCTCGTTTATGAGACTGAACTTCTCAGGACTCAGCTCAATGACAGCTTAAAGGAAATTCACCAGAAGGAAATAAGAATTGAGCAGCTGAACAGCAAGGTAGGTGTTTCATGCTAGACTGAAATTCAGTTTCTTTTTTCTCTTCCTGGAGGTAAGATTCAGCACAGGCACCCAGCTTCAGCAGAACTTAGGAATAGAAGTTTATAAGAGTAAGTGTTTATTCCAGAGCAGAGGACATGGGCCTCGTTCTCCCTGCCCTTGGCAGGTCTTTGAGAACAACTTGGAAAACCCATACAGAAGCTTCACCTCATCTTATCACTTGTTAGGAATATATAAGCATCTCCCTGTCCATCTCCCATGAGTCATTGTCTTTCTATTGCTCTCTGATTGGTCAAAGTGTTCTCAATGGCTCCTCCCCAGTCCTGCCCTCTTCAGAGAAGCCTAGATTGGTAGTTCCTGCCAAAATTAGAAGTTATTCATGAGGTTAGTGAGACTGAAGTCCGGAGGTCTACCTGGAGAAGAGTTGTAAATGCCCCCAAATACATGCATAGTTTGGAGTGGGAGTGCGTGCATCTTATCACAGGAACTCACGTAACATGAGCCAGTGAGACTGCTCGGGGGGTGAAAGTACTCGCCTCGAAATCCTGACGACTTCAGTTTGATCTCTGGATCCCACAGTGGAAAGACAGAATCAACTCCCGAGTGTTCTTTTCTGTTCTCTACATGTGTGGTGTAGAATGAACATGCCTACACTCATGCACGAGTATTACACACACACACACACACACACACACACACACACACACACACACACACACAAACTAATAACATTGAGATTCAAAATCATAACAATCAGGAGATGGTTTTCCCAGATGAGGAGAAAAGGCCACAAGTACTAAGTGACTTGCTCAAGGCTTCCGTCACTCTGAGGTCAGTGGTTATATATGTGGCTAGTGTGCTTGCCACGCACAGAGATACTCATTAGATGTTAAATTTAACCAACACTGAAATGTCAGAGGCTTCACTGGCTTTGGATCCAAATGAATCAATGGAAGAGCCAGCCCTGGTTTGGTTTGGTTTGGTGGGGAGGGTCTCCTCTGACCTACCTGTTTCCAGAATTGCTGACCTTTGTAGCTCTGTGGCTGTGAAGACCCAGTGAACATCTTCCAGTCAACTTCAGTTCTTACTCCTCTCCACATACTAGCCTGTGGCTCTGTCTGGCATCTATCCTCCTATGACAGCGTTTTAAATTGAACAGAACTGTTTATAGATGATGAAATCAATCATTTTGGTAGATGATAACAGATTAAAATGTAAATGTTTTATTGAAGTTAAACATAAAAGTAGGGGCTGGAAAGATGGCTCAGAGGTCAAGGGCATTTACTGCTCTTCAAGAGGTCCAGAGTTCAATTCCCAGCAACCACATGGTGGCTCACAACCATCTGTAATGAGATCTGGTGCCCTCTTCTGGCCTGTAGGGATACATGCAGACAGAACACTGTATACATAATAAGTAAAATAAATCTTTAAAAAAAATTAAAAAATAAATAAAAGTAACAGATCATCAGCATAGCATGGAACATTTTCACAAAGTAAAGAGATGCGTAAGAAGCAGTCAAGATAAAAACCAGAATGTTCCACACCCCCACAAGTCCCCGTTCCCTCTTCCGATCACAGCCACTCACACTTAGAACTAAGTGGAGTCACTTGCAGTGTGAACAGCACTGCTAAAGGCCTTTGTCACTCGGGTAAGAAACAGTTCTCTTTAGAACTTAGCTGTGAGGAAGGCGCCTCCTCCCTGGCCTCCCTCTTCATAGGAGTAGTTAACAGCTACTGGTTAACAGGTAGCTGTCATTTGCCAGCTGAGAGTCTGGCCATGTGGTAGGCGCTGAGGACACACATGAAACCTCCAGTCATTTGGGTCCCGACCAACTGGGAGAACTGCTTCTGGGGACGTGAGTGAGATGGCGGCGAGGGGCCGTCGTAGGTGTTCCTCTCTAATCCTGTGTGCCCCGGTTCCTTTGCTAGAGGCTCAGGTTTTCTGCACAGTTCTGCTGGCTTAGCTAAATGTTTCTGTGTGGTGTAGGAATGTGGTAGAAACTTTAAAACGTGATTGATGGTATAATGTTCCTCTAATTTCAGCGGCTTAAATTCGGTTAGTTTGTGGGGTAGAGCAGAGGACAGCAACTTAGAAGCCTAAGTTAGTTTGTGCATTGCATGCCACTGTGGTTGCAGCTCCAAAGCAGCAGTGCATAAATGAGCAGTGCTGTGTTCCAGTGAAACTCCATTGACATTGAGAGGGCAGTGGTCCCTGGATCACATGCCTGCTCCTAAACTCCAGAAACCTAGACAGATGCAGACAACATCCAAAACAGATCATGGGGGTGGCTTATTAGCCATTGGCTACTGTCATTTGCTGTTTGGAAGCCTTTGCTTCTAATGAGTTTCCTGGGTCTACCTTCTGTTTCTAGATTTACCAGAGACAAAATGGGAAGGTTCTTTTAAACACTGAGGAGTTTTGTTTTGTTTGTGTTTACTTGTGTTTGGGGTGGCTTGGGAAAGTCTTCTTCCTCCTGTGTTAGGAAAGCATTGTGTTCCTCCTTACCCTGGAGTTCCTGTTGTACTCAGCTATCAGCCCTCAAATTAATACTGCTTCTCAAACATTTACACCCTTTTCTTCAGCACCAACCTTTCTCCTGACACCCATGACTTTCCTGCTGGCCCTTATTGTATTTTAGATTGGGCAGCATCATAAAGCAGGTGGATCTCAAGACTTAAAGAGACCCATACCTGTGAGCTTTGCTCTGGGAGCTATTGGTGCCATGGCCTTGACGAGTGTAAACTTACTTCTTTTTCCCATTTGTAAACAAGGATGGAAATCCTTTCTCTGCTTCTTTCAAGGAAGACAGTGTTTGTCCAAATGTTTCGTGAACTGAACCTTGATCTTCAGAGTTACAACCACACAGAGTCATCTGGAGCAATGTTCTGTTACAGAGCATGTTTGTAATCATGTGTGCTCTTCTGTGTGCATCAGATGCATTTTCCTGCGGTGTCTCTAGAAAACTGTTTTCTCTAAAACATTGATAAACTTTCCTACATAAACACTTAGAAAAGAATCCTCAAGAGAAGACAAGACTTGCAGCTAGATCCGTCCATTTCCTGTGACACAAGCCTTCCTGTGTTTCTGTGGTGGGTACTCAGAGGGGACATCTCCATGGCCACTAATGTATCTGGGTATTAATCATAACTAAAGTTTAAAATGACAGCCCACAAATGAGGAATCAGAATTCTGGTTCCAGAGGAGTCAAATCCCAATCAGCTGGTAGACGCTACAGCAGGTAAATGTTTTCACTCATTGTAAAAATAAAGAAAGATAGATTTTCTGGCTCAGAAACCAGTAGCTTAGATTGCTTTGCCAGGTGATGGGCACCCTGACACTGAATTTGTGCAGGGACAGATTGGACCACTGCCTGTAACTCGGAACCAGAGGAAAGATTGGCTTTGAGACTATTTCTACTTTGTGAGCATCTGGGCTCCCACTCCAGTCTCTCAAGTACACGTAGACACATGATGATTTATTTCTGCTCTCTCGGAAACATATCCACCCAGTAATACTATTTATTATACACCTTTTTTAAGTGCAAGCTTGTTCTCTGGCTATATTGAGCTCTAGGGCTTGTTATTTATTAGTAATTCAAACATGGACCCAACCTACTGCCCTCTGCTTACATTCCTGGACTAGCCTGTTCTACTGGAATGTTTGTTAGGGGTTTCTGCTTAATCATTGTTCAGCTCATAGACTTTGGCACCATTAAAAATAAACCAGTTTCCTGCTACTCTTCCAGAATAATTTTCCTTTTATGGCTGAAACATTTAGGCATTTTTCCCTGTGAAGAAACGTACTGTGGTATGATTCTAAGGTAGGTCCTGTGTTACAAATCAGATCCTGACAGCTCAGGCCAGTTGCCTAAGTGTTGCTTCCGGTGATGTGGTCCTGAGGGCGGTACTTACCCTCTCCCCTCCTTCAGTTCTCTCAGCTGCTCGAGGAGAAGAATACCCTCGCCATCCAGCTCAGTGACGCCAGCCAGAGTCTCCGTGAGAACCAGCGCCACTACAGTGAGCTCTTCAAACACTGTGCTCTCCTGGAGAAGCGGGTGCAGGAGCTGCAGGCGGTAAGGCCGCGGCAAAGAGTGCTCAGTGTGGTAGTGGGGGCGGGAGGGGAGAGCTAGGGGCTGCTAGCCTAGGAGCTAGGCCTCCCTCGGGCTGTGGACTGCTTTCAGTTTGCAGACATACAGTATCTGAAGAGTTACCATCACGACTGCTACCTACGCTGCTGTTTTTTTCTAGGAGTCACCAACTGAAGATGTTGCTCCAGGAGCACCCCAGGAAAAGAATGGAACTTGTAAGAAGAGTGATCCTGAGGCCACAAGGGAGCCACAGCCAAGGTAGAGGATCAGGACTTGCCCTCCATCATGCACTGTGTGCAAAGAAATTGGGCGGTAGATAAGAGAGGGTGATGGGAATGAATATGATAAAGACACATTATCTATATGTGTGGAGATATCATAACGAAACCTATGGTCAGTGTACACTATTTTAAGGAAATGGGGTTGTGATCTTGATGGAGGGACTTAGTGTGTCCTATTATCTTGACTAGTGTCACAGAGGTGAGGTAAAGATTGAACATAGCAATACCTAACAGATGGTGTGTAAGAGCGAACAGGAGTTATAGCACAAGTGCATACATACAGCGCTACAAACGCTGGAGTTGAAACTGTTCCGCAGGCTCCCATCTCTCAGTGGGTATTTTCTGCTCTGTTTGCTCTGTACCTTTGCTCCTGTGTTAGTTTTCCTGTTTGGCGAGATGCTTCCAGCCTTGTGAAGATGTATCAGAGGTTGTGTTCTACATCTAGTTGACGCCCTTTGTTTGCCTTTTACCCTCAAGTTTTCCCGAGGCCCAGCAGCAGCTGTGCAGCACCAAGCAAGAAGTGAATGAGTTAAAGAAGCTGCTGGAAGAGGAACGCGACCAAAGACTGACCGCTGAAAACGCACTCTCCCTGGCCGAGGAGCAGATCAGATGGTAAGGTGTTGGGAGGAGCCTTCTGTCCACTTCTCCCCCTTCCTGACCTTGCTCCTGCGCATTTCTGCGACCAGGCTCAGGGTGAGTTAAGATCTTAATCTCCCCTTGACATGGTCCTGGGGAGATAGTCATCACCAAGAAGCACAGTACTTCTGGAGTTTCAAAGGCTTGTGCTTTCCAGGCCAGTAGCTCGTAGGGGTTAGTAATATATTTACCATCCATGTTACACAAGTAAGCTGTACAAGGTGTCTTTCTTCGTCCCAACAGTCGCTCTGTGAGGTATGTGTTGGGTTCTTCTGTGTCTCTGTCTGTGCATGTTGGGGGCAGGAAGGCAAGGTCAGAGGACGATGTTAGGTGTCCTGGTGTATCACTCTCTACCATATTCCCTTGAGACAGAGTCTCTCATTGAACCTGGCACTTTGAGTGACAAGTAGGCCTTTAGCCATTCTCCTGCCTCTGTCTTCTTCGCACTGGGATTACAGGTGTGCACAATTAGGCTGGCTTTCACCTGGGGCTAGGGATGTGACTGCAGATCCCCATGCTTGCAAAGCAAGTGCTCTTACCCACTGCACCATCTCCACAGCCCAGTGTTGGAGTCTTTAGAGGGCCAGATAAATGCATTTTCATTATCTGTCTGAGACCCAGACCTTTGTTTGTTTGTTTTTGTTTTGTTTTGTTTGTTTTTGAGACAGGTCTTACTATGTAGCTCTGGCTGGCCTGAAACTTGATTTGTAGACCAGGCTGGCCTTGAAGTCACAGGGATCCACTGCCTCTGCCTCCCAAGTGCTGGGATTAAAGGTGTGCACCACCACCACCTAGTTAGCCAATTGAAATTTTAAAGAGCATAACCTAAGGGAGAATAAAAGCCCGCTGAAGAAAATGTGACTTGGTTTGTTGGCAAATGCGCTGCCTAACCCTGAAGGTCCCTTTGCCAGTCATAGGCTCTGTTGGCCAGTGTCTGCTGGCTTTGCAGAAGGCCCTGCTCTTGTCCAGCTGGGAAGGCCTGGATGGGTGTGATACTGTGGGCACTCTACCCCAAGTGTGATTTGAAGGACACAGCTGTGTACCCCTCGTTACTTATTCCAAGTGAAGAAAATCACTGTGTGTGGGAAGGTAGTGTGGCTACAGGTGTTTTGTTGCTGGAATACCCTTTACATGCGAAGAAACAGTGTAGCAGGCATCTCCATTGTGTCTGCAAGGGCAAGCCATGGCTGCTGTCTCTTCCCTCAGAGTAAATGGCACTGGGGATGTTACTGCCTTCTTGCCATGCCTTCCCCAAGAAGCAGGTCTTAGCTGGGATTTCTTTCATTTGCATCGAGCATCTTCACAGCTTTTTGTTTTCAGCACCTGTCTAGGTAGCTTTGAGGGTCGGCTCTGTGGAAGCACAGTGCAGCGTGGTGGAGTGGCCATGCCAAGACTTTGAGGCCTGTTTGTTCATGGCTCTTTCTCTGCCATTTATGAAATGGTTCAGATTTCTGAAGCCTCGTCTATGGGGAGGTCAATCCCCCCCCGGTGTCATTCATCTGCACCACTTGAGACAGCTTAGTCAGGATGATTCTGGAGCCTGTGTCTGGACCACATTAACCTAAGGTTAGCCCTTCCCCACTTTCCTTCTGGCTGAGAACAGAATGGAGAGCGGGGTGGCTAAGGATGGCCAACATAGACCAGGGTCGGATTAAGGCATTTCGTCTCTGCTGGAGAGTGGCTCACAGAGAAGCAATGTTCAGCTGATGGAGATTCCCTGTGTGGGAAGAAACATGAAGAGGAAAGGGGCGTGGCCTTCTCCCCACTCCAGGTGAAATGTGTGTCCCTGTAGGCAAATGAATGATGAGAGTGCCCTTGCCCTGTTTGCAGAGACCACTGAGTAATGGCAGCTTCTCATAAATGGAGAATTTCCCAAATGAAGTAATAAGCCAGTCAGCAGAGGGCTGCAGAGGCTGCCAGTCAGCTTCAGTCTAAGTTCAAAGCCAGCCTGGGCCACATAATAAGACCCTTTCTCAAAAACAAACAAAAAATGAGGTGGGGTGGAGAAGGAAGGGGAGAGAGAAATTAGTGAGTTTCTGAATCAGATGTGGAATAGAGGGGGGAAAGAACATGAGGTATAAAGACAAATGGGTCTTGGATCCCAGTTCCATTGGTTGTTGGTCATGCTCCCGAGGACAAGACACTAACCAGCTTCCCAACCGGAAGGGTGACTGGGAAGATTCGCATGCAGCGGACCCGTGTTGTATCTTCTTCCTCAACACAGGTTGGAGCAGAGTGAATGGGAATCGGCCCGGACTCCTATCATTGGTGCCTGTGGCTCTCAGGAGACGTCTCTGTTAATAGATCTCCCAGGCAGCAGCTGTCGAGGGGTAAGAGGGGAAGGCCACAGAGAGGACTCTGCTGTGGGACTGGGCTGCAGGGATGGAGATGGCCAGTGTTGTAGGTGTCCAGCCACTGAGGAGACGCTCCCAGAATGCCTCTCTTCTGTGAGGACAGGATTGGCTTGGCTTACATGCAGGATTACTGGTGAAGGGAAAGAGCCCTCAGGTGGAGCTTGGACTCCCCATTTGTTGTTATTTGGTTTGTTTCAGGCCCGGAGTGGTGTCGGATGGAAGCGGGTTCTGCGTTCACTGTGCCATTCCCGGACCCGGGTGCCGCTGCTCGCAGCCATCTACTTCCTGATGGTTCATGTCCTCCTTATCCTGTGTCTCACAGGTCACCTCTGAACGGGACTCTCAGAACTTTTAATTCCTGCGTATCTAATGTCAGAATTGTTAGTTCCAGGACAACCTTCCCACTTTGAACCCACCCATATCTCCTTGGAAAGTTCCTGTAACAACAAAGGTGGTTCTGAGAACAGTTTGGAGCTGCAGGCCCGGTGTGTCCTATTTTCTGGATGTGCCAACACAGGGGTCCTGAGACCGTGCGGGAGCATCACCGCTTCTAGCCTCAAGAACTTGAGCTACCACACTGCTGTGCGGGTGTGAGTTATTCCATCTTCAACACCATTGTCACCTGCCTCTGGGAACAGGGCTGAGGCAATGGGAAGAGAAGGCAAAGCACCCGAATCCAGACCTGACAGCAGTGTCACGCGTGGCTCCCACTGTACCTGTCTCCTCTGCCCAAGGACTTTCCTGAACTACTGTAAAATAATAAAATAATAAAATTATTTTCAGAATGAGGAGTTGTGTCGGCACAGGTGTTATGGACCTGTGTTTGCACTCTATGGAGAGTGAAGGATGGAGGAATGCTTACTGGAGCAGAAAGTTGTGAAAATTCTCCCTTCTCACTGGCCAGCATCACATGGCTGTGAGCATCCTTCTAGCCTCAGCCGCTGGAGCCGAAGGAGGTGAGGTATAGTGAAGACGTCCATCCTGAGATTGAGTTAGAGGAGCGGAATCATGGGGTGTGAAATTCCTGAAGCCTTGTGTATAGTTCTGAGAGAACTCTGGAAAATATTGGGCCACCGAGTATGGTGGCACTTACCTCTAATTCTAGCCAGCACTCAGGAGGCTGAGGCAGGAGGATCATAAGGTCCAGGTCAATCTTGTCCATATAGTAAGTTCAAGACAGCCTGTGCTACATAACAAGACTCTGTCTGGAAGGAAACACACACACACACACACACACACACACACACACACACACACACACACACACACCCCAGCAAACAAAAAGTTTCCTAAGACAGGACCCCCAACACACACCCAGTGCAGGAGGGGAAGTTTTGTAGCTCATGCAGGTTGGGCAGGTACAATTATGCTTTTAGATGACATTGCTGCTTGGGAAAGGCTAGCTGGCTCTCTCAGTGTACATGTGTGTTTTAAACCTGATCTCTTTGGTTTCAAAGCCTTGCTGTTCCTGCATGTGACACTCCGCTCCTCAAGGAATGAACATGGGGTATTTGTAAAGGGGAAATGAGTTTTCTTGGTGTCATCTCTGAAGTTCTATGGTTTCTCCAGAGAACTGCATTGCTGTATGATGTGTTATAATGTCTGCTCTGATAATTCCAATGTTGACATTGGGTTAGAATTCCAAATTAGCTAAGATTTCCCCTTTTTACATATTTCTCTACTTTAAAGTAGCTTTATCAGAACAAATAAAATGTCCCAAGTCCAGCTTCCATTTGGAAGTGAATTTAGAAGCTTTCTGTTCTGCAGAAACGCTCTCTTATGTTGTAGACTGGTTTCGCCAGTCCTCCTGGGACCCTCTTGGGGTTCATTATCTCTAAGCCAATCAGGTCAGAACTCCACAGATGACCAAGATGAGGAGAGCCTGGGTCAGATCCAATACATTCTTAGTAGGATTAATTTTCAACCAGAGATCCTTGCGACTTTATTTGCCTCATCTTTGTCACTGAGGGCCCCAGGTTGCCGGGGAGTCCCCCTGGGGGATTATTTGTAAAGCAGCCAGTAAAAGCGAAAGGGTCTATTTCATTGGTCCAAACATGTCACTTGAAGATAGGAGGGAAGGGCAGCGGATCTTAACAGTGTAGAGTATGTCAGAGTTCACATCTGCTTCCTAGAGAAGTTTATCTGGAGTCAGACCTCTATCACTGAGCTCAGGCCCCACAAGGCTTCCCAACAAGCTAGGGAACCTTCTCCCTCCTTTCCCACGAGTTACCCTTGGGTGTCAGTTCTGTGTGAGCCCCATTGTAAGTGCTATAGGTAATGAAGAGGTGTATATTACTTATTAAGGCTCGCCCTTCAAAATTCACATGTAGATCAGTATCCCACTAAGCCTTTCTTGATTGCTACAGCCTATATGAAATGTTATGTTTTTTTTTTCCCTCCCTGAGCCCTGGCCTCTACAACCATGTTGGAGCTCACGCTACACCTTAGTGCTGGGATCACAGATGTTTGCTACCACACCTACCTGGCCCGTTGTGAATTCTTTTACTATCTTAGGTGCAGCTGCCCTATGTAGGACACAGAGTGGCCCTACAGCATTCTTGAACGTGTCTTAGCTGTTAAGGATGTGGCTCGGTGGTCATTTTTATAACTAACCCGTGACCTGAAAGAAAAAAAAAAGTTTCAAAATACGAGACACAGAATCACTTAACCCTTTTAAGTACCCAACGCTTAAGGAACCGACTCAAACTCCAGGAAGTAGCTGTGAGGACAGTGTGGCAGGAAATGACAGAAAACCTGAAAACGGAACTGAAGCAGCTGCTCAGTTTCTTGCCCTGAAGTGGCAGCGGCTGAAGGGGGTGCCGGGTGTGGACCTGAAGAGCCAGAGCTGCGAGCCTCACAAACGGTAGTAAAGGTGGGTACTGGGAGCTCTGGGAGGCTCGGGGAGCACAGGGGCCATGTGGAAGAGAAATCTGCATAGCACTTAGTTCTTGCTGAGGGAGGGCCTTGCTAATAGGTGTTGAACTTCTGATGGCCGTAAGGCCTGTGCCGTGGTTGACAGTGAGCATCTGAAGATAGGACCAAGGAAATGGCCCGCACTCAGGGGACATGATTGATCAGTCATCTAGGACTGTGGGTCCAGCCAAGTATGCCCTGGCTTCTACTGAGGATCTATACAGCCCACTCTAAGGGCTGGCTGCCCCTGGGCATTAAACTAAAAGAGACCCACAGAAAATAATGACAAAGTGGACTTTTGTATCGTCTAGCAGGGACACCAAATGCACATGGGAAATGTAAGGGAACAGTAGTTAACCACACGTGAACACTGGTGCTGAGCCAAGTGCTTTTAGGGGCCAAATGCAAGCTTGATGATTCAGCTAGGGTAACTCACTGTGTTTGTGGGAATCCCAGAGTGTCAGAGACAGGCAGCTAGGCTAACCTCTTCACTATTTAACATTGGGGAACAAAATCACAGTAATCAGTGATTTGTCAAAGTATTTAATATTTGTGAATTGCTTAGTCTAGTATCTGGCCAAGTGGTGTATACTGTGTTGCGTGACTGGCTGTGGTCTCACAGGGGCTGTTATATTACTGAGGTGTCTATGGACTGTTGATGCCATAAGATGACACTGTCATCAAGCACTGGATGTGCCTGGCATTCACTGTCCTTCACCAGATTGTTCTCCAGCCTTCTACTTCAAGTTGGCAACCTTCTTGACTAGTCATCAACAGTACAAGCATATTGTTACTTTGATCTTAAAAGTGAGTGTGAGGGGCTGATGGGGGAGATGGGCTGAGGCCTGGGGGGAGGGGATAGAAGGACAGAGGATGAGACCATCGGACCTCACTGCTTCCTTATTGCTCATGAATATAGTTGACTTCTCCTTTCCAGTTTCCCTCTGTTGCAGGATAGCCTCAAAGCCAGGACATGTCAAACAGAGGCTATAGGGATGTGGTTCACAGGTCATCTTTAGCTGTTCTAACCCCTATCAGTAGCTATTGCCAAGTAGGGAAGGCATTGTTCTTAGTAGCTCACCAGACTCTTGGCCTGGTTAACCCCTCACTTCCCCCATTGCCCCTTAACACGTCTCTAACCCCCCCCACACACCTCAGATTTTCCCATGGATGATCTTCTAGGGGTTATCAGAAAATAGGAGCAAGGGTAGAGGGTTCCAGGTGAATCTAGAAAGTGGAGACCTAATGCACAGAGCCCTGAGGAGGGGTAGTTGAAGAGGGTCTCCTTTGGGAGGGAGTGATGAACACCAGGAAGGCCTCCTGGTGATGGAGGTTCCTTAGAAAGAAGGATGAGCAGGGACTTGCTAGCCAGTAGGTAGGAGCTGAACCAGGAAATCCCAAAGGCTACCAGGGTGGATGGGCATCGTCCCTTGCTACCTCTCTACACCTCTGTTCAGAAGCCCACAGTGTGACTAGGCAGTTCTTCCTCATGCTCCCTTGCTTGGCAAGGCTCAATAAAACACTGGTGTCCAGTGGAGGATGATTGATACCCCATCAAACTAGTCTTCTCCAAAGACTTCTGTAATGTTTACTTGGTTGGTAAATTCCACACTGTGTTCCAAAAAAGGGACTTGTTACATGCTGTGTTTGAATATTTATCTTTTTAAGTGTAGTTGGACAGTATTTTTAATTGAGCGATAAAACATACAGCATTGGCATTTTCTTTCTTAGAAAATTGAGATTCCTGTCATTTAATGTTTCCCCATGCATCAACCAGTGGGTATTTCAACCAATTGTCCCTACTGATGATCTACTCCTGTGCAGTAAGTGACCAGTCTTAGAGTGAATGTGGGACAGTATTCCATGGACAGGTGAAAATTTTTTCAATGTAGCTAAGCAGATTATAGACAGGAAGGACACTGGACTCATTTATGTCTTCACAACTAGAAAGGAAACTATGGAGAAATCTCAGGGAAATGCCACCACAATCCTGTAGTGAGTGTTGTATGACCACTGGTTACCCCTACATAGTGAACAGTCCCAGCACTGTGATAGAGGTTGTTACCTACATCTACATTGACTTCTCTGCAGATGTGGGTGGACTCAACCATCCTGATTTATCTTAAATAAATCCCACTCCTTTCTCATCTAGTTGAGCAGAAGTTTCCCTAGAACTTCTATCAGCTTTGTTTCAGCTCTTGTTTTCTTCTAAGAAGGGCAAGAAACATCCAATTGCTATACAGTTGACTTCAGCATACTTATCATCCTTTCTCTCAATTCTGTTTTCATTCCTAATTATTTCCATCATCCATCACCTTCAGATGTGGAAATCTGTAGTGGGGCATGATGTATCTGTTTCCGTGGAGACCCAGGGTGATGACTGGGACACAGACCCTGACTTTGTGGTGAGTAGGGAAGTAAGCTTTGCTTGAACAATGTGGGGGGTGCATCTCAGCCACTCTGACCTTTGAGGGGGCTTAGAAAGGACTAGCTGAGCTTAGGATAGTCTTCATGGTGAGACAGATTGGCAGAATCATTAGCTGTCATTATTAAAATGCATGATAACGTGATGAGCATAGAAGGGCACAGGTATGAGTGTATTTGATAGTGAAATTGAGGGACCAGGTCACTCTATTCCTGAAGTTGAGGATCAGCTGAACCTGGGACTCTTCTGGCCTGTGATCCATGATTTGAGATGTCATGGGAGACCTACAGAGGAAAGAGTAGACCTACGGTAATTCAGAGTAAGAAGGGACATGCCAAGGATCACTAGCTTAATGTTAATTCTCATGTGGGGCTGAGATAGGATAGCTGCAGCTATGAGTGAGAGTAATGCAGGGGACAGAGAGGATGAGGGTGGATCGTGAGGCTCCCTGCAACATAGCACATTTCTTGCTGACGGTGTTGCATGCTGTCTTTTTTAGAATGATATCTCTGAGAAAGAGCAACGGTGGGGAGCCAAAACCATCGAGGGCTCTGGACGCACAGAGCACATCAAGTAGGTGCCGGAAGAACCGGGAGGGGAAGTGTGTCCCGTGAAGAGCTGTTGGAAAACCTGCAGCCTCCGGGGAACGTGTGGCAAGAAAATAGCCATGCCTGTGAATCTTTGTGTCTATTTATTTATTTAGTCTAGACGCTGTCTCCGTGTGTTTTCACTTCATCGCGCTCGTCATCTGCCTTATTCTTATGTGTCTTTTATATAGGACAGCTCTCATTCTCCCCCCAGGGTAGTCTGTTGTTTTAACGATCTCCCTTCCTTCATTCAGATAGGAGGTAGTCAGAGAAGTGGCACAAATGCTGAAGTTCTGTCTATCTGTCTGTCTGTCTGTCTGTCTGTCTAGCTAGCTATCTTTCTATCTATCCATCTACCATCTATCTATCTATCTATCTATCTATCTATCTATCTATCTATCTATCTATCATCTATCAATTATCTATCAAATGCCATTCACCTAACCCTTCTCATAAATATAGAACATGTGCTTAGAGTGGAGGGTGGCTTCCAATGGGTTAAGAAGACTTCAGTGTTGGGTGTGGTCTTACACATCTTTAATTCGAGCACTCAGGAGGCAGAAGCAAGCAGATTTCTGTGACTTCAAGGCCAGTCTGGTCTGCATGTGAATTCCAGGTCAGTCAAGACTACATAATGAGACCCTGTCTCAAAAAGAGAAGGCATCAGTAAAATGTCAAGGGAAAGAGCTCTCCCATCAATGCTGTAGTGAGGACGATATCTGAAGTTGGTACAGTGACTTGAGCTACAAATTTGCATTGGACTACTTGATAGAAATTGGGAACCATTAATGTTAATATTAATATAAAGAAATATGACATTTGGAAAAGCTGATGACTAAAATCATTTTAGCAATGATGTTTAGTCTTCAGGACAAAGATCCAACTTTCATTTTGTCTGAAATAAATGTGGCAATGTAGCTCAAGTGGTAAAATTTTGGACTAGTATGCATGAAGCCCTGTATTTGGTTCCAGCACTAAATAAACTAAGTGGGGCAGCTTATGCTTGTAATTTTGGCACTGGAGGGTGGAGGGGGTGCCTGTGGGGGGAGTGATGGATGCAGAAGAATCAGAAGTTCAAGGTCAAGGCTAGCCTGGGTTACACTGTGTGGATTATAACGTGTGAGCGGTTGACTCTGCATTACCAATAATGCACCGGTGTCCCATTAAGGAAAGAAAGAGAATCACTTCCCTTTGTTTAAGGAAGAGAATCTAGATTTGAATTCTCTACTTCACTCTCTCTGTCTTCTTCCTCGGTTGGTCTGCTGTATGTGTCTCAGTCTCTTAGATTAGCAGAAGGCTGAATTTTGAGTCTGTGTGTCCCTGTGTCTGTGTGTCTATCTGTCTTGTTTGTGGCTGCTCTGTGACTGTGTGCCTGGTGTCTGGATCTCCCTAGCAAAAGGCTCTCTCTGCTCTGTCTTTATTGAACTGCATGGAAAGCTTCACTTGGGGGGAAGCAGTGATGAATACTTAACAAAAATCTTCAACAGAGTTGAACAAGGGATTAAGTCACTGGCTCCAACTGACCCAGATAGCAAATATCATTGGTTATCAACCAGTACCCATAAATGGAGGCTTTCAACCTTTAAGGTTGATTTTAGGAAGTTGCTCTCAACTTCTGTATTTGCCGCTTTCAGCAAATGAGACAGAGGCGTTCCCCTGGGTCAGGGGCAGGGAAGAGGACATAACTTAAGATTGCAGCTGTGCATTAGCTTAGGTTGTCAGAACTGATCACACAGCAAGTAAGTTTGGTTGTCACATTGTTCTCTTAAAGTCAGGCATAACAGGCCAGCAGTCTCAGTGGTAAGTGATTTCAAGGCATCTTGTTCACTTTGACTTCGAGGTCCAGCCAAAGCTTCAATCTCTTAGGATGTGAGAGATATTTTTAGAATATTGTATCACCACAATACATGAGCTTACCTAGGGTTTTCTGTGGAATGTTGTACTTGGCAACCAAAAGATACTCACCTCTCTTCCATGGACTAGACAGCACCATCTGACCAGGACTGTTGGCTTTAGAAAGCCCCAGACAGCCATATTTTAGTAGCAAAGTAAACACAATGGTATAGTAAGAATGAAAGTTGGAAAGTAATGAATCAACATTACTCCTAAATATGTCAAGATTAAGGCAATTTTCAGTTCTATTCCCAACTCCTCCTCCCACACTCTAACAATATTTTGACCTCATTTTCCCCTAGATTTTAAAAGGTGTCAGTGATGACCACATTGCAACAGCCATAGTCTTAGGAGACTTGGTACATGTTTGTGCAGATCTGGAATATTACTGAACACCATTCAGACTTAAATGGTTTGACTTACATAGCTATACTAGATATTATTCTTTTAAATTTTTATTTATTTTTATATGGATGGGTCTTTTGTCAGTATGTATGTCTGTGTACCATGTGTGGGTCTGGTGCCCGTGGAAGCCAGAAGAGGATGTTGGATCCTCTGGAACTGGAGTTACAGATAGTTGTGAGCTGCCATGTGGGTTCTGGGAATCAAACCTGGGTCCTCTGGAAGAACAGCTCTTAATCATTCAGTCATCTCTCCAGGCCCAACTGAATAGTAAACAAATCAAGCAATTCTGGAAAGTACATAGTGTGACAAAGGAAAAGAATAGGAACAGGGCCTTTCCAGAAACTTCCTTAGTATTCACGCCCCTGAGAGCTCACAGATTCAAGAAGGTTGAAGCTCTTTCCTTTTCTGAGTGAAGGCCACACACTCTGGAGCTCTGGGAACTGCTGAGATGAGAAAACACTATCATGGTGCTTTCCCTGCCCAGTGTCTGCATCTTGCATGTTAGGGTAGAGCATTTTAAGGACTGCTAAAGTCCCGCCGTGAGCCTGTGGGAAGAGCTTGCATCTGGAAGGGTTTGCATCAGTTCACAGCTCTGTCATTACTAGCAGTGTGAACTTAGTCAGCCCTCATGTTTCAGTAGCCCATTTTATTAATTCATGGGGATTACAGCGGCTACTCTAAAGGTTTATGTTTAGAATTCAGTGAGTAGTATACGTGAGTGTCTGCTGGTACTTAATATTTCTTAGCACTTTGGTGATGTTATTTCTATACTCTGTTAATACAGATGAGTTTCATCATGTCCATCCCCAAACCTAACACGAGTATGCAACAGCTGGTACCTTCCTTCTTCCTAAATGGTGTTGACTCAGAGGGCTGCATGGCGTAGCACTGCACACATTGTTTTGACTTGGTGTGGGGCTCTGCATATCAAACTAACTGGATCTGTGTCCTCTATAGTGAATGCTGGAGGTATTTCCACAAAGGCTTTCTTGTCTATATTTGTTAAGGCCTTGAAGGTACAAAAGCTTGGATCCCTCTGGGAACAGGCTAGCTGACCTTGGACAAACCTTTCACCCTCTCTGGTGTTCAGTTTCCCTATCCACATCAAACAGCCCTCCAGGGGACATTCCCATGTAAAGTCTCGAATGTTCTTTGCTCGGTACCCACTAAGCACCCTTTATGGTCAAGTGGGAATCACCAAGACCCTGGGAGAGGAGGAGAAACAGGAGGGGAGAGTACTTGCCCAACCAGGCTGACTCAAAACAGGAAGAGGAAGTGACTGTGGTTCTTAGTAGGCGTGCGGCCTGCCCCCTCACCACTGTTTCTTTCAGGTCAGCCTTGAATAAATTGAGTGTGGGGATGGCTTTCTAATTCAGAGCCGAGCTTAAGTGATTCTTCCATCTCTCATCAGTTGTAGAGAGAAATGGCCCAATGGTCAAGGGCTATCGCACCGCCGTGCTCCCCACGCCTGCCTACTCTTCTTCTTGCTCTCTTCCCCCTTGACTAGTGAAGCGTCCTTACCACCCTCAAACAGTGATTCGTAAACTCTCCGTGGGAGAGGACAGAGGTTTTTGTCTGTTGTTCGTCTGCTTTTCTAAAATAAAATATAACTGAAAAACGACGACATAGAGGATAGAAGCACAATTTTTACTTCTGGATTCAACAGATACGAGAGCACCATGTAAACCTCTTGTTCGTGTTTCTAAAACCATACTCTTGATTTTTATCTTCTTTTCTTAGTGGAAAAGAAACAAGTCAGCTCCCAGAATGCCCTGCGAACAGTGTTGTGGGCATCACTGTTGCTCAAATCTTAATTGGTATTTTTAAAAACCCAGAGCCAGATATTGGGGTAAATGCTGAAAGATCAGAGGGACAAGGGAACAAGCCACAGCCACCTCTTACCTCTAGGACTCCTCAGCCTGAAAAGGGCTTTTTAGTTCCTGTATCCTCGTGCCTTATATACCTTTCTCCACCCAGCCATATCCTTCTTAGTGCTGGGATTAAAGGTGTGTGTGTGCTTCCCAAGCAAAGGCATGAGATCTCAAGTGCTGGGATTAAAGCTGTGTGCCACCACTGCCTGGCTCTGTTTCTCTCCTAGACTGAATCAATATCATGTAGTCCACAGTGGCTTTGAACTCAGAGATCCAGACAGATCTCTGCCTCCCGAGTGCTAAGATTAAGGGCGTGTGCCACCACTGCCTGGCATCTATGTTTAATCTAGTGGCTTGTTATATTCTCTGATCTTCAGGCAAATTTTCTTAGGGTACACAATATATCACCATACAGCACTACACTGGACAAGGCCTTCCTGTGCTTCCTGAAGCCTTTAGATTAGGTCTCACTGAGAAATAGCTGTAAGTATCTGCCTCAGCGGCTTACCTGATTTCTGTGTCCTACCATTTTACACAAAGTAGAAATGAAGAATAACACAGTACCAGACAGAGTACTAAAATAGAACCCCAGAGGTCCAGGGATGGGTGCCAGATCTGCTCTGGCAGCACTCAGGGCATTAAAGAGAATAATTTCACCACTCTCCTCTGTTTACCCATGTGACTGGAGATATCAATACTGGCCCTCCTTACCTCACAGGGGTACTGTAAAGAACCATAGCTATAACATGAGAATAAAGGGCAACATGTATTGTGTCTTGTCATGCAGTCATGCATGTCTTTAATAGATGGTAATGTGATTCTGATAGCACAGAAAAGATATTCATTCTTGATTTTAACAATTTATCTAAGGATTTAGACATAATATAGACAAATATTTTGAATTCAACTCAGTCTGAATCTATGGGCTGAGTACTTATCCACTATGTCATATTATTTCTATTAAACCCATTTTGTCATGTCCATGATTCTCTTTTAAAAATGGAATGTGAATTCCCATGATCAACTATCACCTTTCCCTGAGGCTGCTGTTCTGTTGAAAGCAGCTGATTATATTATAGTCTGGTCTTAACGACGTGCCATACTCACGGCATAAGCATGGGCCTCTTCACGAGTACATTCATTTAATATTTTCTTATTTAAAAAAATCAATGTTGTTAATGTGTAATCATCATAGACAAATGGTTCAGTGAATTTTGATAATACTGCAAGTAACCACCAATACAATCAGGACAGGGAGGATTTCAGTTATGACTAAAATTCCTCTCTGTCTCTGTAGTTGGCGCCCGCTTGCCCAGTCCACACAAAAACGCTGACCTATATCTTGTCAGTGTTGGGTAGTTAGTCTGGTCTCTCTAGAGTTTCAGTAAACGAATAACATAGACTACACTCTCTTGTGTTGGCATGTTTTTTTGTTTTTACTTAGAATGTTTTTGAAATCTAGCTAGAGCATTACATACGTTGGTCTTTTATTTCTTGTCAAATAATATCCATTGTGTTTATTCATGGCTCTGTTGTTGGACATCTGCGTCTATAAGCATATCAAGAGCATTTGAACACAAATCTCTTTGTCGGCATATATTTTTATATTTCCCAGGGTATAGTTAAAAAATCTAATTGCTTATTCATATAGTCAGTGTGTGTTTACCTTTTGAGAAACTGCCAATCTATTTTCCAAAAGGAAGTTAGCATAATTGATTTTTGCCAGAAATGTATATGTTTCACTTAGACCATGTCTTTGCCAATACTTATTATTGTTGATAGTTTGAACTTTTGTAGTTGTTGTTTTTTCACTCTTTTGGGGATCACCATCCAGCTCCTAAATAAGTCACACAGGGAGGCTTATTCTTAATTATGAATGCCTGGCCTTAGCTTGGCTTGTTTCTTGCCAGCTTTTCTTAAAGTATCTCATCTACCTTTTGCCTCTGGGCCTTTACCTTTCTCTATTTTTGTATACCTTTCTGTTTTACTCTGTTGCTGGTTGGGTAGCTCAGGGGTTGGCTCCTAATGTCCTCCTCCTTCTCTCGATCCTAGATCTCTCTTCGCCCAGATTTCTCCTACTACACATCCTCTCTGCCTGCCAGCCCCACCTATCCTTTCCCCTGCCTTGCTATTGACCATTCAGTTCTTTATTAGACCATCGGGTGTTTTAGACAGGCATAAAAACACAGCTTCACAGAGTTAAACATAAACAGAAGTAACACACCTTAAAATAATATTCTATAACAAATTTTAGCCACTCTGTGGGTATGTGGTGATTTTAATTTGTATTTCTTGGGTGAGTAAACTTTATTAAGTCTTTTGCATATGCCATCCATGTCTCTTCATCCATCTTCTTTCTGGAATGTATGTTCAAATATTTCCTTGCCTTTAAAATGAACTGTCTTCTACTGTCTTCTTACTGAGTTCTCTCTATATTTTAGGAACAGATCTTTTGTGAGATGTATGTTCTATAAATACTTATCCAAGAGTAATGATTGTTCTTTTAGTTTCTTGGTGATATTATTTTGTAGGCATGAGATTTGAATTCTGAGGAAGTCTAATTTATATAAAAAAAGATTTTTATAATTAGTTGGTTACTTTTTGTTGGTTTGTTGTTGTCAAAGAAAAAAATTTACCTCGAAGTTGTGAAGATCATCTCTAACATTTGGTTCAATTTAAAATTTGTGTCTTTAATATTTATGTGCAACATGAAGTTGAGATCAAGGTTCATCTTCTATGGATATCCAGTTGCCAAACACAGTCCAAACTGTCCTTTTTCCACTGACTTGGCAGGTTTCTGTGACCTTCTGTGTGGTTGGTTTCTGGACTCTTTTCTGCCTCATTAAGCAATGTGTTTGCCCTGGCAGCACAGCTACCACAGTGCAATGACTGTTGTAGTCGTTCGGTAAGTCACTGGAACCAAACAGGCCTCCAACTGTATACCCCTTACATTTTTTTTCTTATGATCCCAGGATTTTATCTTATTTTATTTTGATACAAAAATCTTAATTCCTCTTTAATCTTTTTTTAAATTCTTCTCTCATACAATACATCCTGAGTGCAGTTTCCTCTTTCTCCACTCCTCCCAATTTTCCCTCCCACCCCCCCCCCCTCTCCCCCAGATCCACTCCTCATCCATTTCCCTTCAGAAAAGAGCAGGCTTCCCAGAGACATCAACCGAACACGGAACAACAAGATACAGGAAGACTAAGCACAAACCCTCACATCAAGGCTGGAGGCAACCCAGCAGGAGGAAAAGGGTCCTAAGAACAGATAAAAGAGTCAGAGACATGCCCAACTCCCGCTGTTAGGAGTCCCATAAGAACACCAAGCTCCATGGCCATGACATATATGCAGAGGACTTAGCTCAGATCTGTGCAGGCTCCATGATTGCCTCTTCAGTCTCTGTGAGCCCCTATGAGCCCTGCTTAGTTGATTCTGTGGGCCAAGTTCTCCTGGTGTACTGGACCCCTCTGGCTCCTACAATTTTCCCTTCCCCTCTCCCTCAGAATTCCCTGAGGTCTGAGAGGAGGGACCTGTCTGTTCCAAGATTTTATAATTTTATACATTGGGATTTTGATTAGGATTCCACTGGAGATGTAGGTCATTTAGGAGGACAATAAACATGTTGATGGTATTGGGTTTTCCAATCTATGAACCTGAGATAGTCTTCTACTTATTTAGATTTTTTTTCAGAAGTATTGTTCAGTGTTCAAGTCTTACTCATATTTCATTAAAGTTCCCCTAAAACATATCATGTTCTGTCAGAAGTATAACTTGCTTTTCACTTTTAGTTTTCAAATGTTTGTGGCTGGTAGATAAATGCACTTGACTTTGATAAAGTGACTTTGTATCCTGTAACCTTGCCACGAGCACTTAATAGTTCTGGTAGTTTCTTTGTGGAGTTAGGCTTTTCTAAACACGTTGTCATATTGTTTGTTTGTTTGTTTTTGGTTTTTTCAAGACAGGGTTTCTCTGTGTAGCTTTGGAGCCTGTCCTGGAACTCACTCTGTAGACCAGACTGGCCTCAAACTCACAGAGATCCCCTTGCCTCTGTCTCCTGAGTGCTGGGATTAAAGGTATGCACCACCACCACCCGGCCATATTGTTTGTGAATGAAGACTTTATAGGCAGACTCATTCAGCTTTATGCCTTTATTTTTATTTTCTAATCAAGCCCCAAAGCACTGCCCTTTCTCCTCTTTTGCCTTTGAAGTCCTGAATTTTGCTTGACTCTCTTGCCGCGTCTACACAAGCCGTTTGAAAACTTGAAGCAGAGACAGTGTGTCAAAAACCTCTTAGGTCTGACACTTGGCACCCTGACTGTAATGTGTTCTTTTCCTGTGTCTCCTCTGTCTATCCACTGTCACCATACATGAGACCTTTTGTGTCCCCAGAGCCTAGCAATGCTTCACACTCAAAGTTGTTTAAGTGATATTTATCAATGATTAATAAATGATTATATATTAAGACCTACTCAGGATGGATTCCGCTATATGGTAAAGAAATTCATAAAAAAAGTTGGGTTTTCAGTTGGGTGTGGCTACAGATGCCTGTAATCCCAGCACTTGGAAGTGGTGGAGGGAGAATTGGGAGTTCAAGGCCATCTTTGGCTACACAGGAAGTTAGAGGCAATCTTGGGTTTCATGAGACTGCTTCTCACAAACGAAAACAAAACACAAAACAAAACAAAGGTAAAATATTTTGTAAATTTTTTTCTTTTTGCCCAGAACATTTTCATTCAAATGATGTCATCTGTTGGTACAATCTAACTAGCCTGCCATTCAGTAGGTGGATTTGCATATTTTCTCAATTGAAAACAATGTTTGTGTCCAGCCCTTGATTTCTCACTTGAATACCTCAGCTGGGAACCTCGGACAGTCATTCACAAGCTCTGGGAGCCCAGTCCTTTTCAGGCACAGGCAGCTCTAAGGCTGCTGCTGATTTCTGCTTTTAGAGCTGCCAGAGGGGTCAGGTGAGGCATGGGAACACTGGGTGCCTCCAGCAGCCGGATTGATTTCATCTGGTTCATAGCCAGCCTTCTAAAATTAACCATGCTAAAGCTGAAAGGCTTTTAAAAAGCAGTCAGCGAGATTATCCCTCCAGACCAGCAGATGGGTCTAATCTTCCATGAAAGGAGAACATCTCCACTGTGAGATGGCCACTCTGCCTGTAACCATTTCTCCTGGGCCTGAGCTATGGAGTCCCAAGGACAGTAACTACCCTGCAGACCTTTGCTTACTGCCGAAAGTCAGGTCTCTACAATTTAGAGTTCTCTCACCCAGATATCTCTATATGGTCCCAGGGGTCCTTGCATATTTCCAAATGTGTGAACCATTGCTGTCATTTGTTGGTCCGGTGCTGTTCGGTCAACTCTTAGCTTCAGACTAAACAGCCTGTGGCTTTCCTACCCCCTTTGGTGTTGTAGCCTCCACGGAAGTAAGGATGGAAATGAGCATAAACTAAGTAAGAGGAGTAAGTGTCACTTACTGTCAGAGGTAGAGTCCCAGTCCTAAATTATGGGACCTTTAACTGCCCTAACAGATGACAGTGAGTGGGTTTTGTGGCTTTGTTTCTGCTTGTTATTCTCAGAAACTATCAGGCTTAGTTGCAGAATGTTAATGCTTGACCAAAAAAAAGAAAAGAAAAGAAAAAAAAAAAGAAAATACACCAATACTAATGAATAAACTTACCCAAAACTGCATTTTTACAAACATCAGTTTTAATGACTCCCTTTATGTTATTGAAAAGTAGCATTTCTATTTTCTAAGTTATTTTCCAATTACTAGGCACACAGAATGCTTGGTTTTGCTATTATCTGTAATGTTTCGATCACTAGACATTAAGTTTTGCCATATTTAAAAGTATTTTTCTGGGGTCGACTCTGAGAACTGTGGTCTAAAGGCATTTGCCTGTCTTTACATGCTTCTTGAGACAGACCACCTAATTGGTTGAAGGCAGGTCTTTTTGGAGAGAGAGCAATAACTTCTCAGTTATAAGTATATAGATATCATTTGTTCTGTGACACATGAGGACATGAGGAATGGGACTGAAGATGACAAGGTTATGGTAATGAGAAAGATGGCAGACCACAAGATCTTGGCTTCTAGAGAGTTTAAATCAGGCTGTGTTGGTTGTACCATCTTCTTACTCCAAGCCTGTCACTGATAAATCTGGGGGACTCAGAGTTTTGCTACAAAAGATTTCTACTTTTCGGGGAAGGGGTCTGTTGACCTCCCTGTATGAGGGGAGTCTCAGGTGTGTGGTGACTTGCAGCATCCACCAGCTGAGGAGCAAAGTGTCCGAGGAGCATGACATTCTCAAGAAGAAAGAGCTGGAGTCGGGGCCTAAAGCATCCCATGGCTACGGAGGTCGGTTTGGAGTGGAAAGAGACCGGATGGACAAGGTGAGTAGAAAAGGAGAGATCTATTTTAAAGAAAAAAAAAATAATGAAAAGCAAAGTACTAGCTTGTTGGTGCTGTGGTTTAAAATTTGTTCCAAATACAGTGTCCATTTGGGCTTTAAAGCAGAGTATCTATATGCTGTTTATATCTTTTTTGCCCCCAATCTCAATACACAAGATATAGATGGCAGAGAACAATCAAGACGTTAGAGCAGCTGGCCTGTTACAGCTCCAAGTATACCATGACCCTGTGTGATGGACAGTTTTCACTGTCAACCTGACACAATCTGGAACCACCCGAGAAAAGAGCATCAGTGAAGGACTGTCTAGGTCAGACTGACCTGCAGGCATGTCTGTTGGGGAGTGTCTTCATTACTTTTACGGATGTGGGAAGCCCACTGTGGGTGGCCCCACTCTCTGGGCTTGGGTCCTGTGTTGTAGAAGAGTAGAAATGGAGAGGTAAGCAGTAAGCATACATGTCCTCATTCTCTCCCTGCTCCTGATTGTGGATGTAACTGGCTCCTTCAGGTCCCTGTCTTCCCCAACGTCAAGGACCCCAACCTGGAATTGTATCCAAATACAACCTTTCTCCTTTAAAGTTTCTTTTGGGTGTTTTAATCATAGCAACAGAAACAAAACTAGTCCCCACTTAGACCGAGGAAGCAGGGAACATTACTGGAGAAGGAAAAATAGGCTATAGAATTATTTGTTGCCTTTAAATGCTGTGTATTCTGCCTATATTGCAACTTCTCTTATTTTTCTTTACTGTAGTTGTTTTCAACCCGTAGTTTGCAACCCTTTTGGGGTTCACATATCAGATATCCTGCATATCAGATATTTACATTGTGATTCATAATAGTAACAAAATTACAGTCATGAAGTAGCAATGAAATAATTTTATGGTTGGGGGTCACCACAGCCGGCACAAGGAACTGTATTAAAGGGTTGCAGCATTAGGAAGGTTGAGAATCACTACTTTACTGTATTATGTGATTATGTGTATATGAATGTTGTATGCATGTGTTATATGTGGTGTATGCATGAGTGCAGGTTGTAGCGGGGGTGGGGAGGTGAGTGCACCTGTGCCTGCACAAGCGGAAGCTACAGCCAGGTGTCACATGTCTTCCTCTGCAGCTCTCAGCCTTAGCGCCTTGAGACAGGATCTCCTCTGAGCGTGAAGCTCATCATTTCAGCCAGGCCGGTTGGGAAGGGAGCTCCCAGAATGCACCTGTCTCCACCCTCCCGTGCTGGGGTTACAGGTCCATGCAACCATGCCTGGCTTTTTTTTTTTGTGGGAGCTAGAGATTTGACCCTAGGTCCTCATGTTTGCAGGGCATGGACTCTTACTGAGTCTCTCCTCAGTCCTGTAGTCATCTTTTACATACACACTGAAAACTTCAGAATTCCCTTCTGAACTTTGGTTGTCCAAATGGGTAAAGACCTAGGACAGAGGTACCTGGGTGATGGAGGGAAAAAGGTCAGCGCCCCCTGATGCACCCAGGCTTTGCTCCTTCGTTTTTCTGTAATGCCTCTGTTTGAGTTCTCCTCTCCCTTCTTTCGGGTTCAACACTCCTCTGGCTATCTCTTCTCTGTCTCCTGACTTCCGGTACAATCCTGGAGGCTTCTGGGCGGTGGCTCTCTAGTGACGTGAAAAAAGAATCTGGCCTGGGCACGGCTCTAGAGAAAGTTACTGCATCCCCCATCGTGGGGTCCTTGGCATCACTGTCAGGGGTTATGGATCTGACCCAGAATGGAATTTCTTGCATCCCAACATCCCTTTGCCACCTCATCTATTCTCAAGGTCACTCTGATCTTTTCTCACCATTCCTGATTTTTCTTAGAGTGCGGTGGGCCACGAGTACGTTGCTGACGTGGAGAAACACTCTTCCCAGACTGATGCCGCCAGAGGCTTTGGGGGCAAATATGGAGTTGAGAGGGACCGGGCAGACAAGGTAAGTGACAGCTTTCTTCCTCTACCATAGTCCTTAAATTATGTGGGCCTCACCAACACCCAGTCCTAAATGTAGGTCCATGCTTCTCGGTGAAATCCAGGACAATGGAGGCCATCAGTGTCTGGTCCTGGCCCTGAGCTAGGATAGCTCTCATGGCCTCTCTTAGGAGGTTTGTTGGTGCTGGGGGCTGCATGTGGAGCATCATCATCCATTTAAATTTGCCAGGGCTGGGGTTGTGGTACAGCTCTGGCCCTGCACAGGAAAGGCCCGGGATTCATCAGCAAAGCCTCATTTAGTCAGTCAATAGGCAAAGGTTCTTCAAACCCTAAATAAGAATTCCTCGAGGCATTGGCAGAGAAGAGAGAATTTCTCAAATAAGCACATAAACCAGTCAATTAATTAGGATGACAATGCTCTGAGAAGGTGAAGGGTTAAACAATAATCTGTGAAGCTGAGTATTGATGGAGACTCCTTTGTATACAAGAGTAGTTTTAAAGAGAAAAAAAAAAAACAGTTCTAAGTGAGCTCAGCTGATACAGTGGAAAGAGCAAGGCTGGGAATTCCTTGGTGCTTTAAATTCCAATTTGTGATATTGGTAACTGAATCCTTTTTCATGGCACAGGTTAGAGTCTCATCTGAAAGGGGAAAGGAATTTGGGGGCAGGGAAGGGAGAGGAGAAGGGAGGAGAGGGGGAAGAAGAGAGGAATGGTGGGGGAAATCTTCACATCTGGCTGAGAAGTGTTATTTTATTATTATTACCAGCAAGTAGGCCTGAATCCACATTACAAAGTGCTAGAATGATAATTGTTTGCATTGTAGGAGAAAATACACCCAAAACAAAACCAAGAATGTTCAAAACATGATGTAAAAGAAAAAAAGTACAGAAAACATGTTTAAAGACAATAATGTCATGTGGAGCACATATGGTTCTAGAAACAATAGAGAATTTCCTGCTAACTCTTGGCTCTCCTTCTGATTGTCTTTGTCCAATTCTCTTATTGTTGTTATTTTACAAGCACAAATTGCATCACCTAAGCAATCCATGTGTCCATAAATCAAGAATCAGAGACTAGAGGTTGGGGAAGTAGCTCAGTTAGTAACATGCTAGCCTAGGGTCTGGGTACCATCCCAGCACCTCATAAACCAGGTCCGTGGTACATACTAACTCCTGTGAAGAAGCAGAGGATCAGAAATGTATTGCCTGCTTGCCCTCCTTCCGTTTGTCCATCAACTAAAGAATTGCAGGATGATAAGTGTGTGTGCAGTCTACCACAGGTAAGATTTATAGCAGCAGAGACAGCATGTGACACACAAAGCCAGAGCCCCCTGCATTACAAGGGGCATATGTCTAGAGAGGGCATATGATCTGCTTGCTCCACAGGGAGTCTGGGTTTATACACTTCTTGACAGGATGTGGAGTAAAGCTTGGCTCCCCTTCTCCTTGAATTGGTCTAGGCAGGATGCATTTAATGCTGGTTGTGTCATTTTAAATAACAGCAAGGCCCTGACTAGGTGTGACACTGATGGAGACTTTTAAAACTGCAGAGAAGAAAACCCACAGAACTCTACAGGGCCTCCTTTTCAGTAGTCCACAATTGCAGTTAGCTCCTGACATGGAGTTCGCCCAGCCAAGCCTGCCTAATGGGCTATCTGTGGCCCACAATGGGGTGGGGAGGAAGTCAGCTAGCTGGCTGGGAGTGAGCCCAGTGGCCTGCCAGAGAGGAAAAGCCTCAGCAATAGAGGAATTTCTTCTGGGTGAGAGTCTTGGAGCAAGCTGTCATGGATCTAAGGTGGAAACACCCAGGCATTAGCCTGATCTGATCCAGGATCTTTTCCCCTCGGTATCTGCTTATCTAAGAATTAACTTTCTTCTGTCTCCCCTCAAGTCCAAAGTCATCCTTGACTGTAGAGAAAGTTTGAGGCCAGCCTCAGGTATGGGAGTCCCAGAGAAGGAGGGAGGGAGTGAATGGAAGAGGGGAACAGGGAGACCAGGAGACTAGTTCTTAAGATGCAAACCCCATAGATACTGAGCAAATAGGGACGCAGCTCCCAGGATGTTTTCGTGCTGTCCTTTTTAAAATGGTTGCTGCCTTTTAAGCCACAGCTGTCAGAATCAGCAACTCCATGGCTACCAGCAGTTAGGCCACAAGGGCTGTAGCCAGAGGGAATTCTGTTTCCTCAGGTTCCAATTCTTGCAAAGCTATAAAGGGAATTTAACTAAACCTCTGTCTCTCTAAAGAACTCAAGATTCAAAGGTTAAGGTGGAATTCTGCTCTTCCGAGGGGCTGAATAGCAAGTAGCTCGCCTCCTCCCTTGCTCAAATCCTCCAAACGTTCTTCTCCTCACCTCTCCTTAAAAACCCTTCCTGTCAGCTAGTTGAACAGGTTTTCCTCCAGCTATGGCCCTTGCAACCTAACTGCTGCTGGTAGTGGCGGAGTCGCAGTTGCTGATTTGGACAGCTGTGGCTTAAAGGGCAGAAATAATTTTAAGAAGGACAATAATTGACATCCAATATGGGGTGCCAAAAATGTTTTATTCGTTCTTACTATTTTGGGGAGGCCCGCCCCCCAGCTCCCAAATAAAAACCACACACTGTGGTTTATTATTACTTAAGAATGCCCAGCCTAAACACCCTAATTGTCGTGCTAGAAACCACATCCAATGACTGAGGGATCTGGATGCAGAGATCCATGACTAGGCCCCCGGTAGAGCTCCGGGAGTCCAATTAGCGAGAAAGAGGAGGGTTTATATGAGTGAGAATTGTTGAGACCAAGGTTGGATAAAGCACAGGGACAAATAGCCAAACGAATGGAGACACATGAACTATGAACCAATGGCTGAGGGGCCCCCAACTGGATCAGGCCCTCTGAATGGATGAGACAGTTAATTGGCTTGATCTGTTTGGGAGGCATCCAGGCAGTGGGACCGGGTCCTGTGCTCATTGCATGAGTTGGCTGTTTGAAACCCGGGGCCTATGCAGGATCTCTTGGCTCGGCCTGGGAGGAGGGGACTGGACCTACCTGGACTGAGTCTACCAGGTTGATCTCAGTCCTCAGGGGAGGCTTTGCCCTGGAGGAGATGGGAATGGGGGGTGGGCTGGGGGGAAGGTGAGGGGGGCGGGAGGGGAGAGAACAAGGGAATCCATGGCTGATATGCAGAACTGAATTGTATTGTAAAATAAAATAAAATAAAATAAAATAAAATAAATGATTGTGCAGCGAGCACTTTAGCCACTAAACTGTCAAAAAAAAAAAAAAAATGCCCGGCCTTAGCTTGGCTTAGTTTCTAGCTAGCTTTTCTTAACTTAAATTGTCCCCTCTACCTTTTGCCTCTGGGCTTTTCCTGGTCTCTCTCTCTCTCTCTCTCTCTCTCTCTCTCTCTCTCTCTCTCTCTCTCTCTCTCTCTCTCTCGGGGGGGGGGGGGGGTTTCGAGACAGGGTATCTCTGTGTATTTTTGGTGCCTGTCCTGGATCTCGCTCTGTAGACCAGGCTAGCCTCGAATTCACAGAGATTTGTCTGTTTCTGTCTCCCGAGAGCTGGGATTAAAGGCGTGCACCACCTCTGCCTGACTTTTCCCGGTCTGTTACTTCTGTAAATCTTACTCTTACTCTGTGCCTTGCTACTGTGCCTTGCTGTGTAGCTGGGTGGCTGGCCCCTAGACTCCTCCTCCTTCTCTGGCTCCTAGCTCTCCTCACTCTTCCATCTCTTTTTCTCCTCCTCCTCCCAGATTTCTTCTTCTATATATCCTCTCTGCCTGCCAGCCCAAATGAAGAGAGATGATGGGGGTCTCTCTTTTTACTGTTGCAGTGGATAAGACACATTTAATAGTATTTAAAGGGACCAGTGCTCAGTGACGTTAATGATTATTCCCAAAGCTGAACAACTACCAATGGGGGGAGTGGGGTTTGATCTGGAGTGGTCTATGTCCAGAGGACTGCTTTGTAACACTGTTTCTACTTTAAACCTCCAAACCTAGCCACAGGTCTAAAACTGCCTCTGGGACTGAAATGAAAGTTAGGATCAGTGAGAGTGGGAGGAAGCAGACCCGGTCACTAATCCTCTCTCTCCTCTGCAGTCAGCAGTGGGCTTTGATTACAAAGGAGAAGTGGAGAAGCATGCATCTCAGAAAGGCAAGTCCCCAGCACCTTGGCCACCTGGCTGGCCGGCTCCCCCTGCTCACATCTCCCTTCCAGCAGCTTGTCATGGCTCCCTGTCTCCAGCTCCCCACTGTTTGGGCCATTTTTCAGTTCCAATTATGAGCTGGTTTCTTTGGCTCTCGAATTCCTGCCATGAGCTTGATCAAGTCTGGCTAATCCCTTCTTTCCCTGGTTGAAGATAAAATGTTCTCCTTTGTTCTAGAATTTATTACCTTTAAAACTAAACCACACCTTTGATGAGGAAACACAGAGTGAGCTGCCAGTGGCTTGAGGCTACAAATCAGAGGTTCTCAACCTGTGTGTTGTGACCCCTTTAGGGGTTGAATGACCCTTTCATAGGGGTTGCCTATCAGATAGCCTGCATACCAGATATTTACATTATGATTCATAACAGTAGCCAAATTACAATTACAAAGTAGCAACAAAAATAATTTTATGGTTGGGGTCACCACATGAGGAACTGTATCAAAGGGTCATAGTTATTAGGAAGGTTGGGAACTACTGCTGGAGAGTTTCATATTTTATGTTATTTATAGTCAGGTTCACAGATTCACATTTTTGCTTAGTTTACTTTCCTTCATGGTCATTTATTTCCTTTATGGTTTGTAATTTTATTTGTGAACATACTTCAGTGATAAAGGGGGTTACTTCCTTCTTATGGCCTCAGTTGAGTACAGAGAATTCTTATTTCCGTCTGGCCAAGGGTGAGAGGTATTCATAGTTATGTGGCATGGACTATTTTTTTTTTTAAATTTCATTTTCATTGAGTTAAATTTCTTCACTAGATGAAGGTCTACTCAATTATTCTATTTTTTCTTAGGTTGGTTATAAAATACTGTTTTTAAGAAGTTGTCACATGTTGTCTAGATAGCATAATAAATTATAGTACTTCCTTATGTTCTTTTTAACCTTTGTAAAATCTGTTGTTATTGATATGCTCACTTTCATTTTGGATATAGTTTTTTTTTTTCTGTTCTTAATAGATCGTTTTTGCTAGAGGTAATCAATATTATTTATTAAGATATAACTCTTAGCTTTTCTAATTTTCTCAATTGTTTATATGTTCTAAAAATATATTAGGCTTTGACTCCTCATTATTTTTTCTTATATTTAATGTATGCTTTGCTTTCCAATATGGGTATATTACATATTTCCTCTCAATACAACTTATGTTGTACTCCACCAATTCTATGTGTATTTTAACTTTAAATTAAATATAAAATATTTTCTAATTTTCCTAGTGAATATTCTTTGACTTGTAAGTTATTTGAAAGTATATACCTCTGTCTTCAGGTTTCTATTGCTATGAGGAGATAACATGACCATGGCAACTCTTTTTTCTTTTTTCTTTTCTTTTCTTTTTTTTGGTTTTTGTTTTTGTTGTTGTTGTTTTTGTTTTTTGAGAGAGGGTTTCTCTGTGTAACAGCTACTGGAACTAGCTCTGTAGAAGAGGCTGGCCTTGAACTCATGGAGATCTGATTGCATTTGCCTCCCAAGTGCTGAGATTTAAGGCGTGCACCACCACTGCCCAGCATAAGCATGTATGTCCTCAGGCATGCGGAAGCCAGAGGTCAATGCTGGGTGATTTCTTTGAACACTGTCCACCTTAACTATGGAGACAGGGTCTCTCCTTGAACCTGGAGATCACAGATTTGACAAGACCAGCAAGCAGGTCACCAAGCTCCAGGCACCCAGTCTCTGCCTCTGCAGCTCTAGAATCACAGACGTACACTATCACACTTAGCTTTGTATCTGGGCACTTGGGACCCGAACTTGAGTTCTCATATTTACATGGCACTGTACTGACTGACTCATCTCCCAACACCATCCATGTATATATTTTCTGAGATCAGTATTTAAGTTAATTTCTTAGCTTAGAATTCCTGATTTCTATAATTGAAGAAAAAATGAGTAGTTACATTCCACACTCAGAGGTAGGACTAGAGTTCCAAATGTTACTGGTAAAATTTCCCCTTGTCAAAAACTGAACAGAATACAAGACACCTTGCCATTTCCTGTACAAGTGAGCAGCACTGTTCTAAACTTTATTTTTTATTTTTTTTATTTTTTGAGGACTGGGCAGACCCTCCTTCCCAGCTCCCACACCCACTCTTGAATAGATTTTAGAGCCACAGACCCTAGGTCCTAATCCCAGTTCATTAAGTTTTGACTTTACAAGACTGGGGCTTCTATGATGTCTGCTCACAGTCACCCTTGAACTTGTATACTCCAACTCTTGAATTTCTTTCTGGAGGCAGGGTTATTTCATCCTTCCCTACCTTTCTTCTTTTCCTCCTTCTCTACCTACTCATCCTCCTTTTTGACTTTTACTACTTAAAAAATCACTATATTCAGCTGAGATTTCTTTGTTTCTATGGGGTGGAGGAACAGCACACATTTCCTCTGTCTGCGTTTTACCCCAGAGATCTCTTCTCACATTCTCTATACATAGCCTTTCCTTGAAGAAGGGAAAATATTGAGGGGATCTTCCTGTCTTGGGATGGAGGTGAGGGAGTCGTCTCTCTCTGAGCTCTGAGCCTTTCCCAGCCCTCTCACTCTGCACTCTGTCCTATGGACTTCTCTCTCTAGAGTTTTCCAGTGGCCTGAGGCTGGGCTCTCAGGCCTCCCATGTCTATTGCAGATTACTCCCATGGCTTTGGTGGCCGCTATGGGGTAGAGAAGGATAAACGGGACAAAGCCGCTCTAGGCTATGACTACAAGGGAGAGACAGAGAAGCATGAGTCTCAGCGAGGTAAGTTGGATTCAGAGGAGGGAGGTCACTAGGGAGCACAGGGTTCCTCTTTCCTTCCCTTCTGAAAGCTGGTCCAGGGTCCCAGAATAAAGAGAGGGATGAGGAGAGTCAACATGGATGGAAAGACAGCAGGGTGGAGAAGGGGCAAGGAGGAAGAGGATTGGGGAAGGAGTGGAGCCAGGCTGGGTGATGGGCACAAGGTGGCTTGGTGTGAGTATCACAGGCCAGTCAGCCTTGGCAAGGACAGAGAGCAGGGGTGGGACACAGCAGGCAGGGGTGGCTGGCAGGCCGCCTTGTTTTCCTGTGTGCTCCCTTGTGTTTTGCCCTGGCTGTCATTTCTCTTGTTTCCCCTTTCCACCTCTGTCTTCTTTCTCTCCTGAGTCCCCACCCCACCCTGGACCCTTTCTCTTTTCTTCCCATCATCCATGTATCTCTCTGACCTCTGACATTTCTTCCTCTTTCTCTGCCTTCACATCCCAGCCCTTCTGCTCCCTCTCCCCACCCGTTCCAATGGTCTAGTCTCCTGTTTTCACTCCCAGAATTTTCTTTCCTACAGACTATGCCAAGGGCTTTGGTGGCCAATATGGAATCCAGAAGGACCGAGTGGATAAGGTAAACACAGGACACCATGGACTTAAAAGTGTCTCTATGGTAAAGAAGGTACACAGAGGTGTTGTTGGTTGTTTTGGGCTCTTTTTGGGGGGCCCACCACTGTGCTCCCAAATAAATCACACACGGAGGAGGCTTATTTTTACTTATGAATGCCCAGTCTTAACTTGGCTTAGTTCCTAGCCAGCTTTTCTTAACTTATCCCTTCTACCTTTTACCTCTGGGCTTTTTCTGGTCTCTTCTGTAAATCTAACTCTTACTCTGCGGCTTTCTGTGTAGGTGGGTGGGTGACCCCTGGAGTCCTCCCTCTTCCCTGTTTCCTAGCACTCTTCACTCCTCCATCTCCTTTTCTCCTCCTCCTCCCAGATTTCTCCTTCTATATATCTCTCTGTCTTCCAGCCCGGCCTACCCTTTCTCCTGCCTCGCTATTGGCCAGTTCTTTATTAGACCATGAGGTGTTTTAGACAGGCACAGGAACACAGCTTCACAGAGTCAAACAAATGCAACAAAAGTAACACACCTTAAAATAATATTTTACAACATATTAGGTCTTGGGACCAACATGGATCCCATCCCACCAAAATCTGTGTCTTGCATCCCCCTGAGGCCATGCTGAGATCAGCAAGGTTCAGTGGGAGTGAGGTGACTAGCCCATATGCACACATAGCTTCCAGTTTACAAGGGCTTTTTCATTTAGTTAGTATGCCTCACTTAGGGAAAACAGCGTTGACTTCTTGAGTAATTCAGTGCAGATATTGTATGTGCCTTGTTCTGTTGAGCTGTCATAGTATTCCAAATGAAGAGAGACGATTGGGATCTCTCTTTTTACTGTTGCAGTGGATAAGACACATTTAATAGTATTTAAAGGGACCAGTGCTCAGTGACGTTAATGATTATTCCCAATGCTGAACAACTACCATTGGGGGGAGTGGGGTTTGATCTGGAGTGGTCTATGTCCAGAGGACTGCTTTGTAACACTGTTTCTACTTTAAACCTCCAAACCTAGCCACAGGTCTAAAACTGCCTCTGGGACTGAAATGAAAGTTAGGATCAGTGAGAGTGGGGGGAAGCAGACCCGGTCACTAATCATCTCTCTCCTCTGCAGTCAGCAGTGGGCTTTGATTACAAAGGAGAAGTGGAGAAGCATGCATCTCAGAAAGGCAAGTCCCCAGCACCTTGGCCACCTGGCTGGCCGGCTCCCCCTGCTCACATCTCCCTTCCAGCAGCTTGTCATGGCTCCCTGTCTCCAGCTCCCCACTGTTTGGGCCACTTTTCAGTTCCAATTATGAGCTGGTTTCTTTGGTTCTTGAATTCCTGCCATGAGCTTGATCAAGTCTGGCTAATCCCTTCTTTCCCTGGTTGAAGATAAAATATTCTCCTTTGTTCTAGAATTTATTACCTTTAAAACTTAACCCACACCTTTGATGAGGAAACAGAGAGTGAGTTGCCAGTGGCTTGAGGCTATAAACCAGAGGTTCTTGTGGGAGACAATTTTCAGGTTTCCTAGTGGCTTTACCCAGCATGACCTATTTTGGTGAGTGCTCTATGTGCATTAGGACTAAAGAGTATATATATTGTGTAGTTTAGGATAGAGTGGTCTTAAGGGCTAAGTTGGTCTTAGTGACAAATTTATTTGGATCTTCTATAACTTTCTTGATGGTTCTTTTTGTTCAAGAGATTTAAATTTTCAATAATGACCATAGATTTGTCTATTTATCTTACCGTTTCTCTTGGGTTTTGCTACATGAACTTTGATTCTATTAGTAGATGTATGCCAGTGTAGGTATTCCTGATGGAATGCCTTTTAGAATGCATTCTCTCTTGAAGTCTACTGTGTGTTGTGTTCAAGCTACCTTTCTTATGCTGTTCTTTGCACATATGTATTTTCCTTGTGTGGACTTGCTCCCGTGTGTGGATACACAAGCATGTATGTCCTCAGGCATGCGGAAGCCAGAGGTCAATGCTGGGTGATTTCTTTGAACACTGTCCTCCTTAACTATGGAGACAGAGTCTCTCCTTGAACCTGGAGATCACAGATTTGACAAGACCAACAGGTCACCAAGCTCCAGGCACCCTGTCTCTGCCTCTGCAGCTCTAGAATCACAGGCGTACACTGTCACACTTAGCTTTGTATCTGGGCACTTGGGAACCGAACTCAAGTCCTCATATTTACATGACCCTCCTTCCCAGCTCCCATACCCACTCTTGAATAGATTTTAGAGCCACAGACCCTAGGTTCTAATCCCAGTTCATTAAGTTTTGACTTTACAGCACTCGGGGCTTCTATGATGTTTGCTCACAGTCACCCTTGAACTTGTATACTCCAACTCTTGAATTTCTTTCTGGAGGCAGGGTTATTTCATCCTTCCCTACCTTTCTTCTTTTCCTCCTTCTCTACCTACTCATCCTCCTTTTTGACTTTTACTACTTAAAAAATCACTATATTCAGCTGAGATTTCTTTGTTTCTATGGGGTGGAGGAACAGCACATATTTCCTCTGTCTGCGTTTTACCCCAGAGATCTCTTCTCACATTCTCTATACATAGCCTTTCCTTGAAGAAGGGAAAATATTGAGGGGATCTTCCTGTCTTGGGATGGAGGTGAGGGAGTCGTCTCTCTCTGAGCTCTGAGCCTTTCCCAGCCCTCTCACTCTGCACTCTGTCCTATGGACTTCTCTCTCTAGAGTTTTCCAGTGGCCTGAGGCTGGGCTCTCAGGCCTCCCATGTCTATTGCAGATTACTCCCATGGCTTTGGTGGCCGCTATGGGGTAGAGAAGGATAAACGGGACAAAGCCGCTCTAGGTTATGACTACAAGGGAGAGACAGAGAAGCATGAGTCTCAGCGAGGTAAGTTGGATTCAGAGGAGGGAGGTCACTAGGGAGCACAGGGTCCTCTTTCCTTCCCTTCTGGAAGCTGGTCCAGGGTCCCAGAATAAAGAGAGGGATGAGGAGAGTCAACATGGATGGAAAGACAGCAGGGTGGAGAAGGGGCAAGGAGGAAGAGGATTGGGGAAGGAGTGGAGCCAGGCTGGGTGATGGGCACAAGGTGGCTTGGTGTGAGTATCACAGGCCAGTCAGCCTTTGCAAGGACAGAGAGCAGGGGTGGGACACAGCAGGCAGGGGTGGCTGGCAGGCCGCCTTGTTTTCCTGTGTGCTCCCTTGTGTTTTGCCCTGGCTGTCATTTCTCTTGTTTCCCCTTTCCACCTCTGTCTTCTTTCTCTCCTGAGTCCCCAACCCCACCCTGGACCCTTTCCCTTTTCTTCCCATCATCCATGTATCTCTCTGACCTCTGACATTTCTTCCTCTTTCTCTGCCTTCACATCCCAGCCCTTCTGCTCCCTCTCCCCACCCGTTCCAATGGTCTAGTCTCCTGTTTTCACTCCCAGAATTTTCTTTCCTACAGACTATGCCAAGGGCTTTGGTGGCCAATATGGAATCCAGAAGGACCGAGTGGATAAGGTAAACACAGGACACCACGGTCCCAAGAGTGTCTCTATGGTAAAGGAGGTGTATGAAGGATAGCAAGAGAAAAGAAAAGCCAGAAGAAAAATGGAACTCTTGGAGCTGGATCCTGAGCCTGGAATGTTGGGCCTTAATACCTAAGGAGTGTGAATTCTATACCCTGAGGTTTAACTGAGAAGTGTGGAGGGTGGTGAATCAGAGAGGACAGGTAGACACCAGGGAAATCAGACACAACATTTCAGGCATTTCTTAAACTTGTCTTAAGTCTTTTCCTGCTCCACATCATTGTCCTATAGGCTCAACACCTCTGCTTCCGGCATAAGCAAGGGCCTTGCTTCCTTCTCGGTAACTGGGCTCAGAAACATGAAAATCTAATCCACTGAGCTTTCAAAGAGGGAGCTGAGCCCACCAGTAGAGTTCTTTACTCATCTCTTCCACCGGATAATATTGGAGAACGCAGTCCAACTGTTGCTTACTACATGGCTACGGATGCCTCCCAGGGTGGCTCTATCCCCCAGTCCTGGCTTGTGGATCACTAACCTCCTGCTTCATGTTACTCTACACACTGTTCTTCTGCCTACAGAGTGCTGTTGGCTTCAATGAAATGGAGGCCCCAACCACCGCGTATAAGAAAACCACACCCATAGAAGCCGGTTAGTCTTCCTGGTTCCCTTCTCTGTGCCCTTCAGCCTCCTTTCTCTTCTGACTCTCTCTCCTCCAAGACTTCCCCTTGCATGCCTTTAACCACCGAGATTAGCCAAGGAAGATTAGACCCTTACTCTCAAAGTTCCAGAGTCTTGTCCCTAGAAAATCCAGACCAACTGGACGACAAGAGGAGTGGAATTAGGAAGGATCTAGGGGCAGAGACACACAGACAAGAGTGAGGAGTTACCTGGGACAGACCGGTAGAGTAGACCTTTGGGATGGGGAATAGGATGGTGGTGGGTGGAGACACAGAGATTTAAGGAATGTGGACAGAGAAAGATGCAGGTTCAAGGACTCATAATTTTGGAAGGACAAATGGTCCTTTGGTCACATGGAATCTGGGCTTCGGTACCATCAGATCCCTAGGTCTTCTTGCCCTCTCACTACTTCCATACCGTCCCTTCCATGAGTCACCCCCTCATCTTCTCTCCTCCTGCATGTTTAGCAGATTTCCCTCCTTCCTATCTCAAGTCCTATCCCCTCTCTCTCCACTCACAATCCGAGACACCCTTCATTTTTCTTGTCCGTGTCTGCAGCTTCCAGCGGTGCCCGTGGGCTGAAGGCAAAATTTGAGTCCATGGCTGAGGAGAAGAGGAAGCAAGAGGAAGAAGAGAAGACACAGCAGATGGCCAGGCAGCAACAGGAGCGAAAGGCTGTGGTAAAGATGAGCCGCGATGCTCAGCAGCCGGTGGAGCCTGCGGAAGAACCAGCAGTACCCGCCCCATTGCCCAAGAAGATCTCCTCAGAGGTGAGTGCCTGGGATTGGGGGGTCCAGGATCTCTCGCCTAGACAGGAGTCTCAGGTGCCCACGTGGTAGGCAAAAATAAATAAACACGTAAGCATGTAAATAAATGAATAAACAAGTAAATAAAAAGAAGGCAGATGCCTCCTTGTTGAGCAGAGTCTGGTGTACTTGTCTTTGAGAAGATTCAGTGTGTATCATTGGCCCCAGGAAGCAGGTCAAGGGAAAAAAAAAAAACCCAACAAAGACACCAAGTAGAGACTCTATAATAGAGTCTAACAGGTGGCAGGTCACCAGCTGCAACCGGTAGCCTTCGCTGTGCCAACTGAAGACGAAGGAGGAGCCATCACCTCCAGTGTGGGACCCATCTTGAGGAATGAGTTGTACTGGACTAGCAGACAACACATCTGGGAAGGTTCCAGGTAAGTATAAGAGAGAACATGGCGGGTGGGTGTTCTTCAGGTTTGGCCTCCAGCCGAGAGTCACCGACCACCTGAACCCGAGCCTGTGAGAAGCGGAAGGGAACACCCTGTGCCTTCTCTGCCCAGGATGCAGACTCCACCGCAGAATCCCCTGGAGGTAAACAGTGCCCTAGAGAGTCTCAGTTCCCACCCCATCTTCTCATGGGGCTGTAGAGGGGCGGCCAGTCATAGGGCTTTGCTTGCTCTGGTTTAAGCACTGAAAGCCTTGTATTCTGGAAACTCCCCGGTCCTGAGCAAACTTGGACAGCTGGTTCTCTTAGCTGCGGTATCCCGACAGTGTGCTTTTGCTTTGATATTCCCCTGGTTTTCCAAAGACTCTGCCTTGCTTTCCATACCCCTCACCTCACAACTTGAGTCCCCTCCTGCCACTTCTGGGTAGGTGCTTTGAGAAGGCAAGTGTTTTAGGAGACTGGGGAATGAAGAACAGACCATTTCTGAGGAAAGGCTTCTAAACGGCAGGGAAGAGGTTGGGTGGTGAGGGTGTGAGCAACCCCATTAAGCCATGATTGAATCCTCCTTGTCCATACATCTCTCCTCAGGACAGCGAGGAGCCCCCAGCTCTGCCCCCTAGGACTCCAGAAGGCCTCCAGCTGGTGGAAGAGCCAGTGTATGAAGCAGCGCCTGAGCAGGAGCCTGAGAACGACTATGAGGATGTTGGGGAGCTAGATCGGCAGGAGGAGGATGCAGAGGGAGACTATGAGGATGTCCTGGAGCCTGAGAATACCCCTTCTCTGTCCTACCAGGCTGGTGAGTGGGGTGAATGGGCAGGACAAAGCACCTCCCAAATGTGGTCAGTTTCTGGGCATCAGGGATGGAGGAGGAATCTCCCCTCTCCTCCCAACAGGATCATGTCTGTTTGCCTTCTCCATATCAATGTTTCTATTTCTCATTATTCAGGATCGTCAGCCGGGGCTGGTGGGGCAGGGACCTCTGCTGTAGCCCTGTATGATTACCAAGGAGGTAAGTTTGAAGTCACCTGAAGGGCCTGGCACACCTGTGGCCCCTGATACATAGGAAAAGGGGGTGGGTTCTGAGGGTCAAGAAAGGGCCCAAAAGACTTGGCCTGTTTTCTTCCCTAAGGCTTAGAGTTGGCACAGGCAGGGACAGAGGGATTCCTGACTAACCATCCTAATGTCTCACCTTCCTCCCCAGAGGGAAGCGATGAGCTTTCCTTTGATCCAGATGACATCATCACTGACATTGAGATGGTGGATGAAGGCTGGTGGCGGGGCCGTTGCCATGGCCACTTTGGACTCTTTCCTGCAAACTACGTCAAGCTCCTCTAGTGACCATCCCCATTGTCTTTTGCTACTCTGATTCCTCATGTTCAAAGTGGCGCGGCTTCCCTCTACCCACGCCACAGTACTGCTGCAAGGACCTAATAGAACGTCATGGGCGCCTGAGGTTCAGACAGACCTCCCTCTCCTGCTTCATTAAGAGCTTTCGGCAGAGCCAGCATGAGGCAGGGGCCTTCCCTCTGTGCCCACTCTTCCCTGGAGTAGCTCATGGAATCATCTTGTGGTCCTGCCTCCTCCACCCACACCCCACATTGCCCGCCTCCCTCTTGAGTGCTGGTGTTCCTGTGTGTTGGCCTAGAGGGAAGCCTAGGCTGCCTGATTTACCTGGTTGTGCTTTTTGCTCGTTTTTCCTCTCTTAAGAGACAAATCGGAACTGTCCTTCTGTTTAGTCCTAAAACTGAAAATAAAGCGAGACCGTGGCTTAGCTTTGTATTGGAGTTAAGTGGTACTTTTAGTGTGGGCCTCTCTGGCCCCGACTTTCCATTCCTCTGCCAGAAGCTCCCAGAAGACTCCCTCTAGTCTGGTGGTTAGGATGCGGTGCTCTTAGCACTGCCCAAACCCTGAGCCTTAGGGGTCAGGAGCTAGGCCTTTTTATTTGTTCGTACCTTAGCCCCTGTCCAAGACAGACAAGCCTGATGTCTTAGTTAAGGTTTCTACCGCTGTGATAAAATCCATGACCAAAAGCAACTTGGGGAGGAAAGGGTTTATTTCAGTCTACACTTCTCAAGTCACACTCCATCACTGGGGGAAGTCAGGACAAAAACTCAAAACAAGAACCTAGAGGAGACGCAAGAACTGAAGGAGAAGCCAGCGAGGGGTGCTACTTACTAGCTTGCTCCCTATGTCTTGCTCAGCCTGCTTTCTTATACACCGAGAACCACCTGCCCAGGGATGGTTGGGGCCCTGCTCACATCAGCCACTAATTAAGAAACTAAGTCCTACAGACTTGCCTGTGGAGGAATCTTATGGAGGCATGTTCTTAGTTAAGATTACTTCCCAAATATGTCTTGGTTTGTGTCAAGTTGAAAAAAAACAAACAAACAAACAAACAACCAGCACACCCAGTGGCAGCAATGTGGAATAACAGGGTCAGGTGACATCCAGATTAAGGTAGTTATGCCTTTATCAGCTTGAGCAGTTGTAGGAAGTTAGCTCCCTGCCTGGGAAAACCACCAGACTTTTTCAGCACATGGTGATGTGTGTGTGTGTGTGTGTGTGTGTGTGTGTGTGTGTGTGTGTGTGTGTGTGTGTGTGAATATGTACAGGTGCACTCGTGGGTTCAGGTGTACACATTTGTATGTGTTGGCTAGAGGGCCACGTTGACTGTTAATCCTCAGGAATAGAATCCACCTCTTTTTGAGAAGAATTTCTCCTTGATTTGGAGCTCACCACTTAGGCTAGATTCTACCGGCCAGGGAGCCCCAGGGATGAGCTTCTTGTCTCTGCCTCCTCACCACTAAGATTATCAGCAAAAGCCACCCCCATGTGGCATCTGAATGGGTTCTGGAGATCAAACTCAGGTTCTCGTGCCTGGTACTAACTGAGTCATCTCCCCTAGCCCCTGGCCCATGGTGGATTCTTGAGGAAGCAGCACAGATTAGAGGGTTGGAAGTAGGAAGGGAAGGTTGCCAAAAAGAAAAGACGGACACCAAAGGAGAACAAACTCATGTGAGCTGAAGAGTGACGGACCCCCTGATACCAAGACAATTGGAGCTCATGTCCAGGAAAGAGTAGATGGAGAAAGTTCATGAAGCCTCTGTGCGGTCCAGAGCTAGAACAGGTGTGAAGAGAGATGAGGACACCCAGGCAGCCACGATGAGCAAAAAGTGACTCCCCAAGCCCAATACTGGGATGAGGGAGGCCAATGCTTAACCCAGCCCCAGCAAAAATAGAGATGCCCATTTTTTTAGAATGGGATTTTTTTTTTTTTTTTTAGAAAAATAGAGATCCTGGAGTATAATCCAAATAAACGTCAGGGATTGAAATAGGTAGTATCTTTGGCTGATAAGATATAGAAGGCGAAGCTGTTAGCGGTATTGACATTGGTTTCAGCTGCCAAAAATGGAGAAGGCATTGGCATGGAGGAGCTACAAGTAATGGCTGAGGCCACAGTAGCCCCAGGGCCTCATGGAGGGAGCCCCACCTTTCTAGAACTCTACACACTCCATACTTTTCTTTGGCATTTCTTCAAGACAAACGCTGCTGGATTTTAATGATGCCCTTTACCCTTGGCAGTGAATCCCAAGTCTGCCCCTGGACCTACCTCACAAGACTTACCCATTCAGCCTTTCTGTAGCAGGCTTTTTCTTTTGGGCCACAAGCCAGCTCCCAAATCATGACATGGAGACTTATTAGTTAAGAATTATTGGCCTTAGCTTATGATCGTTTCTGACTTTTTTCTTTAATTTAAACTAACCTGTTTCTCTTCCTCTGTTTTGCCTCGGGGCTTTTTAACCTTTCTTTCTGTATGTCTTACTTTACTGCTGTCTCTGTGTCTGTCTGGCTGGTGGCTGCCTGGCTTCTGGCCCTAGGCATGTTCCTTTCTTTCTCTTTGTTCTTTCTTTCCTCAAGCCTAGATTCCTCCTATTTATTCATTTGCCCGCCAGCCCCGCCTATCCTTTTCTGCCTACCTATTGGCTGTTCAGCTTTTTATTAGACCAATCAGGTGCTTTAGGCAGGCAAGGTGAAACAGCAACACATCTGTTCATAATTGAACAAATGCAGCATAAACAAATGTGACACAACTTTACACAGTTGAATATTCCGCAGCATAAACAACATGACCCATATTTACATAGTTAAATTTCCACACCACCTTTCAGAGTGCAAAGCAACTTTTATTTCCCACTAGAGGCACACTGGGGTTGCTGATGCAGAGATAAGTCAGCACGGATACATAAGACTGTGTTCTCCATTTCAGTTGGATTTGGCATCACACACACACTAGACTTGTACAGTATTGTTGCTTTTAAACCTACCTCGCTTCCCATTTGACCCTTTCTGGTAAGGCAAGCTTCCTTCTCAAGTCCCTAAGCTGCTGAGGTCATGTGCTCAGTTCTCTAGCCTCCCCGCTCCACATTCAGCTGCTTTCCACCTCTAGGTTGCCTTTCCTGGGGGTGATGGTCATCAAAGGGCTCCGCTCATGGGTGTCTTCCTGTCTAGGCTCTGTGCTTGCGATACATTCCTCCTCATGCTCCTCATCTGCTGCTTAAACTGAAGCCTTGCTTCTGTCACAGGGGACCCGCTGCTCATACTGCTCTCTGCAGTTTCCTTCATCCAATCATTCACCAAGCCCAGTGCCTCTGAGAAGGTCCCTTTCACTATGGCTGCCCTCCCACAAAGTGAGCGTATCTCCAGGGACCAGGGAAGACCACCTGGGGAAATCTCAGTTTCCTTTAACATAAACAATGGATTCCCTTATAAAATGAAGATGCCAATCATCTCAGTGCTGCTCTGAGATGGGAATTGATGGAGGAAAGTATGACTGGAAGTATCCACACCCCAATCAGGTGTGTGTGTGGGGGGGTGGCAGACTGCTCTCCTTGGCCAGGTTGCCCCCAGCAGTGCAGCTTTTGGAGGCAGAGCCCTGTGGCCTGTCTCTCTGCAGCTCCTGACCCATGTAACTAGAGTCCTGGGTTTGCTTCTGTGGTCAGTAGTTCTCTCTTCCTCTAATAAGAAACCCTGAGAGGGCTTTGAGAACTCCATTCCACTGGGGGAAGAAGTCAGAACCGAGGCCTGAAGAACTCGCTTTCTTTCGGCCTACTTCATTGTTTAGCTATTTTCAGGTACTCCTCTTCACTGAACAAAATCTTAGAGAACACTCTAGATACAGTTTTAGAAAAATGACGACTCACACACAAGAAAGCATTGTGAAATACAACCCAAACTGTAAAGATGAGGAATCATAGCATCGTGTTAACAATAGTGTCAGAGGACGATGGTGAAAAGAGAGTATGCTTTCAGTCTGGGCTCGCTCTGCTGCCTTCCTGACCCCTTGCAGAGGCACCAGCTTCTTCATCTGCACCAGCTTCTTCATCTGCACCAGCTTCTTCATTCACACCAGCTTCTTCGTCTGCACCAGCTTCTTCGTCTGCACCAGCTTCTTCGTCTGCACCAGCTTCTTCATCTGCACCAGCTTCTTCATCCGCACCAGCTTCTTCATCCGCACCAGCTTCTTCATCTGCACCAGCTAGGAACCGTGGTCAGAGAGGCAGATGCCCAGACAAGCAGCTCACAGATTGGCGAGACTCCTTCATGATTTGAATTCTTGGCTGGCTGGTTCCCGGTGATGCCTGCCTCCCTTTCCTTGTTTTTCATTAGCATGAGAACTTCTAGGATTGCTGGGAAATGGCACCAAATAAGGGAAGAGTAACTTAACCTAAGATAAATTACTTTCCTGGTTTCAGGTATCCCCAAAGAGGCCAGGGAGGGAGGATATATTCTTCCATTGGTGGCCCAAGGACGCAAAACCATATTGGGGAGATCAGCTCCATCTGGTTCTCAATTTAGCATCATCACATGTTTAAAAGTTATTTTGTAAACAAGTAAGAGTCCCATTAAGTTATGGCCACTGAATAGCTCTGTGAGATCGGATTTGTCACACTAAAAGGGGAGCACATCCTAACTTGGTGTTGCAACAACCTTTAGGACAGTGGCTCTCAACCAGGAGCTACTTTGTTCCCGGAGATCTTTGACCTTTCCTTCATTTTAAGGACTTTCTGTCTTTGTGTTGCCAAGACAACGGACTGTTTTGCTTTGGCCTGTGGTGTCCTTGAAACTGCTATGCTCACCCAGTATGGTCCATTCTGTTGGGTTGTGTTGGAAGCATCTGGGCTTTGATGCAGTGGGGGGACTAAAAGAGCCCTTAACCATCAGGGAAGACCAAGCTCTAGAACCTTCCAGATGAATTCCCTCCACCTGGGATACCCAGGAAGGTCACTGCACCTCAGACTCTATCCCTGTAGTACCTGCTCCAAGAACTTGAAGGTGGTTTGTAAACTAGATAGCTCAGTGAGGAATCACCAGCCTATGCTGGTTACAGAATTTCCTGGTTCTCTAGTCAACTAAGGACTTGGGTTCATTTTTTTCAAATGGCCTTAAGTTACTTATTTTCTCCCAGACAGATCTATTTTAGGAAATGAAAAGAGGAAAGAACTAAGATAAGGCAAAAATGTGGCACTATCTTACAAGCCATGGCTCAGAAAACTAGTGTCCTAGGGTAGTTGCTGAGGCCTGAAGGACTTCACACATTCTCAGACCCAGTGAAGCAGATATGAGGGGTGTCCTCAAACCGTACTGTCCTAATTTCACTAACCCTGAGGAGCCAGGAGCAGGGCTGTGCAAATCTTTAGGTGTGTCTACCCCGTGGTCGGGCCCTAAACGTGGACACCAAGCTCTCCCGGGCCTGCTCCTGGGGCTGACACATGCTGGTCAAACGAATCGGGTCAGTCTTGTGCTCCACGATGTTGAAAGGACAGGCTTTCAGGTGTTCGGACATGGAGGTGACTTCGTTAAACTCCCAGCTCTTGATTTTGGAGAAGAGGCTGCTGAACTGCCAGATCTGCCAGGAAAGAGAAGCTCAAAGGTGACCACGGGCAGGGAGCACTGAGCGCTTCCAGGCTGAATGGGTCTGAGCAGTGTGTGAGGTGGCTGGCCCTGTTCCTCTGTGGTCAGCTTCCACCGTGCTCAGTGGCTGCCTGGACATTCGTTATTTCCTTTCCCTGCATCTAATGCCTAGCACCTGGCTAATTAATCACCTTCCCAGCCAGCCTTATAGTTGTTTACCGTGCCTGATGCCAATCAGCACTTGATACACACCTTCTCCAGCAACCTATGAGCAACAAAAATTATGTCTAGACACAGTTTGAATGGTGATGATTAGCACTCGGGGGGTTCTGCTCTGGAACTTTTGACATCAAAAGCAGATTCTCTTTTCCCTCTGTACTTGGACTAGGAGAAAGCTGGGGTCCGAGGAGCCCCCAGCAGCTCCCAGGGACACTGAGGAAGATCTACCTTAGAATACAGTCAATATTGCACAAGTGAGGATAGGAACAAGAGTCATTTTTGAGCTGCTAGAGTGAACCTTACCTGAAGCTGTTGCCTTTGGATTTTTTAAAAAATTATATAGGTTAATATGTTTCTTTTATCATTTATGTCCCTTTATGTTTGTTTTCTAAAACTTAAAATTAAAAATAGCTAATAAAGGAGGGTATTCTTAGAAATAAAGACCCCCAAAGAGGATTTCTATGAGTATGGTGCTCATTGATTTTTCCACCTGGGATAGGGCCGCAGAGTCACCAGCTTTAAAGGGCTGAGGGTTAGACAGACAGATGCCCTTTCAGCCTGACTGCTCCACCATCATGTTTGATCATTGTCCCTGGGCACGAAAAGTGTTCCTGAAATCTTAGAACTGTCATCATTTTTTCTTAAAAAGCCTTTAATATGTGTATCCTTTAGCATCACATAAGTTATTTCTCCCTTTCTGCAAGGAAATTTGTCTGTCCCATATGATATCCAAAAGTGGCCAGACATATTTGAATTTGGGACAAAATTGAACCAAAAAATAATGAGGTTTATTTTAGTATGTAAATTACATTATTGACATCTGATTTTATAGAGAAAGATGTGTGCTGGTCTTAGATGAATGTTTATCACTAACGTGGTTTGGTGGCAGCTGGTCTTTAGTATGTGAATGTGGGCATAGATAAATAAAAGGGTCTTATAATTATTTTTTCATGAAGACTGTTTAAGGAATAATTAAGGGAAAAGATACAGGATCAATAATTAAGGGAAAATATACAGGATACTTTGGACATAATACTAATTCCTCCAGACCAGTTTGAGAACATCCACGTATTATGGGCAAACACAGCAGTGGAGTGAGTGACCTAAGTAGACATTGTCTATTAAGGGTTCATATTATCAACATATTTGCTATGAGAAAAGATATCACAGACACTTTGAATATGATGAATTAGGAGCTTAACTTCTGGAGAAGTTGTAATTCAGTGAAGACGGACTCACTTGAGAAAAGGAACAAGGTTCTACAGAAGAAAAAGATTCTTTGATTTATATATTGCAGTGTTTCATATTAAACAAGCAATTCAGCCATGGGAAATAAGCGCTCCAAACACAACTTTAAAATAAAACCTATTTTTAAAAGTCTGTTGGCATGAGACTGAGAGGAATTTGTTTGTCTATTACACCAATCAGAATCCAAGCAGGGAGCAAGGGGTACACTCAAATTGGGTGGGGTTTTTTTTTGGGGGGGGTGTGGTTTGCAAATCTGGGGGCAATATCCAGAGTTAGTAGCCTAAAGTTTCATGGAAAGAGGGAAACTGTTCACTAGAACAAGTAGCTGTGTGGATCAAGTCACCTGGTATAGCCACCTTCAGTGGAGGGACACAGCCACTTCATGGTGTCTTGAAGGCGAGGGGTGGCATGCTGAGGAGAGGGGATCCTTCAGCACCCCCCCCCCTTCTCCTCAAACAGTCGCACTGGTTCAGGCTAACTAGGAGCTGGAGGACGGGCAGGGGAGCCAGGTGAGGCAAGCTGCAGAGATAAGTCTCTGGATGGAGAATAGAGAGAGCCAGTGCAGAATGGGTGAGCAAATGAAAGATATTCAAGGGGTCTAAGCAGGCATTGGCACCCACACTATACTGCCGAAGATACGTTTATAGTCTCTTTCCTGCTGGGCTGAGCTGCTTAAGTGAGTCTTACTTTCAGCAACTCTCCCAACGTCTGGTACAGCACTTGTCCCCAAGAGAGCTTTTAAAAATATTTATTGAATGAGTGAACACATAAATGAATGAGCGGGTGAGTGAAAAAAAACCAACCAAACAAGTGTTTACTTGCCTGACTGTGGACTTTCCAGGAGGTGCCTCCATGAGAATATCTCTTCTTTTTCCATTGCAAGAGGACCATCCCTCGCTCTTGCAACAAAGTGGCACAGATGTTCCTCATCAGTACCGACACCTGGGAGAGCTGGGCTAGGCTGATGCTGTCCAGAAACCCAGCAATGTATTGCAAAACCTCCAGCGGCAGGCTGGTTAGAGAATTCAGGCTCTTCCTTCCATGGCCTGAGAGCTGGTCGCTCTTCCATCCCTCACTCAGCTCCGGAGCAACCTCTGGCTTGATGGCAAAGGTCTTCAGCTCCTGGCTATAGATCACTTTTGCTTTTTGTCCAGGGGGGCGGAAGTGGTTTTGGACAAATGTACATCCCAAGTAGGCGAGAGGGCATCGGTGCTGGAACCAGCCATTGAGACACGACTGAATGTCTGTGTGGACGTTCTTGAAGTGCAGGGGAAACTCATCTCTCCTGAAGAATTTGTTGCAGGTGAAAGTGAAGGCTGAGCTGCTTTTATTGTGCCTCCGAGTTACGCACTCACTGTGGAGCTCCACGTGCAGGCCCCCAGGTCGGGCAGTGCCGAGGACATCAGCCAACACGGTCTCTGAGGAAAACTGCTCTGGCTCAAAGTTGTATGTTTGGGTGGCAAGGTCCATAAAGAGCCCATCGATGCTCCTGGATTCAGAGATGACGTGGCCTTTGAGTTCTCTTTCCAAAGCACACTGGAGGGTGGTCTTGATGAGATCGGATTTGGGCAGGTCCTCCACGCAGACGCCCAAATCGGAAGTGTCCACGGCCTTGTGTTCACTTGGCCTGCACCTCAACATGGCATCTCCCAGGCGAGCTCGCTTCCCGCAGTAGCTCACGGGAATTTTGAAGGTGTAAACCGTTTTCACTTCTTGAGCCTCGAGGTTGCCATAGACAAAATCTCTCTCCTTGGGCGTACAAGCAGGCATCTGCCCGAAGTGGATGAGCATACGTCCATTGTGCACCAGATACATGTTGTAGTCTTTGGCATCTACAGCTGTTTTCAGTCTTTCCAGAACACCATCCTGCCAGGGGGCAAGCCCTGTCATCTCCATGGCAACGGGAAGATCCTGGGGCTTCGGGCTTTCCTGTGGTTCTCTCCCTCGGGGCGAGCCCTCTGCATCACGTGTGCTCCCATCACCGGAACACCGCTCTTTCCCAGTCACACTCTTGTCTTCTCTCTTCCCGGAGGATCCCGTTAAAACCGAGGCCGCGTGCTCCTTGCTGAACATGCTTTCCCACTCGCCAAACTTGGCCAAGTCCATTCCTTCTTTGGTTTTCGCCAGGGCATCTCGTTCCTCCTGACTGAGTTCCATCACTGGCCCGTCGGTTGCTGGCAGACAACCGTGTGGTCCTGGCCTGGCATCCACTCCCCCCACCGCGCCTCCAATCTCTTCCCAACTGGTGTCACCATTCATGGCTGGCTCCTCGGTGGCATCTCTGGTTTCTGGGAAAAGTTCTACCATTTTCAAGGACCTGAAGAGAATGTTCTGGTCCTGGAGGGCCAGGGCTGTGTCCAAACACTCCTCGCTGGGGGTCTCTTTCATGATGTTCTCATGAAGGATGGTTTCGGAGTCCACATTGGGCCAGCGGTTCCATTCCATGGAGCAGCAGACCACGCTGGCGGGGCACACCTGCAGATGCTTAGCCAGCTTGTGGCGGGCCATGGAGAGCGGGCAGCCATACTCGGAGTTGAGGCAGGGAACCTGCTCTAGAGGGCAGAGGAGCGCGTGCTCTGCCTCTTTGCACATGTGGAAGGTAGCGCCACAGAGCAGGTGGCAGCTTATCACCGGGCAGGAGACGCTGGGCTCCACTGGAACATGGCAGTGGCGGTTGATGCATCCCTCACAATGCCTGTGCTGCCCAGGTGGAGGCCTGTGCACCCGGCCCTGGACACAGTAGGGACAAAGGCAGAAAAGACAGGTGAGTGCAGCAAGGGGAACGGAATACACTCCTGAAGTGGGTTTTGATGCACTCACCTCCTGTCTCTTTAAGACTTCTGTAGCAACCTCTGAATGCAGAGAACAGTCCAGAACAGTCTTTGTAGCAGTTTATGCATTGTAAGTGGTATGTTTAAAACAGATCCCAAAGACTGGGCTGTGACTCACTACATTTGACAACTGTTATTTTCAAGCTATGTATTATGGGTGATTTGTATTGATAATAGTATTGTCTTAGGGTTACTGTTGCTGCTGTGATGAAACATCATGACTAAAAGCAAGTTGGGGAAGAAAGGGTTTATTTAGCTTACACTTCCACATCATAGTACATCACTAAAGGAAGTCAGGACAGGAACTCAAACAGGGTAGGAACCTGGAGAGAGGAGCTGAGGCAGAAACCATGGAGGGGTGCTGCTTACTGGTTTGCTCCTCATGGCTTGCTCAGCCTGCTTTCTTACAGAACCCAGGACCAACAGCCCAGGGATAGCCCTACCCACAATGGGCTGGGCCCTCCCCCATCAACCACTAGTTAAGAAAATGCCCTACAGCTGGATCTTTTTTTTTTTTTTTTTCTTTCGAGACAGGGTTTCTCTGTGTAGCTTTGCGCCTTTCCTGGAACTCGCTTTGGAGACCAGGCTGGCCTCGAACTCACAAAGATCCGCCTGCCTCTGCCTCCCAAGTGCTGGGATTAAAGGCGTGCGCCACCACCGCCCGGCTTACAGCTGGATCTTATGGTGGCATTTTCTCAATTGAAGTTCCCTTTCAGATAACTCTAGCTTATGTCAAGTTGACATAAGACTAGCCAACACAACTATCAATATAATTTTGAACATTGCTTTTTAGACACAAGACTGGATTCCAATGTACCTATATTTCTCATCATGCTTATTACTTTTTATGAAAATATCCCTTCTGAAGACTGTAACACGAATTGCTAAATGGTCTTATTAATAAAAAACCAGGAGCCAGATATTGAGGTGAATGCTGAAAGATCAGAGAAACAAAACAAGCCACAGCCAACCTCACCTCACCAACTCCTCAGCCGATCCTGTTTCCTCAGACTGAAAGCCTCTGAGTCCTCACCCAAAAGTGTCTCCACTGAGCTGCTGCTAAAAAGCTTCTAGTTCCTTGTCCTCACACCTTCTATACCTTTCTGCTTCCTTCTATCACTTCCTGGGATTAAAGGAGTGTGTCCTTCCTAAGCAAAGACATGAGATCTCAAGTGCTGGGGTTAAAGATGTGTGCCACCATGCCTAGCTCTGTTCCCAGTGTGGCCTTGGACTCACAGAGATCCAAATGGATCTCTGCCTCCCAAGTGATAGGATTAAAGGCGTGTGTGTGCCACCACTGTCTGGTCTCTATGTCTAATCTAGTGGCTGTTTCTGTTCTCTGACCCCCAGATAAGTTTTGTTAGAGCACAAATAAAATATCACCACAGAAGACAAAGAAAGGAAGATATGAAAAGGGGAGAGGGTAGATGTAGGAGGAGATGGGGGAAGAGTAAATAAGATCAAGATATGCTGTATGAAATTCTTTAAGAGTTAAAAGTATTATTTAAAAACTTCTGCCTGCTGGGCGGCAGTGGCACATGCCTTTAATCCCAGCACTTGGGAGGCAGAGCCAGGCAGATCTCTGTGAGTTTGAGGCCAGCCTAGGCTACAGAGTGAGTTCCAGGAAAGGCGCAAAGCTACACAGAGAAACCCTGTCTCGAAAAACCAAAAAAAAAAAAAAAAAAAAAAAAGAAAGAAAGAAAGAAAAAGAAAAAGAAAAACTTCTGCCTAAGATTATGAAGATAGGGTTGGGAATTTAGCTCAGTGGTAGAGCACTTGCCTAGCAAGCGCAAGGCCCTGGGTTTGAGCTTCAGCTTAAAAAAAAAAAAAAGATTATGAAGATATAGATTTACATAGCTCCAGGAGTCTTTATTTTTTTTATTTTCCAGTTTGATCTACAATATATTGGGATTATATTTTTATATATAATTTAATTCAAGACCAAAATAATATTTATTCTCTGCAAATAATGATGGTGTACATAACACTTCTGAAGATGAATATGCTGTTATTCATCTAGCCAACTGTTCCAGAGGACAAGACCAAGCCTGGTTTTCCTCTCTAGCATCTGGTGCTTGACACAAGCCACACTAGGTATTCAGTAATACTTCCTGAATGAGGGAATTGTTAGCTATTTAGATTATTGTTGGCATTTTTAATATTTTACCTTTTAAAAATTTCATTAGTTCATTGACATTGCATAATAATTCAGTATATATATATACATATATACACACACACATATATATCAAACAATGGCTACTAACCACATCACAGTAATTAACATTTCTATCTCATCGTTTATTATTTCTATGTGTTGAGCAATTCATTTTCATTTTTTTCACTAAAAATCTTTGCTCACAACTCTTTCTCGTCTTTCCCCTTAGTCAGTGTCCACTTTTGGATAACAAATATCACGCAGTCACAACTATAACCATTGGCTTGGGCTCTGGGATAACTAGAGTTAGACCTGGATCTCTCAACAGTGACACTCCAACAAAATTATGATACTTACCATGGCTTCCCAACGTCTGGCTTCTTAACTCTAGGGGAAATATGAAAATACAAATGATTAGTAAGGAAAGTGTTGTAGTTATTGATATAATCAAGGGCCAAAGAGACTTCCCATGGTCCCTCATTAAATTCTGCTCATCACCTTGGAGAAGTTGTCCCATTTTGCAGTTAAGAAAATGGAGACTTGAGAAGCTAACTTATCCAGGGTCACGCATCTGCTAAGTATGGAGTCAGGTTTCCAAGTCAGGCCATGCTGGGCCAGGCTCTCTGTACCGACCCACATGTCCTCTGATGGGGCCTGTTCCAACGATGGAACCCACGACTTCTGCGTCTTAAAACCCCTCTTCACTTTTGACCTCCAATTGCCTGTCCAGCCCCCCGTGGAGCTTCATGTCTATTGAGGGGCCAGCCTGATGTCCAGCTTGACCTGGGGCATACCTATCCTATACCATTCACCTAGTGTCTTCAGCTGTACTGTGGCTAGGTCAGGGGTCAAATTCCCCAAACTCTAGAAGCAGGCTACAGTGGGGACAGTGACAATCAGAAGAGAAGCCGTTCTGCCTTAGGGTGAATTGAAGTTACCCAGCTCTGGTTGCTTGGTTCTGTGAGGGAATGGATTGCCAGATCTTCTGGGTTTTCCAGAGAAGGGAGGAGGCAGATTTTTGTGAGTGTGGTTCAGCAGAGTGGCTAGGAGGCTGACTGCATAGGTTTCTCTTCTAGCTCTACAGGCCAGTAGCTAAGAGGCTTTGGGAATGTTTCTTAGCATCTTTTAAATCCATTTCCCCTTTGTGAAGGAGGCGGCTAGCACTACCTACACCACTAGTGAGCAGGCTGGCACTATTCAGAGGGATGAAAGAGTTAAATACACACGAAATTTAAAATAAGTATTCTCTATTTCATCATAGCGCAAAATATTTTACTACACGATGTATCAGAAAATCCTCAGAATTCTAAGTGTTGACAACTAATTCAATTTAAAACAAACCCATTCTGTTTGGGCAAAGACAAACTATTCAGGCTAGACCAGCCATGCTGGCTAAGTTTGTAACGCGTGGTCTAGAGAGTCAGCAAGGTTGTTCCAGTTTGTGTTCATCTGGGGCAGAGCTGGGAGCTTAGCTCTCCAAAATCAGAAGGTGTAGAACCTTACATTTTTATTTATTTAGAATTTGGCAATTTGCTGTGGGTGATTCTCTCCCAGTAAAATTTTTTTCAAACATATACAAAAGGTGAATGAACATATACAATAAGCAATTCATGACACATCACTCTAACAATTGTTAGCATCTTGCCATTTTTGTGCCTCTTGCTCTTGAATGGTTAGGACCACCCCACATGATAACAAGATACTAAAGATGCTTATGATGCTTCATCCCTAAGGACTTCAGCATGGACCTTTTTTTCTGGAATTCATGGTACCATCATCTCATCCAAAAAAACTAAAAACAACTACCTAACATCATGAACACACACACACACACACACACACACACACACACACACACACACACACACACACACGAGACAGGGTCTTCCTATGTAGCCCTGGCTGTCCTGGAACTCTCTATGTAGATCAGGCTGGCCTTGAACTCACAAAGATCAAAAGTCTCTGCCTCCCCAGTGCTGGGATTAAAAGTATGCACCACCACACCTAGTTTGAAACAGAATTCTTTTTAGTACCAATGTATTGAAGTTGGAGAAGTCTTTTTTATTTAGTCTGCAATAACTCCCCCCACCCTTTTCAAGGAATTTTTACTCTGGCTCCCTCCTTATGCTTTTGTTGATCTGTCTACCCATTCAACAAACATTTGATCTCTGAGTCAATAATGCCCATGAGTCACGCAAACTGCTTTCAAACTGAGTCTTAGACACTTTCATCAGACTCACCTGTGGTACATGTGTACCTGGAAATCTGCATTGTTCTAGGTGGTAGTCAGCCTTATGTGGCTGTTTCAATTTGATCACAATGGAATAAAATAGAGCAATTCCTCCTTCGTGCCAATTGTGTTTTAAGTGTTCAGTAGTCACACCTTCAAGTAGCTACTCTGTTGGATGACGGAGAATAGAACATTTCCATTTTCATGGACAGTTATAACGCTCTGTGCTACTGTAGAATCTGACTGCACCTGTGGCTATGTGTGGGATAAATACTGGAATTATACCCTCAATACATGCCCTGGTGTTTTTTGTTTTTTTTGTTCATTTGGTTTTTTGCTCGAGTTATCAGGGAAGAGGAACTTCAATTGAGAAATTGCCTCCATTGGTTGCCTATAGAAAAGTCTACAGAGCATTTTCTTGATGGATGATTGATGTGGGAGGGCCCAACTCACTGAGGGTGGTCCTGGATTGCATAAGAAAGCAGGCTGAGCAAGCCATGAGGAGCAAGCTAGTAAGCAACATTCCTCCTCCATGGTCTCTGCTTCAGTTCCTGCCTCTATCGGGGACTATGGGGTCCCCTCCCAGGGTCCAGGAAGAATCTACAACCAGCTGATAATTAATCTTTGATGAGAAGAAATGAATCTATGTACACAAAACTCCTTAGTTCATACACTTTATTATTCTGTGATAGTTCTCTCTCTACACAGCTTCTATTCTGCTCTCATGTCTAGCTCCTCTCTTGCCTGATTTCTCTCTATATTTATCTACTGTCCCCTCTAGGTTCTATCTTAATTCCTTCATCTAGTTCTGTCCCTTCTAGGTTCTCATCCATCTAGTTCTTTCCCCTATCAGCTCCTCTCCCATCTCCTCTCTCATCTGGCTCTTCCTCATCTTGTTCTTCCCCATCTGGCTCTTCCTCATCTTCCATCTCGTTCCTCTAGTCCTCTCTTCTAGCCCTTCAATCTAGTTCTTCCCCATCTCAGTTTGTTCCTCTCACGTTCTTACCCATCTAGTTCTTCCATTCTCTTTTCTCTTCTCTCTTCCCCTGTGCCCTGAAAGTCCTGGTATATATACACTTACAAGCAGTAGTCCCTTGGCAGTGCAAAACTAGGCTTCCAGGGTCAAATGGAAGGGTGATAAGAATCACATAGGGAGGCAATAACTGTTAATTATCATTTGCAACCCCAAAGGAAGTGACCAATGGGGAAATGAATTAACTAAAGGCTAAATTCAGGTAATATCTAGAAAGAGGGATCTTATGTGCTCAACTATAATCTTAAACGTGATTGGTAGAAAATGTTAAGAATCTATAAGTTGCTAGGTCAATGGGAGAAAATAAAACTGTCTTCTTTTTTCCTGTGACTCCTATGTGTCCAAGCTATCTGCCGTTTTTCTGCAGGGTGGGGGAAAGTGTGCTCAGTTGCTAGGCAACCTGTGTACAGCTAGATGCCTCTGGTGATAGTTAAAGGGAGATCTGGAACTGGAGGTAAGGTTTGGGAAAGGAGGAAGTAAGGCTTAATTGGCACATCCGCCAGGCCTTCTCAAACAGGTAGCCTGGATGGTTAAGTCTGTTCTTAGAGAATACAGAGGTATCTCTGATAAAGTATTCTCCTCCATCTGGGGATGGACCTGGCCGGATGCTGCTAATGATGATAATTACAGGGAGGCTTGAACTGGGGTTCTGGCTGAGCATAGCTGTCAGCACAGAGGTTATCTAAATATTCCTAGAAGTGGTTGGGTAAGGAGTTAGAGGTCTATAAAGTTAGTAAGGCTGTAAGAAAGGAGGGTACGAGCTGAATTGTGTAAAGCTATTACTTAACGTCCACCTGACCTAGGTAGGTAGTGTCTCCTTGTGGAATTTACCTTAAATCAGGAGACTTGCATATGGACTGTTATTACTGCTAGTCCTTGAAAGTGGCCAAGGGAGATATCTGATTCCAGAGAAAGCCTTTCCTGAGGCTGTTCTCCAAATACCTGGAATGTGTGTGTCCAGAGAGTGATCAGTCCACACTGTTAGTCCTTCTTGGGGAAAAGTCAATTGGGAAAACTATGAAGGCACACATGACTTTCATAACAGAATACAACTGATATATAACAAGCCAAGTAACACCAAAAACTCCTTGGGATTTGGCTTCCTCTGGAGGAATTCCCTGATCCCTCCAGGTAGTGACTTTGCCATAACCGGCTGAGTTCTTATGATATATTCCTGTGGCCCGCAGCATGCCTCCAGTTTACTGTCTTGAGTTCCTTCTCTGACTTCTCTTCATGATGGACTATAAACTACAAACTTTACTTTTTTAAATTTTATATGCATTGGTGTTTTGCTATGGGTGTCAGATCCTGTGGAACTGGAATTACAGACAGTTGTGAGCCACCATGTGGGTGCTGGGAATTGAACCTGGGTCCTCTGGAAGAGCAGTCAGTTCTCTTAACCACTGAGCCATCTCTCCAGTCCCTAAACTACAAACTTAAATAAACACTTTCCTCCACAAGTTGCTTTTGGCCCTGCTGCTTATCACAGCAATAGAAACCAAACTAAGTCAACACACTTCCAATCTGATCATCCTGCACCTTCGTTCTAGACCCCACCAGGCTCACTGAGTAATCATGAAGGAGGATTCTCCCAGTGTGCTCTGTTCTCCTGCCACCCTGAACCAGGGGACAGGTAAGAAGCTGCAACTCACAGCATCAAATAGGTTCAGGGCCCAGTCATACAAAAGCAAAGTATGAGAGCCAGAGAGGAGCTGGACAGGGTCAGAGGGCTGAAAGGGTTGGACTGTCTTATGGGCTGAATGTTATGCCCACCAAAGTTTTTAATGCTGCAACCTAATCACCAATGTGATCATATTTGGAGGGAGAGTCTTTGGGAAGTGTTTGGGTCTTGAGAGCAGAGCCTTCATAAATGAAATTAGTTGCCCTCATAGAAGGGGCCTGAGAGGAAGGACCCTCAGACTTCTGTTCTATTAGCACATAAAAACACGATAGCTGTGAACCAGCATGCAGGCCTTCAAAATACAACAAATCTGCCATAATCTTGATCTTGGACTTCCAAGTGAGAAATAAATTGATGTTGTTTTATAAGTTATGCAGCCCCTGGTGTTTTGTTATAGTAACCAAAATGAACTATGATAGACTGAGACAGAACAAGGTCAGTTC